GCTAGGTACGGGCCGGGCGACGCGCTAGGTACGGGCCGGGCGCGGGCGACGAAGACGACGGGGCCAGCGGGGCCGAGGCGACGGGCTACGTACGGGCCTGGCGACGAGCTAGGTACGGGCCGGGCGCGGGCGACAAAGTCGACGGGGCCAGCGGGGCCGAGGCGACGAGCTAGGTATGGGTCGGGCGACGGGCTAGGTACGGGCCGGGCGCGGGCGACGAAGTCGACGGGCTAGGTACGGGCAGTGCAGTAGGTGGTGGGCCCATTGAGACTAGGTCCTAAGACTTAGTTGCTCTTAATACCATGTTAGAATCTTAGGCGAGGATGATTGACTAGGAAACAAGGAAGGGTACAAGTAGAATGTCGAGAGAATTCTGTACCCCCTAAGGCTAAACCCACTATAGCCTAGACAAATGTAAACACATGAACTAAGCCTAGATATAATTAAGCATATATGTTTGACAGTGCGGTGATGCGTTGTTCGGTAGTGATGACGACAAAAGCAAGTTGTGCAGCATGACGACGTGGTCCATCGCCTCAGGCCATTGGTGATTGGACAGTCGCATGCCACGCAGTAATTTGCGCATGGTGTTCTGGAGAGTTCGATTCATCCGTTCTGCCACGCCTTGCTGTTGATGGGCGTAGGGAAGCGAGATGAGCCTCTTGATTCCTTTTTCTGCCAAGTACTGCTTGAACCTCTGTGAGGTGTATTCTCCTCCTCCGTCTGACTGGAAGCTTTTTAGTTTCACGCCTGATTCTCGTTCTGCTACTGGGAGCCAAGCGACGAAGGCCTCGAAAGCCATGTCCTTGCTCGGAAGGTTAAGGTGCCAAACATAACACGTAGCGGCATCGATGAACGTGATGGTGTAGCTGTATGCTCCTTGTCCAGGTTCGCGATTGTACAGGATGTCACTGTACACTTTCTCAAGTGGTGCGTAAGTTGGTGCGCTAGGGTTGTGGTGAGAAGTGAATGGCCGATGTGGTAAGTCAGCTTCGGGGCAGGTAAAGCACGTTCCACGCGCTCGTCGAAGTTCGCTTCCATCGGTTAGGAGCAGCGAATCTTTGTCGAGTACTCCTGCTCTGATTGTGTTGTTTAACACCGTGTTGCTTGGATGTCCCATTCGTGCGTGCCAGATGTCTTCGCTAGCGCGATGTCCGGGTGAGCGACGATACAAGTCGGAGTTGGAGTAGAAGCTTGCGGTGAAGTTTGCACTTCGATGTACTTCTCGTGGTGTTGGGTTAAGCTGTTGCGCAGGAGTCGGTGGAGTGTCGTTGATTTGAGCCGATGCAGTTGAAGGACCAGCGATTGGTGTCGATGTTGCTGCTGCTGCTGCCGTTGTTTCTGCTGCTGCCGATGTTGTCTCCGCTGCTGCCGATGTTGTCTCTGCTGCTGCCGATGTTGTCTTTGCTGCTGCCGAGTGTTGAATTGTTGCTAATGCTCTTGTTCGTTCTGTCTCAGGGATGGTGTGCGAGTACCAGAAGCCTTCTGGACTAAAGTCGGGGACAAGATCTGGTGGGTGTGTCCAGGAGGTGAAGGTAACGATCCCGTCGCTGTCAGCGGTGCCGAGATCTGGGACGAAATCGAGGACGAAGACGTTATTCTTCAGGACCGCCGTCCCGATGTAGAGATCGCCTTTCCCGTTATATAACTTGAACTCCTGAGTGGTGCTATCTGCTTCGAGGTGTATGCCCTTCGCCATCAGTTGACTGACGCTTAATAGGTTGTAACCGAGCCCTTCTGCTATTAAAACATTTGACATCTGCAGTATGACGTTTGTCTCTCGTGACTGAAGTTGCACTACGCCTTGTCGTCGTGTGCGCAGGTTCTGATTGTTGGCGACGGTGATGACGACCTCGCGTTGAAGTTGGTGTTCACGTTGAACAAAGCGCCGTGAAGAGCACATATGCTGTCCGCAGCAACTGTCTAAGAACCACGTATCTTTCCCGGACGGCTCGCTTTGAGCGATGGCTGCATACGTCGGATTTGGTTGAAGTGACTCGCGGCGAGGCGTGCTGTTGTCGAGTTGCTCTTCCGGTGAGTAATGTGGTGGTGACTCTGTGATGCAGGAGACGGTCAGCCGTGCCATGCAACTGACGATGTTTCTTGTTCCTTGCGCAGGTTGTCCCGTCGATGTTGTTGAGGCTCGTACTTGAGAGGTCGGATTCGCTTGCGTTGAAGCGACTTGACTGCTTGAAGGGCGAAGCGGCCGGTTTGGGCAGTGTGTACGGGGGTGACCTGACGTCTTGCAAAGGTGACAGAACGGAGGTACTGGTTTCGGTTGATGCCGATAGTTGTTGTTGTTGTAGCGCCGTTGAGTGTGGAATGCGAATTCGGGCACTGATGCCTTCTTCTTGTGTCGTTCTTCTTGCAGGTCCATATCTTGCTGCTCAGCGTGGATCTCGGCGCAGAGTGCTGCTTCTGATATTTTTCCGTGGGCTCGGAGTATGGCGCGCGTGGAACGCCACTGAGGACCGAGGCCGCCGATGATGACTGTGACGAAGGCGTCTTCTGAGATCGACCCTCCGCATCGAAGGAGTTTGTCGCGCAATTCGCGACAACGGCTGATATACGCCATCCCCTTTTCGCCCGGTTTCATTTCGACTGTCGTCAGTTGCGCCATTAACCGACTTTGATTGACGCTGTATGTTGCTTGATACAGGTTCTTCAGGTGGTTGTACGCGAGCTCTGCAGAGTTGCCGTATCCCCGGTAAGACCGTATATTCTGCTGCTGATTCGGAGTGATGTTTCTCAGTAGTATTGTGTACGCCATCATTGACTGATACGTGTACAGCTGCTTGTCGTACTGCGTGCCGTTTGTTGGGTATGGCAAGGACCCATCGAAGAATCCAAGAATATGCGCGCCTTCCATCATCAGTTCGAATTCGAATGACCAGGTAAAGAAGTCCTTTCCGTCGAATGGTCTTGATGTCTGCAGTTTTAAAACGTGCGCAAACTGCGACTGAACTTGAAGTGCATCTAGTGTCTTCTCTTGCTCAGGTGAAGGCTGCTGGCGCGGCATGAAGCTGACGGAGCCGCGCTGAGGTTCGTACGGGGCGAAGGTAGGTTGTTGCTGATTTCCTCGTGCGTAATATGTACTGTCGAGGCTCATCGGTGTTGCGTTGTTGTTGTTGCTGTTGTTTGACTGTGCAGGTGCCCCTTGCTGGTGTTGTTCGTAGAAGGTCATGAAGGAGAAGAATTTCTCCATCATGTCTTGGTCGAAGGCCGCGGCTTGATTTGCGGGAGTTTCTGAAGACATTGCTCTTGGTCTTGTTGCCGTACCCTCCTCTGTCTGTAGGCCAGAGGTAGGAGGTGGAGTAGGAGTAGTACCGGGAGAGCCGTTAGAGGAGCTTCTCTCCTTCTGCGTTGCCATGCCTTGTGATGTTGTGGGTGTCTTGATTGTAGTTGAATTTGTCCTGATTGCTCTCATACCATGCCGGGCTGAGAAAAAGCCCTTAGGATCTTTGCAGGACTAAATTCAGAGTAGGACAATGTAATAGCGGAAGCGTTAAATAAAATACTTGTGAACCACCTTGCGCTAGTATGTGAGGGCAAAGTAGATTGATTAAAACAAAGAGATACAAGTTTTTGTAAGAGTACAAGGAATACGAAGAGATATAGTTAATAACCGTTTTGCTGTTGCTGTTGCGGTTCGATACAGTGACGACTCGGGAAACTGCTCAATAGCGAGTCAGTTGTTTGTCCTTGCTGTCGCACTGTATTTGTCAGGTCAAAGGTCGCTGACCTTTGACTTTCGCGTAACCTCCAGAAGTTGTTCAACCTCCGAGGGTTGACTCGCTGATGCTTAGATATGTTCTGCTTCGCTTCGATACTTCTGACTTGACACAACAGAGGCGCTTAAATCAATTGTTTCCAACACAGTCATCCTAGAAGGTCCCGTTAGTCCAGTATCAAAACAGTGAATCTCCGTCGTCGATTGGTATCTCAATGATAAACTCAACCGTCCATTTCCTTCTACGAGCATCACATACAGTGAGTATGTTCTAGCAGGACTAGTTTAGATCGAGCAAGTCTGGTGTTTTACATTCCACCAGATAACGAAGACGAGCGAGGCTTCTTGGTTGGCCCGTGTGGCCCGTTTCACCAATTCTCTAGGATTCCGAGTTTCTTATCGTGCTGAGGCTGGGCTCTTCTCGTGTGTCGCGCGACCTACTTCGTACCGTAGGCATAGGTCCTTATTGCGAGCTGCCGTTGTAGTAATTAACTCTGCCCGGATTCTCCACAGTTAGGTCTCGAGAAGTGCGACGCGTACTTAGCTCTCGCTTCACGCCAAGTAGCTCGGGTTCTCTCCATATCTCGTAGCTCGACGAGAAGCAGATTGCGTAACCCCGTCCCGCTGTCCATGTCTCGTGGCTAGTCCAGACCAGAGCCATCCGTCAGACCTACCGGGATCGGCCGGTTCTTCACCCACATCCATGGGTCATATCACCCGTCGCTTTTCCATGGCCGCGGCGCATCAGCCAATGAGTGGACTTGTGCAGCACAGCCACCTCAACCGCGTGTCGTCCAGGCGAACCGCGCTATCGTGTACTAATCTCCTCTCACCGCTCCGCGTGCTCGTCGCGTTCGCGTTGCTATTCGCCAGCCTCCGTCACGCGGTAGCAGAAATTCGCGAGATCGAAGTGACTCTGAGCAACGCGCCGTGGGTTCTCCTCGGCCGATTCGGCTTCAACGGCCATGGAATCGTCGATCTCTCGGTCTCGCATCTCCGCGTGTACTCTCCGGAAAAATCAACGGCCCCTGATACGTATTCCATGGGATTCCTTCTCGCCAGCGAATCAGCTGCTTGGGAGGTGGAGACGGGGATCGTTCCCGGAGTAAATTCAGGTAACGGCACAGTAGGTGGCTTCTGTCCGTTAACGAGTCTCAACGTAACGAAGATCTTCAGCGTGATGGAAATGGACGCTCCTAAAAAAGGCTCCGAGCGGCCGACTAAGACGGTCCAGGTCCCCGTGCCTGGCGCCGGGTTTTACGGAGTCTACATGGTGAACTGCGCGCCGACGCGTCTCCTCTCCGCGCACGTGTCGCTCTCCCTATACAACACCAATCCCGGCGCTCCCGCCAACGCGCCGCCGGTTAAGTACCACCTCTCCGCAGGCACCATCGCGCTCGCGTTCGTGCACGCGATCTGCGGGCTGACGTGTCTCGCCGTGCTGTGCGCGTGGCTGGCACACGTCCTTAAAATCTGGTTCCACACTGTTGTGCCCCTCACCTTCCACCTCCTCCTCACAGCGCTTCTCCCGGCGCTCGGCGCGCTCTTCTTCGCCCTGGCTGCACGTCTCTTCGTGCAGCAGTCCGCGGGAAGCAGCCCTGGGATCGACTTTGCAGCAGATGTTCTCCTCGTCGTGTTCATGGCGCTGCTCCTAGCGGCGTTTTTCACCGGGATTGGCAGCATAGACCCGTACATGTCCGATCTGGAGCGCGCCGTGCTCTTCTTCGCGGTTCCTGCGGCAGTTGTTTCGCTGCTCGGACTCTCGCTCGTGTCCCTGGACAGCCTCAGCTTCGTTGTAAGCACCTCCGTTACAAGCAGCGCCAGCAGCAGCGCGGCAGTGACCGGAGGCAGCATGTTGACGTCATCTCTGCTTCCGGACACTCTCCCATCGTTCACCGTCGTTATCTCAGTCATCCGCCCGCTCCTCTTCTTCCTCCTCGCAGCAGCAGTCGCAGTCATCACTCTCCTCCTCTTCCTCGCCCTCCTCCTCTCCTGCCTCCAATGCCTTGCCTCCCGTCGCCCCGGCGCCAACAGCAGCGGCGGGAACAGCGGCATGAAACGCGTGGGTGGTGGTGGCAGCAGCTATGCTCTAGACGACAGGGACACAGACGGTCCCTTGGAGAAATTCTACGTGCAGGCGTGCGCGCTGCTGCTGCTCGCAGGAGCCGTGTCCGTTCTCCTGCGCTGGTGCCTGCCGTACGACCTGGTTACGTGGTTACCGCAGGCTCTGTGGCAGGCGGCGCTGCTGCTGCTGCTGGTGTGGGTGCTGCACAGGTTCCGGCCGAGGGCAGAGCGATCGGTGTACCAGCTGTTTGATGAGAACGATGTTATGGATGAGGAACTCAGTGAGCTGTAGCAAGAAGGGGGCGGAGGGAGGGGGTGCAGGCTGTAGCAGGGATAGGTTGTGGCAGAGGAGCGGTGGAGGCTGTAGCAGGGAGTGACTGTGTCAGAGGAGGAATGAAAGCTGTAGCAGGGAAGGTTCAAGGCTGTAGCAGGACAGGCCCGGATGTTGGAGAGGACCTGGAGCAGAGAAGCTGTAGCAGATGAGCACATGTGCTGTATCAGAAAAATCTGTAGCAGATGAGCTGTAGCAAAGCAAGTAGTGGAAGGGTTGGATTGAGAAGAGTAAGGAAAGGCGAGAGGAGATGGATTGGATAGTCCTGTTACAAGCAGCAATGGTCAGAGCATTGGAAGTTCACACCACAAGGCATTGTCAAGGAATATCAGATTGTTGATTGACACTATTATGGCCGGGGTTCATGCTGCTGTGACTTTCATTGTCGAGGTTTTCTCCTTGATGCTTCTACTGCTGTTGTTGCTGCTGCTGCCACTGCCATACGTGCACTCATGAATAACATTGTGTGGATTGTGTTGAGGTTGTCTACCTTCTAGTACCGTACCGTAGCATGCATAAGCTTGGATAGTTTTGTTCATGCGAAAATTATTACCGCATGTCTGGGTCTGCTGAATGGGTATTGCTGTGTAGTTTGCTATACACACCGAGCGCAATGTGTGATCGCATGAATGCACTGAATTCAATTACCGTATTATTCCGGCTATAGGACCCGCCGGTAAAAGGGTCCCCCGGGACTATGGGGTTCTGGGACTCTTATTTCGAATTCTGACACGCTGTATGCGTCAGATTTCGATTCTGACATTTTTTTTTTGTGTCAGACGCGAATTTTGACACAAATCTGACGCGCCGCTCCCGTGAGATTTCCATACGAGGGGTGTTTTTCGTTACCGAATATAAGACACCCCCCCCCCCCCCCCCCCCCCCCCCTAAAACGAACAGAATCCCATTTCATTGTTAGACAAATAAGCACACCCGGGTCTTAAAAAAATGTATGCCGACTATATGTCCACCCTAGCATTTTTTTCTGCATTTTTAGAAATTCCCGGGGTCCTACAACTGGAATAATACGGTATGTATTTGAAGTACTAGTGAACTTGAAAGTTTTTAATTATCATTATTGAAAGTACACACTAGGTAGGAGCTGAAGCATATATCGAAGATCAATTAGTGAATTTTACTGAGGCCGGATGTGCCTCTGGTGCATTCTCTAAGAACCATTTGGTCCGTTGGATCACGACTGTTTGCACCACTTGTCGATTGTCGATCGGAACTGCAAAGCGTGTCTGAAATTTCCCCAGATTCCGCCACCCGCAACCAAACAGTTGGACCAGCAGCCCCACCTTCAGAGCATGCGCTCCGCAGAGCCCTCAGATCTCCGCACGCCAAGTGGTGTGTCAGGCGTTTGGGGAAGTGCATCCACAAGCCCGCAGATATCCCAGCCGGAGCCGTTAACCTCGACGTTTGTAGCGACTCTCACGAGTGTCGCAAACGTTTGTCGTCCCAGCAAAGAAATGCTGTTCTTTCGCTTAGCTGTGGGTGGGTTGGGTGGAGATCAGCTGCTGCCTATGCACTCCATGTCCCCCGCCACTGCCAATCCCGTGTGAGCGCCCTGCTGGGACGAGAGGGGGCGGGTTGGGACAGAGAGAGGAGTCCACCCTCTCACTCACCTCCTCTTCTCTCCTTTCTCCCTTCCCTCCCAGCAGCACCCTGCCTGGACCACAGAGGAGTCTCTCCCTCCCCTAATCCCCCCTTCTCTCTCCTCTTCCCAGCAGCCTCAGCATCATGGCGCTCTGCACGGCTGTGGTAGGTACAGGTAAGGGCATGGGGGTGAAGTGTGGGGTGGGTGGGTGGGGAGCATGGGAGCAAGCGGGGAGTTCACTGCCTTAGGGGCAGCATCACCTGGGATTGTGCCTTGTGGTGGGGTGTGGTGGGTGGAATCTGCGCGGCACGGCACTCGGTGCTCAAGTAACCGATCTGATGTGCAAGGCCTAATGGACACCGTCAGAGCCGACCGGCCGGCGGCTCTGGTTCGCGTCAGCTCTGGCTACGTCAGGGGTGGGATTTGAGTCTTGGGCTGGAAGAAATTTTCCAATACCACACCTCGCCCCACAAGGCACCGCCTCTGGGGGTGTTGTTTCCTCGAGGAAGTGAGCTCTCTGCTGCTCCTACTGCTGGCAGGTGAAGGTGAGATGGGCTGGGTGGTTGAGTGAGAGAGAAGGGGGCTTAAACCCCCTGGGTGGGTGAGTGGGGCCTGAAACCCCTTGGGTGGGTGAGTGAGAGGGAAGGGGCTGAGTTGGAAGGGGCTGAGTCTCCTAGGGTGGGTGAGTGAGGGGAAAGGGGCTGAGTCCCCTAGGGTGGGTGAGTGAGGGGAAAGGGGCTGAGTCCCCTAGGGTGGGTGAGTGAGGGGAAAGGGGCTGAGTCCCCTAGGGTGGGTGAGTGAGGGGAAAGGGGCTGAGTCCCCTAGGTTGGGTGAGTGAGGGGAAAGGGGCTGAGTCCCCTAGGATGGGTGAGTGAGGGGAAAGGGGCTGAGTCCCCTAGGGTGGGTGAGTGAGGGGAAAGGGGCTTAGTCCCCTAGGGTGGGTGAGTGAGGGGAAAGGGGCTGAGTCCCCTAGGGTGGGTGAGTGAGGGGAAAGGGGCTGAGTCCCCTTGGATGAGTGAGTGAGGGGAAAGGGGCGAGGGGTGATGTAAGGTAGGTATGGGTGGGTGGGGGTAGGTTGTTGGGGGTGTGGATAGGTGCTGTGGGTTGGGGTTGGCAGTGTGGCTGAGGGTGGGCTTAGTTGGAATTGACGGAGCTAGCGTTTTTTTCGGAACGTTTTTGACGGTCCTTTTTTTACGCTAGACGGAACCCTCCGAGAGTCTGACGGTGGTCTTGACGCTCTGGCGGGCAGGCAAAACAAAACTTTCGGGCAGCCCAAAAAAAACCGGGGGGGGGTGGGGGGGGGGGGGGGGGGGGGGTCTCGGGGGGGGGGGGGGAGTAAGGTAAGAGGGTTGTTGAACCTTCGGGCAGCCAACAATGTGATTTCCCCCCCCAAAAAAACCTCCATAAATAGTACCATGCATACATAGTTCTCAACATTACTAATACCACCATCCGCCCCCATCAACTCCCACTTAAGTACCATCCCACGATCACCCATCAAGTACTAAAGCGTGCCACAACAATCACTATCACGCCCTTCACCTCTACGGCTTCTTCGGGTACTCCTCGTACTCGTCCTCGAGCACCTTCGGATCCGCCTCATCCGCCTCCTCCTCCTCCTCCTCGTCCTCCACGACATACCCCTCGGGAATAGGAGCCTCAGGGGTGTTCCCCTTCACAACCCCCACCCGTGGGCCCTTGTGGAAGTTGTGCATGACGTTCCAGTTGTGCGCAACGTAAACAAGGTCGCGGCACTTCACTGAGCCAAGCTTGTTGCGCCTTGCAGTGTGCACCAAGTCCCACATAGACCAGTTCCGCTCACACGATGCGAAGGATACGGGCTGGGACAGAACACGACGTGCAAGGCGCGCCAGCTCGGGCCACTCAGTGCAATGCCACATCCACCACTGCTCCATCGTCTGCTTCCCTTGCTTCACCTTCTCCCGGGCCTCCATAGCCTTTGGCATCCCACAACTCCCCCTCGACTCCAAGTACGCCGTCACAGCCGCCTCCAAATCCACCTCCCTCCCCACCACTCCACTCATGGCGGGATACTTCTTGTAAAAGTCTTGGGCGCGCGCAATGAACTCCTTAAAGACATTGGTGCACTCCACATCGACCCCGAATATTTCCTCGTTCTGCTTAAGCGGGTTCAAGATCTGGCCAGCCACATGCATGGCACACGCGAGGCTGTTGTCCCAGCGGTCCTTCAAAATGCGTGAGATCCGCAACTTTTCCGCCCTGCTCAGCTGCTGCTCATCCGCATCCAACACCTTCTCCATATCTTCCATCAGCTGCAGCATGAGGTCGTACATGCGGCCCATCATCCCAGGTCTACTCGAATCCGTCATGCGCATCACCTGATAGGGCCGTTGCAGCAGCTTCACAAAGAAGGCAGCAGACTTCCACCAAGCCGGATCAATCACCTCCTTTGCAAACTTCTCGGCTCCCTCCTCCCTGTCCCCCACCGCCCACCCCTTCCACAGGTCGCCCGTCACGAGCACAATCAGCTTCTGCCCCAACTCGCACAACCTCGACATCGCAATGTACTGAGTGCCAAAGCGAGTCCCTGCTGGACGCAACGCCTGCAGCACCTTACCCCCAGGCAGCTCGGGTCCCTCAACATCGTGCGGGTCCAATGATGCTTGCGCAAGAAGTTTATCATGTCGTTCCCCCTGTCCACAAGCTTCTTCGCCTAATCCATCTTCCCCACATCCTCCAACAGAAGGTCAATCACGTGGGTGGCGCATGGCGTCAGCTCAATGTGCGGAAACTCCACACCCAACTTCCGACACACCGAGCGGTAGTTGCTCCCCCCATCCGTGCACAGCGCCACAACATTCTGGGGCCCGAGCTCCTCCACGATGGGCCGTAACATGTCCACAATGTTGATGCCTGTCTTCCGATCCTTCCCACAGTTGATGCTCTCGGTAAACATCGCCCCATTGTCATTGATCAGGAGCACGTTCGCCTGTGCGCGCTCGTTGCGATCGGTCATCATGTCGCTCGCAATGGTGACACCCTGCTTCCCCCAAATCTTTTTTATGGGCCCTAACCCCTCCTCGATCCGAATGCGGCACTGCTGGAGGTCGGCGCCGCCAACGTACTTGCGGCCGGGGGGGACGTAGCCGGGGCCTGCCTTAGCCACCGCCCTCAACATGTTGCGGAAGAGCGGGTGATCCGCATGGTGCTCGGGAATACGAAGGCCAGTGAAGAAGAGGCAGAGCGACTCATCGGCCTTAGCTTTTGCCACCGCCGCATCGCCGCCATAATAGTCTAAAAATTTCCTCTTCCCACTAGGACCGAACCCACCACTAATCGCCTCCATCGCCGCGGCGGTTGCCTTCCCCTTGTCCTCTTTCGCCTTCCCTTTAGTCTCGTACACTGTCTTAATAGACTCTACCACATCCTTGGGAGCTTTGTGACAAAGGAAGACATCGCGATTCTTAGGTTGACCTTCCCAAACCGCGAGATGCTGAGAGCACCGCGTCGTGGACTTCATGAAATCGTGGGAACAAAATTTGCACATCGCCCTCTTCCCCTTGCCTTTCTTAGGATCCATAAAAAAAAAAAGTGCTTGTATGTAGAATGTTCTGGCATTTCTTCGTACTTTATTCCTTCGCTAGAACCAGCTATCGGTGCTCCATGGGTGTCTTCATTCGATGTACTAGGGTTGGAGGAAGCCATGGCAGTAGGATCGGTTTCTAACTTTCTTTCTACTAAAAACGCTAACCCTAATGTCGCGCGCTAAGCTAGGAGTCGAGTTTGCTGCTGGTCGTAAACCTAGAATGAAGTCGCGGGAGTTGTGCTTGTGCTAAATGTGTGTCTGCAGGTTGCGTTTTGTAGTTGTTGAGCGGTTGAAAGGGGTGGGGGGGTTGTTTTTTGTGTTGTGGGTTTTCAGTGTGGTGCAATGTCGAGTGAATTTTGAAGTCGCGTTTTCGGCGCGAACTTCAATGTTGATTTTTTTTTTGCGCATTTTTTTTTCCGATTTTGGGCTGCCCGAAAACTTTAGGGGGGACCGTCAAGCGTCAAAGTCCCCGTCCAGCGTCAATTCGGTCCGAATTGACGCTTGACGCTGGCCTTCCCTAGCGTCAATTCCATCTAAGAGGGTGGGTGGGATTCTGTGGGTGGTGGGTGTTTGTGCGTGGGTGGATGGGTGATTCTGGTTAGGTGAGTTGGTGCATGGTTGGGGGTTGGGTGTTTGGTCTGAATAGGTAGTTCTGGGTAGGTGGTTGGGGGTTGGGTGTGTGGCTTGGATGGATGGTTCTGGGTAGGTGGGTAGGTGGTGTATGGTTGGGGGTCGGGTGCGTGGGTTATATGGGTGCTGGATTGTTGGGGATGGGTGGACGGGTGGGTGTTTTGAGGGGGTGGGTGGTGGGTGGTTGGGTTGGGGTGGTTGGGTGGGTCTGTGGTTGAGAGAATGGGTGCTTGAGTGAGTAGGCAGGGTGGGTTGTTTGGGTGGGTTATTCATAAGACGAGGGTAAGTTGAGTGAAGGAAGAGAATTTGAATCGCCTAGTGACAGTTTGAATGAGGTAGTGTGGTTGGTTGAGTGGAAGAGGAGGATGGTGGTTGAAGTGCCTATGGGGGGTGAGTGGAGGAAAAGGGGCCTGCAACCCCTAGGGGAGGGGCCTGATGTCTCAAGGGGAGGGGACTGAAACCCCTTGGGGGGAATAGTGAAAGAGAAGATGGCTGAAACACTTAGACTGAGTGGGTGAGTGAAAGAGGGGTTGTGGGGGTGGGTAAAAAGGAAAGAAAACTGAAATCTGATTTTGGGTGAGTTGGAGAGAAGGGGGCTGAAACCCTGAGGGTGAGTAAGTGGACGGAATGGGGGCTGAAACCTTGAGGGTGAGTAAGTGGACGGAATGGGGGCCGAAATCCCCAGGTGGTTGAGTGGAAGAGGAGTAGGGTGAAACCCCCAGGGAGGGAGAGTGAAAGAGATAGGCTTGAACCCCTGGATTGGATGAAAAATGGATGAGGATTGGATGAAGAAGTGGGGTTGAAACCCCATGGTGTGTTGAGTGTTGAGAGTAGTGAGAGTGGTTGGTGAGTGTGAGGTTGGGAAGAGAGTGGCTTGAGTGAGTTTCGAGAGTGAGTTGTAAGAATGGTGAGTGAGTGTAGAGAGTGTGTGGTGGGAGTGGTGAGAGTGACTTGTGGGAGTAGTGAGTGGGTGGTGGGGGGTATAGGTGAGGGCTGTGATATCGAATGGTGTGATTAGTGAGTGTGAGTGAGAGTGAGTGGTTGGAATGGTGTGTGGTGTTTGCGGTGTGAGTTGGTGAGAGTGAGAGGTGAGTTGGAGGAGTGGAAGGGAAGGTATGTATGCAATGCTGTGTTGTGCTGTGGTTTAGTGTGGTGTTTTTTTTTCATGCCACATGGCATGGTGTGTGTGATATGGCATGGTGTGATATGATTGCCATTTTATGTTCGACTGTGGTATGTGATGTTTTGGCATGATGGTGAGTGTCATAGTGTGGCATGCCGTGACTTATCATGCCGTTGGCATGTTATGCAGTAGCTGGGACGAAGTGGGCACAGCAGTCAATGAAGATTCTTGTTATGGTGCTTCTGTTGGGGAAGAGGAGCCAAGGTTTAGGTCATGTGCTTCAGTACAGTGCCATACCATGCCTTGCTGATCTTGCACCAAGACTGTATCAATATGTTTGCTTAAAGAGATATAGCACCTCAGACTGTTGGGTTGGATTGGGTTGTTTAGTTTAATAACATACTATCATATTGAGAATATGTACCCCATCAGGATGAAACAAACAGATCAAAGCCTAGCAAGGATCTGTTAGAAGTTGAAGCTGATTGTTAAGGGGCCTCATACAAACCTGTACCGCTACCAGTACCGTTATGCCATGAAAGAGCACATTGTCTTCTCATCTCAGTAATCGGGTACCACTGCAACACAATGATGCCTAATGTGCATGGCATGGCGTCTAGCCTGCATACAACCGTGTGGTAACAGACATGTACTGTAACATGTACGGTAGTATCAATTCAGACTTCACCACACTGCTCGGTTTGCTATCCTAGCCAAGCTGTAACACAAACACACCCTAATGTACACTCTCAACGACCAGCATCTACTTGTCAAATAGCATTTATATGTTTTGTTAGTTTGCTAGGCTATAGTGAGTTGCCTAGTATAGGGTACACAAATTCCCTCTTGTACCTCTTGCCCTACTAGTCGACCAACCTATTCCGCTAGTACTTTGAGATGGTATCACGCTAGTTCCTTCCTTGACCTAACTTACCTCAGCAACGTTCCTAAGCTAGTTTAGTCCTTAGCTTCGTCTCCGCCAGCCAGCCTTTGCCCGCGTGGCGCCTCCGCCAGCCAGCCTTCCCGTCGACCTTAGTGCAGTAGCAGTCGCGCGCTCCCTTCTAGCCTCTCGAACGCGCGCATGCATTCCGCACATACCAGCACAGCGCCCGCCAGCATAGCGCGCTCAGCAGGGCAGCGCACGCCAGCAAACCGCGCCTGCATAGCGCGCGCGCCAGCACAGAGAGCGCCAGTGACGCTCGCGCACTAGCAATGCGCACGCGCTCAGCAGGCGCACGAGCGCCAGCGCGTAGCGCGCCACAGCAGCCTGCCCTGCCGCAACACGCGCCGCAGCGCACACCGACACTGCTGCGCGCGCTGCACCCGTAGGCACTCACTGCTGCCAACCGCTGGCAGCTATGCTAGCTGCCAGCACCTCAGCTCGCGCCAGCAGCAACTACGCTAGCCGCCAGCCCGCCTCTGCCTCAGCAGCCACGAACGTGCAGCGCTGTGCACGCCACGCTCCGCCTGCTGCCCGCACGCAGCAGCGCACAACTGCATTACACGCAGCCAGCAGAAGCGCTAGCGCGAGCAGCACTCGCTGGAATTTGCCGCCAGCAGCAGCAACTTACCGTCAGCAGCAGACACCAGCCGCCCAAAACTCTTTCCAGCTGCCCACAATTCATCCCAGCCGGCCACAGCCTCTCCCAGCCGCTCACAGCCCCTCCTAGCCGCCCACCACCGCCTAATTCCGCCCATTTTTTGCCTACTGCCGCCCATAGCCGCCCATCGTACCACCAGTGCCCATTGTCTAGTGCACGCCTCCTGTGTTTGGCATCCCTAACCGCGGCGGGCAGCCACAATCACTTTCCTGTCGTAGTTTCGGTTTGTGCCTCGACTGGCGTTCCTAGTATTCCTTGCCTAGCCGACTGTTCCCAGGATGGTGTCTCTTCTTCGGTAGTTCTTAGAATCGCTCCAGCCGTGCCTTGCTCCAGCCGTGCCTTGCTCCAACCGTGCCTTGCTCCAGCCGTGCCTTGCTCCAGCCGTGCCTTGCTCCAGCCATGCCTTGATCCAGGCATGCCTCGCTCCTAGCTGTTCTCGCTCCTAGCTGTTCTCGCTCCTCGCTCCTATCTGTTCTCACTCCTCGCTCCTAGCTCAGTGTGCTCCGTGCTCCGACTGTTCCTCGCCTAGTTTCACCTGGCGCTCCTAGCTGTTCTCGCTCCAGCCGTTCCTCGAGCCCGTAGCTTCTAGCCTGGCGTTTCTAGCTCCGGCCATGTCTCACTCCAGTCGCTCTTAGCTCCAGTTGCTCCTAGCCTGCCGCTCCTGCACCCAGCTAGCCTTTACCATGGCGTCCACTAGAGTTCTCCAGTAGCAGGGACAACAGCAACGGCAGTTTCAGCAGTGAGAACCTCAGCAGCAATGGCGCCCTCAGCAGCAGTGGCGCCCTCAGCAGCAGTGGCGCCCTTAGCAGCCGTGGGGGCCTGGTGGTTCAGGTAGCGTTGGTTGCAGCAGCGGCCCAGCCAGCTTGGGGGCTCGTCGCAGTGGCCATGACGTCGGCCCCTGCCAGTACCGGATCCTGACCGGCCCTGGTGCTGGCACTACCTGCTGGCGTCCTGACCACTCCGCACAGCGCTGCTACAGCCGCCTCGACGACCTATAGTGTGGGCGTTTTGGGCCTGAGTCGAGGCCACCGATCCGGCCCGGTCTGTCTCGTAGTGGTTACCCTGTATTTGATATGTCTATGGATCCTGCTTATTCTGTCACGTATGGATCTCTTGGCTTGTGTGTACCTAGCTTAGGACCTTTGCCTGTTGCTAGTGTAGGTATTTGTGCTTTTAGTGTAGGTGCTTGTGTAGTCACTAGTCCAGCCATGACGACTGCTGTCGTGTTGCTCTCCTTTACGCTGGACTCAGGCGCGTCGCAGTGGTGCTTCTTCCACGACCACTCCACTGTCACACCTCTTTCGGCTCCAGTCCCAGTTGCCCTGGCTGATCCTACTTCAGGACAAGCAGTCGCTCGCAGCTCGACCACTCTCCCATGCCTGGCTGTCCCTTCTGGTTTCCTCGCTGGTCTCTACATCCCCTCGTTCTCTCGGAACTTGGTGGGTGTTGGATACCTTTAGGACCGTGGGATCACAGTCATTTTTCCTGCGCACGGGAGGACGGCGATTTGTACAGATGCTTCCACCATGGCTCTTCTTGCCACGTTCACCAGAGAGCCCCACTCATGTCTCTTCGTTCTGCACACTACGTCCCACCAGGTAGCAGAGTCCGTCCAGGTTACTGCGTCCCCCCAGGTAGCAGAGACCGGTCAGGTTACTGCATCCCCTCTGGTTGCTGGTTCTAGTTAGGTTGCTGCGTGTGGTCAGGTTGCTGCATTTTGCTCCTGTCGGTCTCTCGCCCACCCGACCGTCTTGTGGCACCACCGTCTTGGCCACCCATCGATCCCCCGCCTCCGCAACATGGCTAGTCAGCGTCTTGTCTCGGGTCTCCCTCGCGTCTTTGTGTCGCTCCCTCCTTTGCCTGCACTGCCGTGCACTCCTTGCATCGCCAACCGCTTGTGCGCCACTCCGCACTCCTCCTACCTTCGTCCGGCCACTGCTCCCTTCTAGAATCTCCACTTGGACGTCTGGGGCCCTGCCCCTATGTAGGGACCTGAGAGGGAGCGCTACTTTCTGGTGGTCGTCGACGACTACTCCATGTACACCACGGTGTTTCCTCACGCAAAGAAGTCCGATGTGACTTCTCCTCAGGCCCTTGGTCTTCCCTCCTCTTCTCCTGCCCGATCTCCGTCTCTCCCGACCTTTGGCCCTACGTTTCCTCCTCCTGACGACTCTCCTGCTGTCTGGTCTTCTCCTCGGTCCCCGTCTTCTCCTCCTGTTGTCCCACACTACCGAGTCCGTCCCTGTCCCCCACGTGCTCGTCCCTCGTCCCCCATTACCAACCTCCGCACTGCCCTCTTTTGTTCTTCTCGTCGTCGTTCTCCACCTGTGTCTGTTCTCCCGTCTCCTCCTCCGTCCTCTCTTCCCGTCTCCCTTACCCCTATCTCTGACTACTACCGTGCTGATCGCCCTGTTGTCTCCCGTGTTCTCGCCACTCTTGCCACCGAATCTCGTTTCTCTCCGTCGTCTGTCTCGGCTCTTACTGCCGCTCTCACTGACTTTGCTTCCACCCGCCGTCTTGACTACACCAAGCGTGTGGTGGCTGCTCCACCTCCCTGTCCTCTGTCCGCCGGGGGTGAGTTTGCCCTTGGCTGTGACGTCCTAGAGGACAGGCAGTTTGAGCTGGAGTTCTTGGCAACCGCTTCCCCCTCTCTCTGCACCTTGCTGCTTTCCCCTGAGGGAGACCCCGACGGCCTTGACATACCGACTACTCGCACGTACTGTGAGGCAGTGTCAGGGGAGTGGGCCTCTCAGTGGAAAGCGGCTATGGACTCAGAGTTAGCATCATCCACAGGCACCTACGTCGACGCAGTTCCCCCTCCCAGGGCGAACGTTGTCGATGGCATGTGGCTCTTCAAGGTGAAGCGGCCGCCTGGATCACCGCCTGTGATCAAGGCGCGCTACGCGGCTAAGGGTTTCAGTCAGCATGAGGGAGTTGACTTCTTCCAGACCTTCGCCCCGACCCTGAAGATGACTACTCTTCGGGTGTTACTGCACGTAGCAGCACAGCGAGACTACGAGCTGCACTCACTCGACTTCTCCACTACGTTTCACCAGGGGCGCCTACACGAGGAGATCTGGCTGCGGCGTCCTCCTGGCTTCACTGACACCTTCCCACCTGGGACCCAGTGGAGCCTGCGACGACCAATCTACGGTCTCCGCCAGTCGCCCCGTGAGTGGCACGACACTCTTCGCTCCATGCTTCGGGATCTTGGGTTTCGTCCTTCTTCCGACCCGTCGCTGTTTGTTCGTGCTGGTTCCACTCATTTCTTTATACTTGTTTATGTCGACGACTTGGTCTTTGCTACAACAGACAGGTCAGCTCTGGCTGAGGTGAAATCCGAACTGCAGAGGAGACACACGTGCACTGACCTCGGTGAACTGCAGCGCTACCTTGGCCTGCAGATCACCAGGGACAGAGCCGCTCGCACCATCACGTTGACGCAGTCACACATGGTGCAGCAGGTCCTTCGGCGGTTCGAGTTTCAGTTCTCCACCACCCAGCCCACTCCTCTTGCTGTTGACCACAAATTCACTGGCCCCTTTCCCGACGAGCCCTTTGAGTCCAGTGGTCCCTACGCAGAGCTTGTGGGCCGACTTATGTACCTGATGACTAGTATTCGGCCGGACCTCGCTTTTCCCCTCAGCGTCGTCTCTCGCTTTGTTGTGACTAGGAGACACCGTCCTGTTCATTGGACAGCTGCTGTGAGGGTGGCGAAGTACCTGGCGACTACATCAGGCACGGGGCTTGTGCTTGGAGGGACTCAGCCAGCTGAGTTGACCGGCCACTGCGACTCTTCCTATGCTGACGACGCGGAGACTCAGCGTTCGACTCAGGGTTACTGCTTCAGTCTGGGTGCTAGTGCTGTGTCGTGGAGGTCCACACGATCGTCGTCTGTGGCTTCGTCCAGTGCAGAGGCAGAGTTCTACGCTGGTGCCATGGCGGCACAGAAGCTTCGCTGGTTGACTTTCTTGCTTACCGACCTTGGTGAGCGGCCTCGCTCTGCACCGACCTTGTACGCTGACAACAAGGCCATGATCCTCTTGTGTCGAGAGCCTCGACTGGAGAGTAGGGTGAAGCACATTGACGTGAGGTACTTCGTCCTGCGAGAATTGCAGCGACGCGGCCAGGCATGCTTGGACTTTGTAGCCTCAGAGGCCAATACTGCTGACGTCTTCACCAAGGCCTTGGCGCCTGGTGACCACCACAGGTTCTGTGTGCAGCTAGGGCTTGTTGAGGTAGGCCCTTGGTTGCTCTAGCTTTGACTCTTAAACCTTGCACTGTTGTACTTGTATCTACATTTTCTTGTGAACTTTATGAACCGGCCTCGTGGCCGTTTGCTTGTGCTCGGACTGTGTGGTGACTTCGTGATCCACCCCGAGCTCTTATGTTGTTGCTTCTCTCGCTTGGCCTTGTGACCCTTTGTTTCGCTCGCTTGTTTTGATGCCCCTCACTTAGCCGCGGGGGTGTGTCAAGTAGCATTTATATGTTTTGTTAGTTTTCTAGGCTATAGTGAGCTTCCTAGTATAGGGTACACAACCTCCCTACTAGTCGACCAACCTATTCCGCTAGTACTGACTACTGTACGATCAAGTCCGGCCTTCTACTGCCATGCCAGCCTTTACCTAGTAAGGAAATCCATTTCCTTCCAAACCATACTGGATGTGTGCAGGCAGGACAGCAGAGCTAGTACCGATTCACAGATTCTCATAAGCCCGCTGCAGGATTGAGAGGTTCTGCCGCAGGTCGAAGTTGTGGGTGCGCTGGCTATCAGGTGCCCGCCAGACAGAATCTACCACCAACCATTCACCAAACACCCCTGCTGCTGCTACTTCCCATTACTCCTACTTCTTCAGAAACAGTGTTTTTTTCTTGACAGTCGCCTGCAGGATGGCGAGGTTCTGCCGCAGGTCGGAGTTGTGGGTTGTGAGCCCCCGCACCTCGTCCACCAGCTCGCGCACCTTGCTCAGCATCGCCTCCTGCGCCTGCCGCCCTGCTGCCCTCTCCACCTCCACCTGCTGCTCTGCTGCACGCCGCTTGGTTCTCTCTGCTTCTGCCTCCTGGTGTGAAGCGTGGCATGGGTAGGAACGGGTGGGCAGGAGTGGGTTGGTGCGAGTGGGTGGTGCAAGTGGGCTTTCATGGAGAAAAGATTTTGTTTAGCGGGGCATTAAGACGAGAGTCCATCTAGACGAGCGTGTGCATGCCCAGACAACAAGAGAGAGGGTCGCGAGTGTGCCACCCAGAAATCCACAGGGTGGCTTGCAGTGAATTGACCATGGGTTCAAGTGGGTTGAAGAAGGGTAGTGCTGCAGGGGAAGGCAGGAGTAAGCACTGCTCAGATGAGCGACACACATGGGGAAGCGTGTTACCTCATGTGCTTGCTGCAGCTGTGCTCTGAGGCTGCTGATCTCATCCATCCACCCCTGTGACCCTGTCTTTAGCGCCTGCACATCACACACAGACATATGCACACGCACGCACCCGCACACGCACACAGCACACACACGCACACACTTATTGAGTCGACCAAATAACCATTCATCATCCAGCCTGGTGACCTTGTCTTCAGAGCCTACACATCACACCCTCACAACCCCCTTCCCCCCCCTTTTCTCCCCCCCTCCCTCCCGATCCTCACCATAATACATGCATGCTTTAAAAAAACCTGCAACGGTGCCAGCAGCAACACCAGTGACAGCAAAAGCCCTCTCTGTTGGAATGAGGAGTTTTAGAATAATCCCGTTCCTAGCAGATGCCATATACCAAACCCACCCCCCCCTCTGTAGGAAGCGTCTCACCTGATTCTGGGCACAGAGCACGCGCACGGTGAAAGCAAGCGGTGTGTGGACGCATGCAATAGCCTCGTCCTGCACGGCCGTGGACATGCGCTCCACGTGGATCAGCTCACCCACGCTCAGCACGTCCCCTTCCTCCTCGCCGCTCGCTGCAAACGCGCTCACGGCTCCCCACAGGGCGTCGTGGCTGGGCCGTGCGTGGGGAGAGAAGGATCGTACAAGCCGCTTGAAATCGCCCACACTCACTCTTGCTCCGACTTTGCTGCTGCTGCTGCCACCGCCGCCCCCACCGCTGCTGCTGCTGCTGCTGCTGCTATCCGTGTTGCTGCTTGTGATTGTGCTACTAGCGCTTCTGCCACTACTTACTGTGCTGCCACTGCCACTGCTGCTGCCGCTGCTGCTACCAGCAGCGGCAGTGGCATGCATCGGTTGGCCCATGGCTTGGCACCGGCATGCCAAGAATTCATCAATGAGCGCTGCTGCTCTGGTGAGGTCCCTCTGGGACTGGGCTGGAGGCCGCCCCTCCTGAGCTGCTACGAATTCCGTTACTATCGCCTGAAAGAAGTCGAGGCAGGCAAAAACAGGAGAGACGGATTTTTTTGGGGAGGGGGGATGAGAGAAGAGAAACTGAGCTGGAGAAAGGGCGGAGAGAGGTGGGGCATGGGATGCAGCACGCATGCATGGAAACTCACATGGACATAGGGGATGGGGAGGGGCAGCAGATGTTTCTCCACCTCCACATCCCTCGTGAGGCGGTGTGCGGCAGCTCGGAAGAGGAAGAGCAGGGAGGAGCGTGGCATGGCGCAGAGGCAGGCGTCTGCCAGCAGGTGGAAGAGCAGGTGGGTGGAGAGAGGCAGAGTGGCGGGGTCGGGGAGGAGACGCGAGAGATGCTGCAGGGCCTGCCTGTTGGTGTGTTGAGGGGAGGGCGGGAAGGGGGGCGAGAGACAGAGAGAGGAAGAAAGTGGGGGGGTTGTGTTAGCCTGAGAGCAGGTGGAAGAGCAAGTTGGTAGAGAGAGGTAGGGCGGCGGGGTCGGGGAGGAGGTGCGAGAGGTGCTGCAGGGCCTGCCTGTTGGTGTTTTGGGGAGCAGGGAAGGAAGAGAGACAGGGAGGAGGAAAGCGAGGCTTGACTTTTGCGCAAGAGCGCGGTGGGCCATAGGGATTGTTAGTTAGGCCTACCTCTCCACGCTTCACCCGTGAGCATAAGATTGATCATGGAGGCGTGGTCACAGAATTAAACAGCAGCACGTCGGATGTTCAGAGGGCTAATCGTCACAACAAGCACAACAAGCACCGACCTGAAAGCTTCCTGCCAGTCGAGTGTATCCGTGACCAAGGGAACATCCCCATACGCCGTGTCCCACTGCCGCTTCTGCTTCTCCTCCTGCTGCTGCCGCTGCTGCCCCTGCTGCCGCCAGTCCTGAGCCCACTGCCAGTAGTAGGGCCCTAGTAGGCTGCTCAGCTGCTGCGTGCTTATGCCCTGCTTCTGGGCGCCTGCATGCAGAGAGGTGCAGGGTGGTGGCGGGGAGAGAGAGGATGGGGAGGAAGGGGAGCAAGGTGAGGAAGGAAAGGGAGGGGAGGAAGGGGAGGTGTGGTGGGGAGGAATTTGGAGTGGGTTGTGATGGAGGTAAACGAGGGAGTGGGAGCTTTTGATGCGCATGGCGGAACAGTGCGAACAAGAGAGAAATTTAAAGAGCTGGTGGTGGTGGTGGTGGTGGTGGTGGTGGTGATGGCATAAAAGGTGGTGGTGTGTAGGCAGTGAGGCACTGACTGATGAGCACGAGGCAGAAGTCCCTCAGAGCCAGCTTCATCAAATCGCCCTGCTGCTCTGCTGCCCCACCTGCTGCCCCGCCTGCTTCGCCGCCTGCTGCTTTCTTTGATGCTTCGTGTGGAGCTGCACAGTAGTGTTTGTGAGGGAGGGGATGAAAGAGCAGAGACATTAGAAGACGCATGGTACAATATCAAATAACAAATCTGAGTGCCATTATTAAATCGATTGGATGAATGAAAAGGTACTGAGCATATGATCTCTAGACGGTTTTTCTGGAATCAAACCTTGTATTACAGCTACTCAATCAGTGAAGGCAGCACGCTATCACTAAGCTGAGCACAAAATCATTCTGCGTAAAAGACGAACACAGTACCTTTGCTTCGAGCAATGAGCAGAGAGGCAGCAGCGTCAGCAGCTGCAGCCCGAGCAGCCCTGGCGTCGTTGGAGGGTGGCAGGGCGCTGCAGCTGATGAGGGGAAAGAGGGGAAGGGGATGAGGAAGGGAGGGGAGGAAAGAGACATGCAGGAATGACAGATAGAGGGTTGGGGAAAGAAGGTCAATGAGGAATGACATACTACAGGGGATTGGGAGGCGAATGAGAGATGAGAGGGATTAGGAGGGAGACGGATGGGGGATGATGACCATGTTGGGTGGGTGGCGGGGAGTGGGGGTGAGAGTGGAGGGGATTGTGTGAAGGGGAGCAAGGAACGTGCAAGCATCCATGCAAGGACACCTCAGAGGGGACGATGGAGGATATGAAAGAGGGCACACAAGAAGGAATGAGGAGGAATATGCGAGTGAAAGGGACACACAATCATTACATGCCATGGCATGGCATAAAATGGCATGTCCCCATTTCCATATCTCTTATCATCCCTTCCCCTTCCCCTTCCCCTTCCCCTCCCTTCCCCTCCTGTCCCCTCCCCTCTTATCCCCCACCCCACCACCCCTCCCTCCCTGCCCCTTCAGACGCACGATGAGAGCACATGCAGGCAGTGCGGCCACTGCTGCAGGAAGTGCTGTAGTCGCTGCGATGCCAGCTGTGGCAACGGCAGTGCGTGGCTGGGCCCACACGCGTTCATCTCCAGCAGCGATGCTGCCAGGGCGAAGGAGGGGGTGAGAAAGGCGGGGGGCGATTAAGCAGAGCATGATTTGCAAGGACTGGAGGCTCAACATTGTTGAGCGCAGATAAGACGCACGACAGAGGTTATCTCCTGCTCTCCTGGTTCAGACTTCCCCATTCCCCACTCCCGCATCCCCCCCCCCACTCCCGCACCCCCCCATTCCCGCATCCGCATCCGCATCGGAGGGGCATCAGTACCTGCGGAGCGCACGAGCAGCACGGAGTGGGGCGAGAGGCGGCAGGGGCGGCCGTAGCAGTAGCAGGCGATGGGGACGAAGGAGAGCGCGCCGCCAGGGAGGAACGAGAGGTCCGCTTGCATGGGGCCCGTGCCCTCGCCCGCTGCTGCTGCCGCGTTGGCGATCACCGTTGATAGGGAGAAGCTGTGGGAAGGGGAGGGGAAGGGAAGGGACGGTTAGCGGTGGGATGGGAAGGGAGGAGAAAGGAGGGAGATAGGAGAGGAAGGGACGGGACGGAGGGCAATTTTAGAGCGTCTGAACCGTGAAGCCTGGTTACATACCCTAGAGCACATGAACACGTGAAGCAAGGGCGTCAACGCGTACTGAGAACGGAGGCAAGTAACGCGTACAGCGGGTACTGGTGCACGTGGAAGGCTAGTAACGCGTACAGCGGGTACTGGTGCACGTGGAAGGCGCGCTGGCCGATGGTGACGACGAGGTCGCTCGCCATGCCCGCCACTTGCGCCCACTCCGGCTCGCTCTCATGCGACAGCAGCGACGCTCCCGCGTCGTCGCAACCCTCGTCGCCCATCGCGAGCGTCGTCGGAGCAGGCGACGGCGAGGCGCGCGGAAGAATCGGCGCGAACGTGGCGGAGTGAACGGCGCGGAACGGCGCGAAGGTTCAGCGACAAGGCACGGGGGAGAGCGCGGGAGCGGCTGCTGCCTGCTGCTGTCTGCTGCTGTCTGCCGCTCTCTCTTGCGCTCCTAATGTGTGCTGTGTGCAACGCGCACCAGAAATAAAGAGAACTAAGGTCTCTGAAACAACCACTCTTCGAACCAAGGTCGCTCGGAGGACGACCGTTGGACGCTAAGAGAGATTACGGTATAAAACGGACGCTCAGACTCAATGCGCCAAGAGAGATTATGGCTGTCAGGTCTGCTGAGCAATACAGCGCGTCAAGAGCGTAAAGAGCGTAAGGTACGTGAAGTGTGAAAAGAAGTGCTGAACCGTGAACACGGAGACAAGCATGCCGTGTTGCTGGAAAGCGGTGGCAGGGAATCACGCGACGACGCTGCTGATCCATCCCCCTCTCTATCACCACAATCCTGACAGTAAATATCTACAGCGCGGATCGCGCGAGTAGGATAGACAAGTCCTTCGTTAACAACGCCGCGTGAACCAAGGCTTGCAAATATAAAAAAACGCGAGGACTGGATGAACGGCTCCGATTGTACCGATGGAGCTCGACAGTGTGGATTTTCTCGTCTGTAACGCGCAGATGCTGCAGCTCCCGCAGAGCAGCAGGCAATGGCTGGTCGTACCACCCGACCTGAACTCGCCATTGCATCGCTGCGCTCTGCGATAGTGCGATGTGACAGAAGCATCGACATTTCCGACGCTTCGGCTTCGAATATCTCGACGCGACGCGAGCCTAGCTGACCTCTGCTTTCACGTTCTCGTTCTCGCCTTGGGACGGAAATGGGATGAAGGAGGCGTTTCTGCTCGAGAGATGTGATAGAGGACGAATTCGCACCAACCTCAAGGTTGTTCACCACTCACTTGAGCAAAGACCAAATAGAGTACAAGAGGGAGTTTCGAAAGAATGCTCTTCAATGCGGTGACATGCGATTTCGTGCCTTTCCGAAAGGTTTTCTGTCACTGTAAAATGTTCTCCGAGGTTTTCCAGTGACACCATGATGCCTTTCACTTGTGATGATTTGAATCTGGATTGCAAATCTGCAGTATTGGCCAGAAAACACATAACGTGAACTTCATTTACGTTTTATAAGAATACTTGTTCATACATTTGTCAGATTGCGAGACAATGTACGCCCTACCCAAAGTAGTATCCCTACACTAGTGTACATTTTGTGTAACAATAAAATAATATTAAGAGGTACACTCAGCCAAGTCCACAGCTACTCCATGGCAGCATGCCATCCATGCCCACCCCGGCATGGACTGGCAGTGCACTGCACAGGCAGAGAAGAAGGCTGGGCCTTGAGCATTGCCAGGACCAAGACGTGCGGGTGCCCTAATAGGGACTGGCTCTGCCCACGCCCGCCCACACCACATGACATCACTGCTGGCCAGACAGCTTTGTCATGTGGCGTGGGAGGGAGGGGACAGAACCAGTCCGGTTTGGCCCGGAATCGAGTCCCCAGCCAATGCTCAAGGCTTCAACCTCTCTCATGCACTAGCAAGGCCACCCACTGAAACTGCAATCCTTGCTGCCAATGAAGGCACCTGCAGGCAGAGAAAACCAAGAAAGGCGCATATTAGTACAGGCTGAAAAAAAAAAAAAAAAAAAAAAAAAAAACAATACAAAACAAAACATATCAGCAAACAAGAAATCAGGAAGTAAACCATGTGCGTAAAAAATGGAGGCAAGGGCTGAAACTTATCTGAGGTGAAGGAGCTTGGAGTGCGAAGTGCAGCGCAAGGTCTTGGGGGTCAATGGGCGTGCAGAGGGCTCTTGGAGAACCTACCATGAGGCGAAATAAAACAAGTCAGTGAATGGGGAGTTGAAGCTTAACTTGAACAAAAACCATAAGGTCAGCAAGGGTGAAAGCAAAAGGGGTAAGCAGTGGAGTAATACGATAAAGCAAGGGAAATGGCTGGGGTTGACAACTTATCTCGCCATGGTTGAGTGTTGAGGCGCGTGAGCAGGCCATGGTACTCCCATCCCATGGATCTTGGGCTTGCTGGAGTGTGCAGCGGTGCACAAGGTCGTGGGGGTACATGGCATGTAGATGGCGCTTGGAGAACCTGCCATGAGGCGAAATAATACAAGTCAGTCAATGGGGAGTTGAAACACAACTCAAAGGAACAAGGAATCAGCAAGCTTGGAGTTAGCAGTGGAGGAGCATTGGAGCGAGAAATCAAGGAAAAACGCTGGGGTTGGTGACTTATCTTCCATGGTTGTTGAACCCTGAGATGCCTAAGCAGGCCATGGAACCTGCAAGGAGATCAAGGAAACTGATTAATAAACAGCAGTGAATATAAAATGCAGAAACGGACGGTGCTGCTGTGGTGCAAGTGTGCACTGCCTACAGAGCCAATACCAATAAAAATACCTTAGGGGGACCTTTACCAACCTCAACCTTTACCAGCACCTCAACCTTTACCATCACCTCGACCTGAACTAAGGGGGGTGGCTCCGAGGAGTGTGGAGTGGGTGGTTGATACGTTCAACCTTCACCTGCCCTGGAGCTGCTCCTCTGTTGTGCGCCACAAAGCATGGAAGGCCGCCAAAAGATGTTGCTGCTCTGAAGTCATCGCAGCATACCCTCAGATAGAACCTGCAAGTTTGGCAATAAACAAGAATTAGTAAAGGAAGGGCAATAAAGAATGCAAAACGAAAAGAAGCGTGGAAAGAACAGAGCCAAATACCAACCGAAAAACCTTCAGGGGGACCTTTACCAAACCTCGACCTGTACCTAACCTTAACCAGGGGGGTGGCTCCAGCGGATTGTGAAGGGTGCAATCGATACGTTCAACCTTCACCTGCCCTGGAGCTGCTCCTCTGTAGTCCGCAATGAAGAATGGAGAGCCACGAAAGCCGTTGCTCCTCTGAAAGCTTCGGAAGTACGCCTAGCAGCCTCCATTAACACCTGCAAGTATAAGAAGTAACATGAAGTCAGTGAATGGAAGTGAAGAAAGCAAAAGGAAATGAAGACTGACGTGAAAGAAACACGTGCTGCCCCACCACAGAGCCAGTACCAACCATACACCTTGGGAACCTTTACCGCTACCGAACCTGTACCAAACCTTTACCAGGGAGGAGGCTCTGTGGTGAGTGGTGGTGAAAGGTGATACTTTCAACCTTCACCGTCACAAGTCGGGGATATCGATGTCGCTTCAGCCACGTCGTAGCTGGCGTCGCGACGAGGCCGAGGAAAAACGCAGATCGACGTAGCTTCGCTACGTTGCAGAAACTCCCACGGACGAGGTAATGAAGCTCCACGATCCGACCATACGATCCCGGCAAGGCTGAACGGCATCGACGTGAGAAGACGGTGACGGGTCGAATTTGGTAGCGCGATCGAAAGCCAAGCTCGATTAGCAGAAGTGCCAGGAAGGCTACGGAAACTAATTGAAAATCACGAGAAGACGAGCCGGAATACGAAGAGAGACTGAAGATGCGTGGAATGTCTAATTTCGGACCGTTGGAATGCGCTATTCGGTGAAATCAGTCACCAGTTGGAATTCCCGCTTTGCTGGCTTCGAAGGTGGTCCCAAACATGCCACCGTGGACTACGAGGACTATACTGGATCATACCGATTCGCCGACAAGGCTCTGATTGGACCGCCAAATGAGCCCCAACGCCTGATTGGACCGCCAACGACAACACTATCCTACCAGTCGAATGAACCTTTCAGAATGTCCTCAATTTGGGACACGTATGCTGTTTCAACAGCCAGAAAAAAACGCGGGTATACACACGAATTTTGAAGGTCTAATGACGTGGCCTACAAAACTTCCGCTCATTCAACCGCCGCGATCCGTATTCCGAAGCGTGCTGCTAAATTGAGCCGCTCTAGTGCTCAGGAGGCGGCTGGCAGAAGAGTTGGGAGGGAAGTCGAGATCTCTCTTGTTGGGTCTGACAGCAGCGGCGGTAGAGAGAAGCGACGGAGCAGCTGTAAACCCATCATCTGCCACAAGAGGAAGCTCGAGGAATGGTTTAGCGAATTGGCGATCTCACATGTAACTTCTGCTGTCGGCTGTTCCAAAGTGGTTGGAAACTGGGTTTCGCCAACCCTTGTTGCTGTTCCAGAGGCCATGTTGAGTGGCGACGTAGATGGCAAAAGGTTTTCGTGCATGCATTGTGGCGACGGCGAAGTCGTTCGTCATTCTGTTAATGTGAATGGACAGGAAACCCGGCAGGATGTCGGATGTGTGAAGGAAGGTCCAATCTGGTTTAACACGGTTCGGATAGATTTAGCGAGTTTGCAAGTCAATCTCACATCACATGCCATACCTAGGGGTTTGTCCCCCCTCATTCTCCCACCTGATCAGCCAGTGCGGTTCAGTAAAATTTTACGTGGTAAATAACGGTACCTTCAGTTAAACACAGCACCGTAAAGCACCAGACAATACCGTCGCTTCGTGAACAGAAAAACACCCTTCCCTAACCCAACCCAAGGCACACGAAAGTCCCAACTTTTTCCGTCAAAGCAATTTGAAGGTTTGTTTGATTCCCAAGGTCTCCATCCTGCTTCCCCACTGTATTTTCTTCTCAAATTCCTGTCTATCTTTTCCGCCATGATCCCCACGGCTCTTCCACATCGTTCTTTTCAAGCTCAAGCGCTTTCCCGTCCCTCTCCCTTCACTTCTTCCTTCTCTCCCTTCTCCGCCTCTGCACGCGTTCCGCTTTACTGCGTTTCAGCCAGCTCTCGCTTGCACGCGCACACTGTAGCGGCGCGACAGACTCGGTTCTCGACGAAAATTTGGCAACATCCTCGTTTCGATCAGAGTTTGAGATCAAGCGATCAGACGGTGGCCTGTCGCATGGCGTCGCACTTGCGACCGATGACTACAGCTAAAGCGACGGATGCGAAAGCGAGCGCGACAACTAGTGGCGACGGGAGCGAGAAGGAGGTGTGGGTGATGACGCAAGCAAAGGAGGTGGTGACAGCAGCACTGGAGGCGGGATGGGGGACGGTGGTGGTAGAAGGAACGGAAGAAGAAGGGGAGAGCGGAGCGGGGAAGAAGGGGAAGCGCAAGGGTGGGAAGGACGGGGAGGAGATTGCGGAGGGGAGTGCGAGCGCAGGGGAGGAGAATCGCGAGGCTTTCGAGAGTACGTGACGCGGCGGGCTCGCATGGTGTGCTGTGTGCTGTGGGTTGTGTCATTCTCGCACTCTCATTCCACTCGTCTTTCTTCCACTGTCTAGTGATGCAATGCAGCCTCATGCTAGTCGTCTCTTGCTTCCATACTTCCATTTTCGTCGCTCTTGCGTCGATGCAAACGACATCCCGTCGCACTTCGTCGCATTTTGAGTCGCACAAACATCTTCGTGACGCACACCGTCACTCCTCCGCCATTCGACGTCCCGTCCGTCTTTGCTCCTCACGCTCCCGTCGCGCCATCAAACGGGACCCCTCCCTCCGCCCCCCGCCCCTCCCCCTACCCCCGGTTCCCCACACGGGGATGCGCGGCAGAACTAGGTCGCGTGCGCGTGGTGACGCGGAGAGGCGCGGCGGTGTACGGCGCGGGCGGAGAGAGGGTGGCGGCGTGGGTGCGCGTGGCGAGCGCGGCGGAGCAGGAGGCCATGTGCGCGCTGGCGGGGCGAGAGGACGTTGTGGTCATGGACGCCGCGGACTGGAAGGTGCGCGCCGTGGGGGGAAAGGGGGGAGGGATGGGGGCTGTGTGGGGGCATTCCTGTGCAGGTGTGTGGCGTGGGGTGTTGGGCCGTGGGGGGATTGGCATGTGCTAGCAGGGCGAGAGAGGCCGTTGTGGTCATGGGCGCTGCAGACCGCTCCCTTCCCCAACCCCTTTCCCTTCCCCTACGCCTCCCCCTCCCCTTCCCCTTCCTCTTCCCCCTCCCCGTGCTGTCTGCGCGCCACCAGGTGATCCCAGCAGAGAACGCGGTGGCGGCCTTTGCACCCACGCGCACGTCCATCATGGGGGTCGCCTCCACCGCTCAAGACGCCCAAGTGCTGCTCGAGGTCCGCTGCTTCTGCTTCCTGCTGCCTGCTGCCTGCTGCCTTCCCATGCGTCTCTTGCTTGTTTCTCCTTGTTGCTCACGCTGCACAAGCCCTGCTCCACGTCTGCTCTGCTGCCACACGTGCCTCTTCCTATCTACGTCAACTTGCTCTCTTCTCCCACACGACACTCAACGCCCTTGCAGTCACTTTAAATCAAGTACTGCTCTCCATACTGCCTTCTCCGTCCCATATGCACTCAACTAACCAACACTCATTATTCCGAACTCTCAATTCCATGCCTCCCTCCCCTCCACTCCCCTCCCTCCCATCGCCATGCCCTCTCGCAACATGCTCTCCCCGGCCAACCGGCCTTAACATGCACCCTCTGCTTGCTGTTGTTGTTGCTCCCAGTCTCTAGAAGCAGGGCTGGACGGCGTTGTGCTGCGCACCTCAGACCCCTCACAAGTCTTCGCCCTCAAGGCATGTCTCCTCTTTCTCTGCCCTTCTCTCTCTCCCCTCTCCTCCCTTGTTCTCCCCTCCTCCCTCTCTTCCCTCCTCTCTCTCTGCCCTCTCCTTACTCCCTGCCCCCCTCTCTCCCTGCCCCCCTCTCTCTGTGCTCTCCTCCCTAAATCCCGTCACTCACACACACTCTCTCTACCCCAGCCATCCATCATGCCCCGTGCTTCCCCCTCCCTCTCCCTCCCTCCCTCTCTTACCCTCCCTGCCACCCTCTTCCCAACCCCACTGCATTCTCTCTTCATTCTCTTCCCTTCCCCCCTCTCCCCCTTCTCCCTCCTTCCCCACTCACCTCCCTCCACCCCTCTCCACCCCTCACCACCCTCCTTCAGGCCTACCTATCGCAGCGCTCGCGCACAGCATCCCAGGTGGAGCTGGTACCAGCGACAGTGACAGCAGTGGCGGCAGCAGGCATGGGGCACCGCGTGTGTGTCGACCTCTGCTCGCTGCTGCCCCCCGGTGCAGGCCTGCTGGTAATCCTCTCGGCTGGGCGGCAGTAGGGAAAGGCGGTGATTCTAAGCCCTGGAGGCTCCAAGGTGGTAGGGACGGGCGTCGCAAGCACGTAGCAGGGCTGCCCGACGCCCTTCCTTACGCTGTATGGTCGTGGCAAAGGACACAGGCGTACAGGCTGTTATCCCTTGCTGTTTGCCTTTGCCTCTTGCCGGTTTCTTGTTTATTGTTAAACTTTCCCTGCTTTTCCTATCCCTGTTTCTTGTTTCTTTCATTTCTGCCCTCACCCGTCTCCTCTCCCATTCTCGTCTCTTCTGTCACCCCTCTCTCTTCTCATTTCTCCCCTCTTCCTGCTTCCCCGGTTCATCCTCCCTTTTCACAACCCCACGCTGTCCATTCTGCCTTTCCCCCCGTTATCTCCCTCCTTCCCCCTACCTCCCACACTCCCACACTCTCTCATTTCCCATCCCCTTCCTCCCTCCCCTGCGCACACCCCCTCTATGGCTGACCAGGTGGGATCATTCGCGCGGGGTCTCTTCCTCGTACATGCAGAGTGCTTACAGTCTGACTACGTCGCCTCACGGCCCTTCCGAGTCAACGCGGTCAGCTCCACTCTCACACACGCGCACATGCACGCGCGCGCACACACACACACGCACATGCACGCGCACACACATGCATCATTCTGCAACCACTTATCGGCCCCTTTGCACGGGTCCCTGAGGGATGGTTTTATTTTGCAGCCCATATTTCCTCCTCTGTACCGTTCTCCTCTTATCATTCTTCTCTCCTCCCCTCTCCCTCAGGGCCCTGTGCATTCCTACGTGGCCGTGCCGGGCGGATCAATTCCACAACCTGTATCTCCTCTTCTGTATCATTCTTCTCCTATGATTCTTCGCCCCGTCTTCTCCCTCAGGGCCCTGTGCATTCCTATGTTGCCGTGCCGGGCGGCCGCACAGCATACCTTTCTGAGCTAACGGCAGGCAGCACAGTGCTCGTGGTGGAGCGCACAGGACAAACTTGGCCGGCCACTGTGGGGCGGGTGAAGGTGGAGGCTCGTCCGCTCACTCTTGTGACAGCCAAGGTGGGTGCGGCAGCTGCAAGGGTAAGTGTGGTACTTGCTACAGCAGGGGGCAGTTCGAGGCGAATGTTGTCAAGCCTTTAGCTTTTCGGTCACTGCTGTTCCACGTCTGCTGCTGCTGCTTCTTCCTGTTGACCAACCACCAATGCATTTCTTGCCAGGGATTCCTGCAGCTAGGTAGCTGCATCACTTGAGCTGGCTGAAGCATTATGGATAGGCTGTACTGTGTTGTGAGGGATGGAGGCATCGAATACCTGCAGTGCACATTGCAGTGTGCAGTGGATGAATCTTCCTCCCCTCTGCACCTCCCCTCTGCATTTTCCTGGCCATTACAAGAACGTCTCCATAATCCTTTAGAACGCTGTGACTTTCAAGCCTCACTTGAATGTCAGAACCCAGCTTGCTCCACGCACTGCATAGGCCCCTCCACCCCCCCTCTGTCCTTGTTTCTGCAGGTACCCGGGCATGAAGAGTGCCTCCCCTGTAATCCTTCATAGAGCTTCCCATGGAAGGCCATGAAGACAGCTTCCCATGGAAGGCCATGAAGACAGCTTCCCCATAATCCTTCAAAACGTACGGTAGCACCTTTGGAATCGACTCTCAATTCCAGTGCCCTGCTTGCTCCACCCACTGCACCATCTCTCCCTTGCGTCCTTACTACTGCTCTGCAGGTACCAGGCCATGAAGACAGCTTCTCCATAATCCTTCAGAATGCTGAAACCGTTCGCCTCGTCTCTCCACTAGACCCCTCCGGTCCGTGCTCTTGCCACATCGCATCCCACCCATGCCTTCTTACTAACCACAACTTGCATGCAACCATGCACCCGCCGTGCTTGCCTGTCTGCTTGCCCAATCCTCCAAACTCATGCATGTGAAGTGCACACATACAACCATCCATCACACACGTACACTGCATGCCTGCACATACGTTCCTCACATACACCCCATGCCATGCCTCTTCCCATTCCTACACTCCTGCTTTCCACCTGCCCTACTTCCTCCCTCTTGCAGCATCCAAGGCGGCAGCAACAGGGTCAGTGTCAGTGAGTGAGTTGAGAGAGGGAGACCAGGTGCTGCTGGCAATGCAGCAAAACGCAGCACGGCACACAGGCATAGCCGTTCAGGAGTTTGTCCGGGAAGCATAGGTTGCATAGCATATCCCAGCAAACTGCAGTAACGAGTTACGGTAATGAGTTATATGCGTGAAAAATATGTCAGTTCAGTTATCACTCAATCTGAGGTTTTTACCATACTTAATGACAGACGGCGCAGAGGTCGCGACAGACGGACAGGCGACCATCAGTTGGACATCCCAAGATTCTGTCCTGTGGAGAAGGTGAATCACAGCTTGAGGCTTCTTTTGATGGTACCGACAACAGATCCTTTTACACTAGGAATCAAGAACTGTTTGTGTATCATGGTCAGATTTTCTAATACAGACACACCACCACATTCTACAACCTGTACAGGAAAACCACTACTACAGGGTACCATTCCCGCACCACAGCACCCAGCCCAACCGCTTCCACCACGCCCACACCCCTTTCTACTCCATCTTCTTCTGCTTCTGCTTGTTGAGCAGCCCTACGAGCTTGTCCTCCACCACGCCCTTCACCTGCTTAATCTGCGCCAGAGCTTGGCCCAGATGCTCGTCCACCTGATCCTCGTACCGGTCGTACAGCACTGGCACTGTGAAGGCTGCGAGCATACCTGGTGAAGGGTGAAGGGGGGAAGGGAGAGAGAGGGAGGGAAGGGAGAGAGAGGGAGGGAAGGGAGAGAGAGGGAGGGAAGGGAGAGAGAGGGAGGGAAGGGAGAGAGAGGGAGTTCAAAGGGGATTAATGGCAGTGGAGAGAAGCCAGGGTCTCATATGAGTGAGTTCTTATGTTTCTTAACAAGGGAGAATGGGGGACAGACATGTGGGAATGAAGGCAGCATGTGGGCGGCATGACATGACACATACCAATGAAGACGAGAGTGAGGAAGTGGAACCACCCTCCCACCACGGAGACGAAATACAGCCCGCTCAAAACCTGCCACACACACAAATGAAGATAGGAAAAAATGCGCGCAGAAGGGGGGGAGCGATAAGGTCAGGAGGGGGACACGGAGAGAGGAGGCGCAAGAGAGGGCGGGCACCGGAGAGAGGATGCGGAAGGGCAGGCGCGGGAAAGCGGGCGAGGAAGAGCGGGCGCAGCACCTTGACGAGCAACATCTAGCCTTGCCCGACGCTACACCGTGCGCTAGTTGCCACACGCGCGGTTCTATATATGTATAAACACGAGTAACTGTCACCTTCACGAGAGAATTTTACGGTACCTTGACACGCAGCATGTACCGTAGTTCTTTCTCGGGTTGGGTAGAGAAATACAATTGGATGACGAGGAGGTTGGGTTCACGACTTCGTTTAGGGTTGTTCGTGCGACTGGGGCTTTCGTCATTGTTACCGCAGTTGCTGTGCGAACTTTCGAAAACAGGCAGGGCCAAGTGATCCAGTGGGACTGAAGAGCAGCAGGGCAACACCCTTTCAAAGTTAGGAAGCTTGAGGCACTTTTGGGCTGTTTGGGACTCCGGCAGCATGTAGTCCTTGCCCAGCGCCACGTCGTGCAACTCACACGCGTGCAAATTAGACATGAGAACACGATTCGTTGCACACGTAAGCGGCTGCACCACCCACCTTGACGAGCAGCATGTAGTCCTTGCCCAGCGCCACGTCGTGCGCGAGCAGCAGCGCCCTGTTGGCGTGATCGCGCAGGCGCAGCGCCGTCGAGCGCACCGCGTCCTCGGATAGCCTCAGCGCGGGGAAGGGCGGACCCGGCCTGCGCAGATCCAAGGAGCGGCGCGGGAAAAGAAAAGCCACAATCGATCCGCAAGTGAGATTACAGCCGATCTTGGTGAACAAGATTGGATGAGGCGGTCACTTGCTGCGGTAGCGGCGGAACGGCGAGACTGAAAGGCGACGAGACGATGAGACGTCTTGACGGCGAAAGTTAAGACAAGGTATGCCGATTAGAAAGGCTAAAACATTGATGAGTCGATAGAGATCGTCGACAGAGAGAGTAAGCCAGAGCGCGTAAGGGGAGAGCGTGGACAAGGCGCGTAGGCGGAGGGCGTACTTGTTAAGAAGCGAGGACACTTGAGCCCAGGCGAAGACGAGCGAGATAAGAATCATGAGCACGTCCGCGAGAATCGTGAGTAGCGTGAACCCCGACCGCTCGAACACGATCCATAGACCCGCGACCGACACCAGGATTCCCGCACTCGCCTTCCAGTCCTTCCATAATAGCACATCCGCGGCTGGAAGAGCAAATAATTCGAATAATACAGATCACAGATCGCGCGGGATGGAAAGAACGCGGATTTGAGTTTAGATTTATACCTTGAAACGGTCCGCAAAGGTAGATTGAACAGGCAATCGTAGTGCATATGCTTGCTCGGGAAAGTTGGCAAATAACTCGTTATTCTTACCCTTGCCGCCACCAAGCAGTTCCCTGACTGATTTCGTCCTGCCGAAAGGACGCTCCTTCAACGGAGAAGACGCTGCCGGTACGGCGGTCTCGGCGGATAGCGAATCGGCCATAACGTCAAGCTTCAACTGCGATCCGGACGCTCAAAACACACGGTAAGGGCCCGACTTGAACGCGCTCCGCAGGGAAAATAGCAAAGAATAATCTGAAAGAGCAGAATCTCTGGAAGTTCGCCGAATGTCTAGAGAAGAGAGGTAGAGAATAGTGTGGAAGCAGATCGAAGCTTATAGGCTTGGCTTGGAAGGGATTCGCGAATTCTGCGAAATATGTGTTTCCCGAATATCTCGTTTCCTGACGAGTCGAATTGAATCTGGCGATCGAGCTTGGCTCGCACGGAGTGCCCTTGCGCCACACGCAACACAACACCGGATGACGGCGACGACGACGACGAAGGCGATTCGACAGGCGAACCGACGACGAACAGACCGCAAACGAGTGACCACGATTCGTCTGCTACGCAGTCGGTCGCACACTCTAGAGCTAGGTCGCAGAGATCTCGCTGTAATCGCGCCTGCCCGCTGACAAATCCAGCATCAGCACTCGACCCCACTTTTGTGGAGACAGACACGTGTCCAGGGTCCGAGGCTGTGCATATCCGCGCTATTGCGAATGATTGAAGAGTACACGCCCGAGTGACTAGGAAGTTTTCTGAAGCCAATTCTTTGACGGCATGCAAGACCGCCTACTGATTTTACCCCAAATTGTGTATTACTCTATCCTTCACATATCATCCAAAATGCGTTTATAAGACACCAGAGGACAAGGCTCACCACTACATAGCATAACTAGCACAATAACAGCGACCTAGAGTGTCTACAAGTGCAATAATAATCATAAAACCTCTACATGCCATATCTACCACCAAACCCACATTCCTGCACAATCAAGTAGCTTACTTAGTGCTTACTCAAATGAAACCTAATCAGCCTGACTACTAGAACATGGGTCATCCAAACCCTATGAATCACAACCAAACCACACAATGGCACCGTGAGCTGGCTTCAACAGATACTACACCAGACAACAAAAACTGCCCGCTACTTATGAGTCTTGCCGCCTCACCTCATGGAACCCAGTCCCGTAACTTCCCACTGACAGACACACTCGTCCCCTCCCCCCTTACCCCCTCAGTCCTGGCATTTTTCCCTCCTGGTAGCAGCAGCAACCCCTGCCTTGCCCATGCCCCTCACTGGACTGAAATTCGGGCTCCCCTCATCCTCCTCCTCCTCCTCCCTTCTCTCCTTCCACCCCCCTCCATCCTCCTCCCCTCTCTTCCCTCGCGGGCTGCGAGACACCGCCCTCCCTACCCTCTCTCCTCCCCTCTCTCCCCCTCCTCCTATGCTCCCAGAACTAATCCCACCCTCCCTCGTCTCCCCTCTCGCGCGCCTCCCTCCGCCACCACCTCTCCCGCCCCTCCCATCATACTCCCCCATGCGAGCCGGACTCAGCCTGCGGTCCCGCCCAATATCCCCCTGTCCACCCTCCCCGCCGCCTTTCTCCCGCTCATGCTCGTACCGTCTGCCCCGGCCCCCCCACCCTCCTCTCTCCTCCTCCATCTCCTCCTCCCCATGAAACGCATTCATCCCCTGCCCGCTCAAATGCTTGCGCAGCAGCCGGTTCCCCCCACCTCCTCCTCCTCCCCCGCTGTTATCCCTCACAAGCCCTGAGTCTCTCATGTACCCCCCGCCATCACGCATCATCATATAAGCGGGAGCACGCCCTATGCTGATCCCCGCCTCGCTCCGCACCCCCGCCGACTTGAGACTATCATTCGTGTTGGTGCGCTGCAGCACCGGACCCGACCCCTCTCCACCGGACAGCCCCCCTTCATCCGACCATTCCCCCGACTCCCTCCGCCCAAGCGTCCCCCCAAGCCCTCCTCCCCCTCCCCCTCCCGGCGCCCATCTGCTCCCCTCGCGACCCACACCCAGACCCCCACCGCCGATCCCCCGTCTATACCCCGTCATCCCATGCACCTCCGGCTGCCCACTCTGCCCGGATAGAGTCCTATACAGAGCACTATCCCGCACGTCCGCGCTCCGCTCCTCGTACGACCCGCGCGACTCCTCCTGCTGCTCCTCCGTGAGCGTTCTGTGCAGCATGCGCGCCCCGCCCGGCCGCCCGCGGATCCTCGGGCCCCGGGACCCACCTGGCTCAGCAGATTCCAAGCTGGCGCGGCGCACAAGCGTGGGGAGAGGCGCACGGTTCCCAGAAAGAGACTTCTGGAAGAGCTCTGCACGAAGCTCCTCTCGCTGCGCCATCAGGCTGCTGCTCGTGCTCGTGGTGCTGCGCGGCCCGTCGCGGCCTTCCCGCCCCCCCTCGCGCCCCCCCTCGCGACCGTCGCGCCCGTTCTGGTGGTGGTGGTGGGAGGAGTAGCGCGAGGTGGAGGAGGAGGAGGCGGGGGAGCGGCTGCTGGTGCTGGTGTCGTTGCTGTCTGCGGCGCCGCCGTCCTTCTCTTGCCACTTGAGCTTCGCCCATGTCGCCCCCGGCCTTGCAAGGCGCCTCTGACCCTCCTGTGTAAGGGGGAAAGGGGAAAGGGGAAGGTGGGGTGGTGGGAGGGAGACGGACGGTTGTGTTGGGGGAGGAGGGGGGAGGGATGCATGATGCAAGGAGGAATCACTCTGCATGTGTGGAAACATGTGCACTGAGGCAAGGAGAGGTGAGGAAACAGAAAGGGGTCCGGGAGAGAGCTAAGCGGTGGGACCGAGGAGGGCTGACTTGCAATGGTGCGGTTGAGCTTTTGTTCTCTTCTCTTCTGTCCTGTTCTGCTTTAGGTTGCACCGTGCGTTCTCCCTCCCGTGCTTCCCCCCCCTGCACTGCACCTTCTACTCTACTCCTCCTTCCTTCTCTGCTGTTCCTGATTCCCCAGTCCTCTGTGCTCATGTGCCACACGTGTTGCACGCAAAAACAATGGCACAAACGCGCAAAACCTAGAGTGCACGAAGCAGACATGGCACAAGGAACAAGATTGCAACAAGAGTGCACAAGCCAAGAGTGCACAAGCCAAGAGTGCGCAAGCCAAGAGTGCACAAGCCAAGAGTGCGCAAGCCAAGAGTGCACAAGCCAAGAGTGCACAAGCCAAGAGTGCGCAAGCCAAGAGTGCGCAAGCCAAGAGTGCGCAAGCCAAGAGTGCGCAAGCCAAGAGTGCGCAAGCCAAGAGTGCGCAAGCCAAGAGTGCGCAAGCCAAGAGTGCGCAAGACAAGAGTGCGCAAGCCAAGAGTGCACAAGCCAAGAGTGCACAAGCCAAGAGTGCACAAGCCAAGAGTGCACAAGCCAAGAGTGCACAAGCCAAGAGTGCACAAGCCAAGAGTGCACAAGCCAAGAGTGCGCAAGCCAAGAGTGCACAAGCCAAGAGTGCGCAAGCCAAGAGTGCGCAAGCCAAGAGTGCGCAAGCCAAGAGTGCGCAAGCCAAGAGTGCACAAGCCAAGAGTGCACAAGCCAAGAGTGCACAAGCCAAGAGTGCACAAGCCAAGAGTGCACAAGCCAAGAGTGCACAAGCCAAGAGTGCACAAGCCAAGAGTGCACAAGCCAAGAGTGCACAAGCCAAGAGTGCACAAGCAGCTGTGCACGCAAGCAGCAGCCTTCTCTACACACAACTATGTCCAGTTGCAACAGTGAACAACCCCCCATGTGTCTGCTATGTGCCTGCTACGTACCGTGGCTGGTCGCCCCGGGCCGCCCTTCTCCTGTGTTGACTGCCGGCTGTACTCCCCCTCCGCCTCCTCCCCCTCCGCCGCCCTCCCCCGCGCCCCTCCCCCCCCCACCCGCCGCCCACCACTGTCACGGTCATCTGAGTCCCGCCGCACCAGCCCTTGCCTCTCCCCCTCCTCCCCCGCGCGCCCATAGCTCCTCCCCGCCCTCTCCCCCCGCTCGCCCCGCTCCCCTCGTTCCCTCCGGTCCCCAGAGTCACCCCGTCGCTCCTCTGACTGCTTCTCTTGCTCCTTCCCCTCGCCTTCCCCCTCCCCCTCCACCTCCCCGTCCCCTTCCTCGGCGATGTATCCATCGTCCTGTTGCCTCTCCTCACGTTCCTGCCTCCCCCGATCTGCCCTGTACCCACCTTCTCTCGCTCGCTCCTTGTCACTCCCCCTCCCCCTCTCCCTCTCCCTCTCTCTATCCTCCTCCCTCTCCCTCTCCCTCTCACGCTCTCGCCCCCTCTCCGACCGCCTCCCTCCCTCTTCCCGCCCACTCCATTTCTCCCCCACGTCCCGCCCATCCCGCCCGTCCCGCCCGTCCCGCCCGTCGCGCCAATCCCGCCTGTCCTGCGCGTCCCGCGCTCTTCCCCTGCCCTCACCCTCCGCATCCCCGTCCCCATACCCGTCCCCCATCCGCCTATCCTGGCTCGTGCCACGCTCCCGCCGTCCCTCCTCGTCTCGACCCGCGCCCCTCCCATCCCTCCCTTCCCTCCCCTCTCTTCCCTCCCTGCCTCCTCTCCTCCCAACTCCCCTCTCATTCCGCTCCCCATCTTCCCCATTCCTCTCATCCTCCCCACTTCTCTCCTGCCTTCCCCCCCTCTCGTCACTTGTCCCCTCCCGCCCCGTCTCCCCATCTTCCGACTTCCGCGGCCCCTCCATGTTCCCCCTCCCCCTCTCCGCCTCCCCTCCGCCCGCCTTTTCGCCATCACCTTCCCCCTTCTGCGGCGTCCGCTCCCCGTCATCCCCGCTTCCGCCTTCTACCTTCTCCGCGGAAGCGCGGCTCTCTGCTTCCGCGCCAATCCCCTCCGCTCCGCCTCCCGTCACTCCGCCGTTGCCGCTCCTGCGCCTCTCCCCCTCCTCGGTTCCGCCAGTCCCCTTCCCCACTGGCGCTAGCCCTGCTGCCGCGCCTGCTACTGCGGGGAACGTTGCGCCGCCGCCTTGCGTTTCGGCTGGCGTTGCTGCAGCCGCCCCTGACGCCGCCGCCGCTGCTGCGGAAGGCTCTTTTGCCGGTTCCGCTCCCGCCGCTTCCGCTGCTGTCGCACTCCCAGTAGCTCCGCCCACCCCCTCCGCGGCCACTCCCGCTGCTGCTCCATCCGCTCCCGCTCCCGCTCCCTCTCCCACTCCCGCTACTGCTACCGCTGCCGCTGCTGCCGCTGCCACTGCGCCAGCGGCCGCTACTCCCACCACTGCTGGCGCAGCAGCAGCGGCAGCCGCGGGGGAAGCAGCGGGAGCAGCAGGGGAAGCGCCAACCCCCGGCGCGACCGCTGCTGCGGCGGGCGCGCCTGGCTCCGCCTTCACGGGCGGGGGGGTTGTTGGTTTGGGGGGAGCGGACGCGGCCACACCTCCCAGCCCCTTCCCGCTCGGACTCTGCACAAGACCATGCCCATGCCCCTTTTTGAACAGCCCGAACGATCCGCCTCCGCTCTCCCCGCTCGCATCCCGCCTGCCGCTTCCCCCAATTGCGCTCTTCCCCTTGCTCCTTCCGCCGCTCTTGCTCGCTTTCCCCGCGCCCTTGCCCGCCAACTTCCCCACGTCACCCATCTCCAGGCGCTCGCGCATCGCGAAGAACGCGGGTCGCGCAAGGTGCTTCCGCGACCGCAGCTGCGCCAGCATCGACCGCGCCGCGGCCGCCGGCATGGTCTCCCACGGGGAATCCGCCGCCGCGGAAAGCGGCGACAGGCTCGCCGCGCCGACCGAACCCGCGTTCGGGTTCGACTGCGGGATCGCCGCGGGGGACCCGTCGTCCGCGTTACAAGCGCCCTCGCTATACTTGCTCGTGTACGGCGCCCAGAACGCCTCGATGGTCGTCACCTTGGGCGGCTGCGCGCGCGGCAGCCACGGCTCGGGTTTCTGCAGGGACGACTGGAGGCGCTGCCACGCGGCATGGCTGTCCGCGATACACGCGTCCACGTGCTTGCGCCCCAAGGCGCGGTCGTTGAACCCGAACACGCGCCCCTCGTCGCCTGTCGCATGGCGGGACGAGAGTGGAGAGAGGAGTGAGGCCAGTGGAGTGAGGAGTGAGGGAACGGACGAGAGGTAAGGGCGCTGGTACTTGCAGGACGGATGGGCGCGGTGAAAGCGGCGGAGACGGTGGGGGTTCCAAGGCGCTTGTGGCGCGACGATGCGCGAAAAAATACAGGACGGCAGGGGCAGAAAAAAAGGGGGGACGGCAGCGGACGGCAAGGGTAGGAAAAAGCGGCCGACAAGGGACGACAAGCAGCAGATAATCAGGACGGCAAGGGTAGCAATTAGGGACGGGAGGGGTAGAAAAAACGGGACGGCAGGGGCAGAAAAATATGAGACGGCAGGGGCAGAAAGAATAGGACGGCAGCGGTAGCAACTAAAAGGGGGGGTTAACAAACAAGAGATGGTGGGGATGGCAAATAAGCGACAGGGGGAGGATTGAAAATAAGCGGCGGCGGCGGTAGTTATTAGGAACGGCTGGGGGCAGAAAAAGAAAAAAACTTCAAGGATAACATTTAGGGACGGTAGGAGTAGCAAATAAGTGCCGGCAGATGCATAAAAAATAGGACGGTAGGGGCAGTAGTGACGGCAGGGGCAGAAAATCAGGGACTGCAGGAGTAGCAAATAGGATGGCAGGGGCGTAGAATTAGGGACTTCATAGGTAGCGATTAGGTACGGTAGGGGTAGAAAACAGAGGACGGGAGGAGCAGCAAATATGGTAAGGGGTAGAAAATTAGAGAAAGACGGGAGGGGCGGTTGGGTAGGAATTAAAAGGACGGTAAGGGTAAAATTTAGGAACAGCTAGGGGCAGAAAACAAGGGACGGCAGGGGCAGGAACTCTAGGGACTGAAGGGGTGGCGATTCAGGGGCGGTTGGGGCAGCAAACAAGCGAAGGTGCGGATTGAAAATAAGGGACGGCAGGGGCACAAAAATTAGGGACGGCAGGAGCAGAAAATTGGGGACGGTAGGAGAACACAAGGGATGGGTCTGGCGGAAAATAGGGACGCCACGGGTAACAAACAAAGGACGGCAGAGAATAACAGAGAACGGCACGGATAGAAGATCAGGGACTGCAGGGGAAGGCAGATGTAGCTACGAGGGGGCAACAAGAGCAAATAGGGCTCCGCAGGGGTAGCACGCATGGACAGGACATGGTGGCAATAAGGGCGAGGTTATTAAAAGGTAGAGGGGGTTGCAAATAAGGGGTGGCAGCGGACGGCAAGGGTATCAAGGGACGGCAGGCCAGCAGATAAGGGACGGCAGGGGTGACAAATAAGAACGGCCGGGGTAGCAAATAAGAACTGCCGGGGTAGCAAATAAGGGGCTGGAGGGGTGGGAAGTTGAGGGGTAGCAAATAAGGACAATGTTCACGCAGGGCTGCACGATGGACCATGGGAGGACGACGAGGGCGATAAAAATCGTGATTTGTTGTTGTGTGTGTGTGTGTGTGAGTGTGTGTGTGTGTGTGTGTGTGTGTGTGTGTGTGTGTGTGTGTGTGTGTGTGTGTGTGTGTGTGTGATTTTTTTTAGCTCCGTTGAATAACCTACTGCATGTGTTGTGCAAAACACATCTTTATTACTCGCTGTTTGCAATCGACTAACGGAAGAGTTCGCGCAGCATTAGCAGGGGCCCTGCTTTGCTCAGGTTTGCTCTTTCTGCCTCTGCTCCGCGTTTCAAAAGAGACGTCGCACGCTACGATAAAAAGACGTATGTGGGAAGAGCGAGCACGCAGAATCAACTGCAAATATACGACATGATCGCGAATAAACGAACGGCAATTAGATACGAGAAGTTCCGCTTCTTACAGCGCGCTGCTACAGGACGGTATCGTCAGCGAAAACAGATTTGAGAAGGAGAAGAAACGCATACCAGACTGTGCATAAAAATTCGAGGAGAAAAAACATCAGCAAACGAACCAGAGCCGGGGAAATAAATTAATAAAATTAAAAAACACAGACAATTATTAAGCCAACCTTGCTAGAGCAGGTTCCCACCTGATTCTTTACACTCGCACAGTCGCAGCCACTCGCGAATCTCCTCCAGCACTCCTGGCAGCTTCTTGCTCACGTCAGCCACGTCCTGAAGCTCCTTCGCCAGAGGATCGTCGCTCGCCACTGCCACGACATTCCACGACACGCACATCGGCGGCCCCGCTTCCGCACCCCCTGCTCCCGCGCCCGAGCCGGCGCCCGCGCTCGGCGACGCTTCTGGCGCGGCTGCAGCGGAGGACGTTGCGGCGCCGGGTGCGGCGAGGGTGACTACAGCGAAGGCTGCGAGTGGCTTGACGGGGTACACGTCGCCCGGGCGCGCAGCGCGGCGGCTTATATCGAGGACGTGCAGGGGCCGGGCGTCGTAGTGCAAGCCGCTGAGGTGCTCGTTGGCCGCTGCGGGATCAGCCCATGTCTGCGTGAAAATCCCGAGGTTCCAGTGGCAATTCTCCGCGAAATGCGCTGGCGCGGCATTGCGCTTCGCGAGGCGAATAGGGTTAAAATTCTCGTCTTGCGCCACTTCGTACGTCGCCCACGTTCCCCGCGGGGTCACGCAGAGAAACGACAGGCCCGATGGCGGAGGGTGCGCGGAACCGGCGGCTGCGGCGGACGCGGAGGGAGGCGCGGCATTGGAAGGATACTCGGAGACGTGCAGAGGAATATCGTGCCAGGGGGAGAAAGCGCGGTACTGTGCGTCTAAGAAGAGTATGCGATATAGTAACGTGCCGGAAGGGCCTACTTCTAGGGTGGTCCACCAAGGGGCCACAGACGAGCTCATGTTGCTGCTGCTGCTGCGGCTAGTGGTGGCGCTGCTGCTGCTGGCGCTGGCGCTAAACGAGTCTGCTACCATCGCAGCCTCGCGCTACGACTGCAGCTAACGCGGCGGCTGGTGCGGCGGGTCACGACAAGCCTTCTCCATTCCATGTATCTCTGTCGACTAGTGCTGGGCTTTCAATGTGTGTGTAGACCTAGTTCGCGAGCTAGCAGATAGAGATAGTGGTTCAATGTGTGTAAGCTGGGCACGGGAGGGGCGTGAATGTCGACTCGATGCTCTCTAGTCAACTCGATGAACCCTAGGCAGGAGCAAACGCCCCCCCGGTTTGTGCCAGAACGTTTTGCTCTTGGTGTGGCAAAACGGATGCTTGCCAGGTGAGGACCAGCAGAGGCGAGCAGGGTGAATGGACGGCATGATTGGGGAGGGAAATGGGATGTGATGGGGTGGATGGGAGGGAACAGCGAGCCAAGTCAAGGGGGGTGGTGGTGGCGGTGGGTGGGGCGTTTTTTCCACATTCGGCGTGCTGTGCTGCTCTGTTCTACTGGTGCTGCAGGGGGTGCACTGCAGTGCAGTCCCCTCCCTCCCTGCCCCTCCTCTCCCCTCCCCTCCCATCGCCTCCCCTCTACATTGCTAGCGCTCCGCCTTTCCGCTTATTTGCACTGTTCACTGTTCTTCCCAAACTAACTGACCGACCACCTTCCACTTTCCCCAAGTCTACGGCCCCGCCGCGCTGCTATTCCAGTTTCCGCCGCAGACGGCTACTGCAAGTTGGGGAGGGGGGAGGGGGGAAGGTTGGTGGGGCAGCTTGGCGGTGGGACCGTGCGCCTCACCAGAAAACGCCTTGCTTTAGACTGCCTTTAGAGAGGGGTGGGCGGAAGGAGGGGGGGAAAGGGGAGAGGGCGGCGGTGGAACGAACTGAGGAAGAGGCAGAGGCGCAGTCTTCGCTACTACTTGGGGCGCTGCCTTTCGATATTGGAACAGGGAAAAAGGGGAGGTAGAGCCGTGACGTGCAGGGAAAAAGGGGAACCCAAGTCGGGTTTGGGGAGCTTGTTCGGAATGCAGGTTTGCGAAGCCAACAGTGCGAGAGGCAAAACCAGTTCGGTGCTTTTCGCAACATCATGTAGGCGCAGCGAAACAAGTTCACGAGGAAGTGTCGCAAACTACAAAACGCACACCATCCCTGCTGGACGTGGCGGAAAACTCGCCAAAAGCAGGCGACGCGGAAGCGAAGCGTGCACGACTCTTGCTCTGAAACTGGATACATGAAATGATGATATGCTTACAACCCAAACCTCAATGTTCATTTCAAGTGCAAGTTTTGTGAGAGGATCCATTTAAAATGTCACACATCAGTTTGTTTTCAGAACTCATTCGTACAGTTAAATTCTATTAATACAAATCAAGAATTTAAATGACACTTGATTTCTACTTTCTATACTATCTCTTAAGTACGATTGCTGTGTTTTAGGCATTTCCAACTTTAGATGAATGAACTGGAGAAATAAGGTGTATGCTAGGAACTGAATTAGGGTACACTTAGTAACAGGCAGGGCAACAGTGAATAAATGAAGTGCCAGCCAGCGAAGTCCTAGGCGAAACAATGAGTAATCTTAGTTGACGAGGACCTCGGAGGCACTTGTGTGAATACGCACTTCACGAATGACGGGGCGGTTTTACCACCCCATCAAGAGGGCCCTCCCCGAGTAATTCGGCGTACCTGGACAGGCGCTTCTGATGAAACCGCATTTCTGGCCTGGTGAAAGGTGAGAAGTGGGCGTAAGACCAAGGCCCCATTCAGAACGGAAAGTCAGGGTTCAGGTTTTGAGAAAATGCCGTCAGACTAGGCCCACGGGATCGAGGTTTTGTTCGTAACAGAGTCGCATCTGACCATGGCTGATTTCCAGTTCGTCTTATTTGATGGACTTAGAGAGCGAGAGCGAAAAATTCGCGCTTGTCCAGATGCTCAGTTCGCGAATTTCTGGCGCTTCGGTTCATAATTGCTTCCAGCCCCAGCCCGAAAGTGGAGGCAGGTGGGCGTCAGCTCTGAATGGTGACCAATATTCTATGCCACGTGGCCCCTCATCCGCTCCTCGATCTCGTACTCTCCGGGACAGCACAGCACTATTTCTGAAATACCTGTTCGACGATCCAGATCTCACTTCCATTTTTCACTCAACAGGCAGCTGATGATCGGCCCGCCAACAGCCCAGCCAACCACCAGCGTCCGCGCAACCTCGACACCATCAGCATCTTAACCGACTTCAATTCATCCTGAACCATCCGAACCGCTTATTGTGCTGCAGTTTTGACCCCGAACCACCTCGAGGTTTGCATGTAAGCAGGCATTTCAAGAGCTTCATTTCATTGAAGTTTTGGTTGCTTGGTTGCCCAACTTCTTTCACACTCAAGCTGGTGTGATCTGACAGCCTCGACTCCACGACTCGGAAAGCATGGCCGCGCATCTGAGAAGGCGTCTGCCTGCTCTCCTTGCTAGGGCCGCTCGCAGCTCCGTCGCCATCGCCCAGAGGGAGGTTGCGACGCCGTCGCTACTGGAGTCGTGCGTTCCAGCCGCCAGTCCGTTCCTCATGGATAAGGTACACGTCGACTTCCATGAATATGTTTTTCCTTGTTCAGTCCCATTCACTGATCCGTCGCTAGCATAAGCATTACTCGTCAGATTTTCGTCCTAGGTTTCTAAACTTCGTGTTAAGTTGATTGGTTAGTGATCGTCATTTTCGTCTCCTGATACAGGTGATTGGGGGACCCATGATTCCACCAACTGCTCAGCGCGGCTTCGCCGCTTCTGCTGCAGCTGCATCGAAATCGTAAGTCATCTCTGATCTCCTTCTGCTATTCGGAAAACAAGGTGGCCACCCGTTTCTCGTAGCGATCAGGAGATCAACATCGCGACATTGGTTTTCCTGGTCTTTTATAACCCCTCCGTCGCTCTGTATCTGGCTTCAAACCCGCAGAAAGATCGCCCGGCGCGGGCCAGACGGACGCCAGGAGCCGCACGGCGGGAAGCTGGTGAACCTGATGGTGACGGATCAGAAGGAGAAGGAGGAGCTGCTGGCGAGCTGCAAGGGCGTCAAGCTAGACCTCAACGAGCGCCAGTCGTGCGACGTCGAGGTGCTGGCTGTCGGCGGCTTCTCGCCGCTCGAGGGGTTCATGACCGAGGACGTGTACAACTACGTCGTCGAGAACATGCGCCTGCCAGGTAAGCCGGCTGGCGGGATACGATGTTAGGCGCCTTATGATCAAATCTCCGCCCACGGGGTTCATGAACGAGGACGTGTGCAACCTCGTCGTCGAGAACATGCGTCTACCGGGGTAGCTGGCTGGCGTGAGTGCAGGCTTTGTCCATTCCACCCGTTCTCACCTTCCTGCTTCGTGTCTCTCTGTCACCCTTCTCCCCCAACCGCCATTCTCCCCCACCTCTCCCTCTTCCGCTCTCCTCCTTTTCTCATCCCTTCCCTCCTCTCTCCCCGTCCACCAACTCTCTCTCTCGCATTCACATCGGCAGGTTCGGACCTGCTGTTCGGGCTGCCGGTGGTGATGGACACGTTCGATCCGGACATCAAGGTGGGGCAGCGCGTGGCGCTGCACTACCACGGCGAGGTGCTCGCTGTCATGGAGGTCGAGAGCAAGTGGCAGCCCGACAAGGTCAAGGAGACCTTCAAGTGCTACGGGTACGCCTGCCTCGTGGCATAAACTCTACAACTTTGAGCTTGCATTCCTTATTTTTTGGGAGGGGGGAAGAGGGAGGAGAGCTTTTCACGTGCTCGCGCACGATGACTCTCTGTCTTTCTCATTCCACTCATTCCACTCATTTATCTCATTTATCTCTTATATTTTTCTGTCTCTCCATTCAGCACATCGTCGCTGGAGCATCCCGGCACGCTCATGGTGGCGACTGAGCGCGGCCCGTGGTACATCGGCGGCAAGGTGTGGGGCTTCACCATCCCGCGCCGCGTCTTCCCCTGCAAGACGCCCGCGGAGGTGCGCGCGGAGCTCGCGCCGCACATCGACGTGGTGGCGTTCCAGTGCCGCAACCCCGTGCACCGCGCGCACTACGAGCTCTTCTCGCGCTCGCTCTTCGCGGAAAACGTCGGCGAGGTGCGTCCCTGCCTCTCCTTGCTGACTGTCGTCCTTTCCCGTGCGAGGTTCTGCCTAGTTTATCGCTCTCCCTTACCTTTCCCCCTCTTCCCGCTCCTCCTTCCCTCCCTCTTCCATCCCTACCTCGCCACCTTTCTCTCCCTCCCTCTCTAACTCCTGGCTATGGGGATCAACATGTGACTACAAAAAAGCTTTGTCGCGTGAAGTGAAGTAGCATTCCGCCTGCTTCTACTGCTTCTACTGCTTCTCTTTACACAAGACCATTCATCAACGCACACGAGATTGTTTTGGCGTTTCGCCTCAGCCGTTGCCTTCGCCTTTTCCGCTGCCGTTGCTGCGGCCGTTCTCTTGCCCGGTGCGTGTGCAGGACGGCATTGTGCTCGTGCATCCCACGTGCGGCCCCACGCAAGCGGACGACGTGCCTGGCCCCGTGCGCTACGAGACGTACCTCGTGCTCAAGGAGGAGAAGCACGACCCGCGCGTGCAGTGAGTGCCGCGCTTCATCCTTTTCCACACACTCGCCCACCCACTGCTATGCTTGCTGCCGTCTGTTTTGTGCTCGGAACCTTGTTTCGCGCCTTCCCACGTCGTTCCCCCCTGGGTTGCTCATCCCCGCTCGCCTTCCCGTTCTTCGCCCCCTGGATTCCCCCCTCCCCCACCTCCTCCGTTTCCTCCTTTCCCCTTCCCCCCCCCTCCCTTCCCCTCCCCCCACTCTCGCCTCGCGTTCTTCCCCGTCCTCCCCGCGTCGACTTGTTGGCCCGCAGGTGGGCGTACCTGCCGTACTCGATGCACATGGCGGGCCCGCGCGAGGCGATTCAGCACATGATCCTGCGCAAGAACTACGGGTGCACGCACTTCATCATCGGCCGCGACATGGCCGGCTCCAAGAGCAGCCGCACTGGCGAGGACTTCTACGGGCCTTATGATGCTCAGGTGCGGGGAGGGGAGGGGGGGAGTCAGGGACGGGTTTTAGGAGGGTTTTGCAGGGGACTGGGGTGGAAGCTTGTACGAGCTTGAGTTGGAAATCTGGCTGGGGAAGATTGGAGGTAGGGATGCTTCGGTGACGAGTAGGGGGGGATTAGGTGGTTTGCATGGGAGAGGCGAGTGTTCAATCCCTTTCGTGTAAGGCTTGGTGGCCTCTTGAGACTTTTCAAGAGCAAGGCCCGTTGAATAACACCTTTCTACCCACGTTTGACTCTGTGGGAAAACTCCACATCTGTGATGGCGATGATGACATCTGCGTCAATCCGTTGCTGGCTGTGCGTGTGTGCTCTCCTCCCTGCATGTGTGAGTGCAGGACTTCGCAAAGCTGCACTCTGCTGAACTTGGAATGGACACTGTGCCGTCCCTCAACCTGGTACGCTCTCCCTTCCCTTGCCCCCCCCCCTCTCTCCATTTCCCCCCCCATTCCTTTCTTCCATCCTTCAAATTCCCCTCCTCCCCTCCCCCGCCCCCCCACTTCCACCCCCCACATCTCTACCTCTTTTTTCCACCCTCCGTTTCCTTCTCTTGCACCGAGTCCCTACCCTTGCACAGTATCCCATCTTTAATTTGTTATCCGTCTCTGTATGTCCATGTCCTATCTCCCCCCTGTTGTCTGCTCCTTACCATTGACTCAATTTTTTTTCCACCACTTGCTTTCTCGTTCGTGCATCGACCCCACTACCCCCTTTCACACTCTCGCTGCTATCTAATTGTGCGCTCTCTCACTTGTCATTCACCAATCCTATTCCACCACCACCACTGCAGGTTTACACAGAGGAGGAGGGGTACGTGACTGCCGACGTGGCGACGGAAAAGGGTTACCACCTGAAGAAGCTTTCAGGCACGGAGTTCAGGCGCAAGCTGCGGGCGGGAGAGGACATTCCAGAGTGGTTTGCGTTCAAGTCGGTGGTGGAGGTGCTCCGGAAACACATTGACGACAAGCCGTAAACGGGCTGTGGTTGAGTGCATGGATAAAGAAGTACGGTACCTAGGATGATGGATTGGGTTGGAGGAGGAACAGCTGGAAGGGTTTAACGAGGATGGGTTGCTGTGGTGACGATTTGTGCGGAGGAGAATGTGCGATCAGGTTTCTGAAGAGCGGTCTACATCATTCCCCTCTTGACAGTGGTGATTCCAAGATCGGGCTGTTTTTTTTCTACCTTTCCAGATTGTAGCTGAAGTGAAGTTGTCTAGAAGATCGTTCGTTGCACTAAGCTATTGCAAATGGTCAAGTAAAGCCAGATGAGTTAATTGATTGAAAACTTTCTCATATGGTCACTACCGGTCTGGGCTATTTGTGTGAAAAACATCTGGTAATGCTCTAACGCTGTAATCCAATTGGGGGGACCCTACCCTACCACCAGGGTCCTCGCTAGGATTTGAACCCCCCTGATGCGTCAGACGGGCCCTTCGGGCCCGTCTGATGCATCAGATATTTCGCCTTTGCGTGTCTGATGCATCAGAAATTTCAAAAGAACTTGTCTGACCAATTAAAATAGAGTTTCTAGCGTGTAGATGCACGTGGGATAACAAGGTGAGTCTGACTTTTCTGGACCTTTCACATTCATTCGCTGTACAAACTGGTGTGATTCGCACTTCACTGGTCTCAGCAAAATCACCCTAACACGGCAGATTCGCCCTGTCAGAGCACAAAATATTCGCCCAATCAGAGCAAATTTGCTCTGACACGGCAGATTCGCGACGTCAGAGCGCAACATGTTCATCCAATCATAGAAAACTCGTCCTGACACAACATTTGGCAAATTTACAGGCGCGACTCGGGAAAACGGGGATTGAGACACAAGTGTCCCCGCAGGAATGTGCCCTAACATGTTTCGATTTCAGACGAAACATATATTACATTTCTGATGAATCAGATGAAGACAAAAATTCATTTCTACTCAATCAGATGAAAAAATAAATCATTCCTTGAAAATCAGATTAACTGGAAAAAAATCGTCTGGAAACTAAGACAAACAGACAAAAATGTCTGATGTCGAGGACCCTGCCTACCACCCACCCACCCACCCAGCTATGAGTTTGTGCGACGCATAATGAACGTCCTTGTGTGATTGGATTGGATTGGATACAGCTGTGCAAGAAAGCCACTCTCTCTACCATAACGTACGGCACATACTACGTCTGCTCTTATGCGGCAAAATGCTGGCTGGCATACCAGTACCTACCATACTGTAATTGGGTGGGATATGAAATGGCCCGTTACCCGTACCCCAATTCCGCACACGGTCACAGCGTCAGACCTCCGCCGACCGGAGTCAAGGTGATAATGAAGGGGTTGGAGTGTAGTGTACCTCTTCATTCACCCTAGACTGATTACCGCCAAACTGGGAAGTATGGTACACGTATGCTTGTATGCCCAGCCCAGTAACTTCAGAATACCCGTAAAAACACTGGTATTCATGCAATGTAAGTCATGGGTGTTGTTACTGTATGCTATGTAAGGCAAAGTAAGGCATGTCTGCTATGCTACTGTATGCTTGTCCATACGTACCTACCTACCTAGTGTCCAATTACCAGCTTATAGAACAACATTCAGTAGTCATGCAATCCCATGTCATCCCAAGCCATGTCAGGGCATGTCACACCATGTCATGTCAGCATGTCACTCCTCTAGATAGAACCCTGTGATTCTGTGGACTGCCGGCCACTCGTTGATGATGTCAGGAGGGGACTCACCCACCTGCAGCAGCACAGCAGGAGGGCAGAGGGGCGAGCAAGGGTGGGGAGGGGTGGGTCCACTGTAGGAATCATGGGGCGCGTGTGAGAGGGAATAACTAGGTACAATCATGAAGAGTGCGAGGGGGACCATGGGGGGTGGGAGGGGAAAGTTGTGGGGAGCGTGAGAGGGAAGATTATGGGGATGTGTGAGAAAAAAAGGTAATGACGTGTGTGAGGGAAAAAAAAGGGGGTGTGAGGGAAAATCTTGGGGGGTGAGGGACAATCATGCGGATTGAGGGATATTCATGGGGGTCATAAGAAGGACACACAGGATCCTCTTCACATGCTGTCACATCACCATAAACCACAAGCTGACACCTACCAATGCGATGCCCAAAGCATCTTTGGGGCCCCTCGGTTTGGCAGCAAGGGGTGAGGCAAAGCAGTCCTTGGTACGGGGAGCAGCAGGGGTTGCACAGGCAGGTGGTGCAGCAGCAGAAGCAGGACAAGGAGAGGAGGCAGGAGGAGGACGAGGGGAGGCAGGAGCTGGAGGAGGAGGAAGAAGGCCAGAAGCAGTGGCAGCGGCAGATGCAAGTGCAGGCTCAGCGGCAGGAGCTGAATCAGGCTCAGGTGCAGGTGCAGGTGCAAGTGCAGGGGTGTCAATGGAAGCTGAAGTGGGGGCAGCGGCAACAGCAGCAGGGCTGAGTGTCCACGGGGATGGAATAGCCGAGATGCTCTGAGAGGCCGTGGTGGGTGCAGTGGGGGTGGGCGTTGTAGGGGTGGGTGCTGACGGGGCTGCTAGTCGCGCTGGTTGAAGGTGGTGGGTGGGTGGATTTTGGTGGGCGCATGGTGTTTGGCCGATGGATGGTATGTTGAGGGCTGTTGGCAATGCTGTAGCCTGTGAGATTAGGTGAGGGTTTCCCTGGGAGAGAGGCTCATGAGGCAGAGTTGAAAGGGTGGATATAAGTGGGGGAGGGAGCACCACCAGAGCATCACCCTCTCCTTCATCCCTTGCACTTGCTGCTCCTGCCAGTGCTGCTGTAACCACTCCTGCTACTGCTGCTACTGGCGATGTCGCTGCTGCTGCCGATGCTGCTGCTGTTGTTAATACTTCTCCTCCTGCTATTGTAGCTGCTGCGTTACAGTCCCCTCCTGTCACCCCCAGCTTCATCACTCCAACGACTCCTGCCATTAACCCCCCAGCCGCCATAAGAATCCCTGCCTTGGGCTCCTCGTCACCCAATGCACTCTTGCTCTCCTCGTCACCCCGTGCACTCTTGCTCTCCTCAACTGCCAATGCACCCTTGCTCTCCTTACCCTCAGTATCAGCTCTACCATCCACTCCACGACTGCCACTGGCGTTGCAACCATCACTACGGCCCTTATCAGCACCACAGGATAAACCATCCGCATCCACACTACCACAGGGATACTCACCACCACCATCGCTCTTAGCCGCCTCCGCACCACCACCCTCACCACCAGTAAGCCTCTCACAGCCGCCTGTGCCTGTGCCTGCCCCCCTGCCTGTCCCTGTGCCTGTCCCTGTGCCCTTGCCTTTCCTTTTCCCTCGTGGAGCTCCTTTGATTAATTTCTCAATATCCGAAGAATCTTCTAATCTTGACCCTGATCGTTGTTGCCCCGTGCTCCCTCCTTTTCCACCCCTTCCTCTCCCTCTTGCCCTCACACTTCCTCCTCCCCTTCCGCCCCCACCTTCCTCCTCAGTCAAACGTTCTTCCTGCACCGCACCAGTTTTTGTAGCAGCAGTAGCAGCAGCGGTAGCAGCAGGTGTAGCAGCAGGAGAAGAAGAAGAAGCAGAACGAGCAGCAACACGAGCACTGGCACGGGTAACAGGAGCAGTGGCAGAAGCAGCAGCAATAGCAGCAGCGGCAGCTGCAGCAGCAGCAGCACGTGCAGCAGCACGAGTAACATGAGGAAGAGGAGGAGAAGGAGAAGGAGAAGGAGAAGGAGAAAGAGAAGGAGCAGGGGCAGGGGCAAGGGCAGGAGCAGGGCCAGGAGCAGGAGCAGGAGCAGGAGCAGGAGCAGGAGCAGGAGCAGGAGCAGGAGCAGGAGCAGGAGCAGGAGCAGGAGCAGGAGCAAGAGCAGGAGCAGCATCAACAGCAGCTAGAGGGCAAGACACAATAGGAGAGGCAGAAGGAAAAGCAGAAACAGCAGCAGGAGGAGCTGAGATAGCAGCATCAGCAGGAGCAGCAGCAGCAGCAGCAGCAGCAGCAGCATGAGCTGCTTCTATCCCGGTAGTGCAAGCTGCACGGGGGAGTAGATGAGGAAGGGATGACTGGGGACCCAGCGCAGGGAAGATGGGCCTTGATTCATCTAGGCGCTGCTGCGAGCCACATGCTGGGAAAACGCCATGTTGCTGCTGCACCTGCTCCCTTGCTCCTCCTGCTGCTCTGGTATCACCAGCTGCTGCCACCGCACCTGCAGCTACCACCCCTGTTCCTGCCGCTGCTACCGCCGCTAAACTCCCCTCCCTTGCCACTCCGACAGTCCTCTCCCCGCCCACCCTGTTCCAACCAGAAGGCAAGCTGAACCCAGAGAGAGGGTTGCAGAAGGGAAGGTATGGGAGGGGGCAGGAAGGATGGGTAGAACCTGTGTTCCCAGGCATGGTTGGGAGTAGCGGCCAGGGCATGTGCATGGTAAGGCTGGGAGGAGCTTGGGGGGGTATGAGGGAAGCGGGTGGGAGAGTGCGAGTTAAGGATTTGATGGCTTGGGACAGTGTAGCTGGTGGTTTCACGGATGGTGGTGGCATGGCTACTGTGGCATGTGCTTTAGCGGTGCCAGACGCTGCTCCTGTCGGCAATGCACTTTGGGCTGCTGCTTGCATCGCTCCTGAGAGCGGTGCTGCTTGCACTGCTGCTGCTGTCTGTCCCCGTGCCTGTGCATGTGCTTGTACTGGTGCGCCTGACAGGGGTGCTGTGGTTGCTGCTGCAGGGGGAAAGCGCAGAGGCACATTCCTATGAGCAGCAGGCGAAGGCACAGGGCGATGGCTTTGAAAGAGGAGAGAGCGCAGCACATCGGGGGGCAGGGACTGGAAGTTAGGAAAGGAAGGGGGGATAAGAGGGTTATGGTAACGAGGCTGGTATGGGTCCATGCTGGGGGCAGGAAGGAGAGTCCTGTGGTTTGACTCTGTGTGGACTGGGTGTGGTGGGGGGATGTGAGGGGCGTGGTGTGGAGGCATGTTGGTGGTGGGGAGAGGAGGTAGTAGTAGGGGAGATGGTGCTACAGTCAATGCCTCAGTTCCTGCTTGTTCCGCCCGTGTCTGCACCTGTTGCTGCGGGTGCTGCTGCTCCTGCCTCGTCCCGTCACATGCCGCACTCGACTCACCTCCCTCACACCTCCCACTCCCACCACCAGCCGTTGCCCTTTCACCCGCACCCTCGTCCCTTCCTCCTACCGCCCCCCCGACCGAAACCTCTCCTCTCCCTGCTGCTGCTCCTTCCGCCACCACTCTTCTCTCTCCTCCACCCCCCCCACCCTCCACCACACATGCCATGGCAGTTACCACCGGTCTCACATACGGCCTCCCCCTTGCTGCAGTCAGATCAGCAGCCAGGAAATCCAGAGCGAGGGGAGTACCATCACCACGACACAGGCTCGAGCACTCCCCTTTGTGGCCCGAGCACTTCCCTTCGCGGCTCCTGCTCTCTCCTGTGAGGCTCAGATTTTCAGCAGCCAGTGTGCAGCACGGAAGCAGGGTGGTTGACGCAGGCGGGCACAGAGCAGTGACAGTGGTAGGAGAAGGAGCAGGAGCAGGAGTGGTGGCAGGAGCAGTGGCAGGAGCCGGAAGAGGAGCAGGGGCAGAAGGATCAGGGGTAGATGCAGGAGCACTAGCACTGGTAGAAACAGAGGTGGTCGCAGGGGCAGAGGCAGTAGTGTCAGCAATTGCAGCAGTGGCAGGGATACGAGCACCTGTTGGGGCTTCAGCGGGTGGAGCAACCACAGCAGCACCAGCGGCTTCTGTACCAGCAGACTGACCCTTGGTGCATGAGAAAACAGCAGGCAGCGTTGCAGCCACAGCAGCAACATCTGCTGCTGTTGAAGGGACAGAATTGGCCGTGGTTGCAGGTGGAGCGACTGCAGCTGCAGGTGCCGTGACGGCAGCTGCGGTAGGGGTGCTTTCAGAGTTGACAGCAAGGGTGACTGCTGGGGATAGCAGTGAAAGAGAGCAGGACGGGGTGCTTTCCACCGCATGACAGCTGCTCGAAACAGTTTCACCAGGAGCCAATGCCACCGCCGCCACCGCTGCTGCTGCTGCTGCTGCTGCTGCTGCTGCTGCTGCTGGCGCCAATGCTGCTGTTGTTGCTGACGTGTCAGCAGTCGCCCCCACCACCACTGCGTCCCTCGGAACGCTGCCTTCGTCAGTCGGCTCACCCACCTGCTTCTCACCCACCTGCTTCTCACCCACCTGCTTCTCACCCACCTGCTTCTCACCCACCTGCTTCTCACCCACGTCCTTCTCACCCACGTCCTTCTCACCCACGTCCTTCTCACCCACGTCCTTCTCACCCACGTCCTTCTCACCCACGTCCTTCTCACCCACCTGCTTCTCACCCACGTCCTTCTCACCCACGTCCTTCTCACCCACGTCCTTCTCACCCATCCGCCCCTCATCCATTGCCACCTGATCCGGGGCAGCAAGCTCCACCGCCCCCATCACCGCCACCAATGCTGCGTGCTGTTCACTGCTTTCTCTCCCCCCATCGCGTTCCTGTTGGCCCCCCACCTGCTGCCCGCGCCCGTTAACAATTGCCCTGTCATCCTTCCTGCCTTCCGTCAAAAGACCTGCCCTTTGATCTGACTCGACTTTCACATGTGTGCTCTGCTTCGCATCTTCCCCCGTTGACCCCTCTGCTGCTAGCTCGTCACCATTACCCTCCGCCACTGCTCCCTCCGCCACTGCTCCCTCATGCCCCCCTGCATCCCTCCCATTAGTGTCACCCTTGCACCCCCCCCTGCTGCTGACACCGCCTCCTCCTGCTTCCCCTGCCTTTCGCAATGCCACCTCAGCTTCTGCCAGTTCCTCTACCCTAATTCCATCTCCCAAGCCTCCACCTGCTGCAAGCAACCACACATGCCCACCACCAGTTCCCACTGCTTTCCTCACAGGTCCTTCCGTTTCCCCTCTCCCTCTCCCTCTCCCTCTCCCTCTCCCTGTCCCACCCTCTACAGCATCTTCACAGACTGAGTTCTCCAGCTCGGCATCTCTTTCCAGTGCGTGCACAGGCAGGCCAGCGGCCAGAGAAGCAAGAGCAGCAACAGCCTCTGGTGAGGTTGCAGGGGTACGCGTGAGGGCAGCTAGAGGGGATGCACCTGCTGCCGCTGTTGATCTGCAAGCAGGGGATCCAGGGGCATGGGTGGCCAATGTTGCAAGAACCTGCGCTGGTAGAGGCGACCGTCCTGCTGCAGGTGCTGCTGTGGTTGTTGCTACTGGTGCTGCTACTGCTGGTTCTGCTGCCGCTGGTGCTGCTGCCGCTGCTGCTGCTGCCAGATTATTTGCAGGTACAGCGTTTCCTTTTTGTGATGTGAGAGGCTTTGCTGGATAAGGCATGCCAGATGATTCTGCAGCAGCTGCTGCTGCTGCTGCTGCTGCTGCTGCTGCTGGTGGTGGTGGTGGTGGCAGCAGTGGTTGCAGCAAGGGCGTGCACTGAGCCAAGACGGCTTCCAAGATGCGATGGGCTGAACATACAAGCACAAGGGGGAGGCAGGGGAGGGAGGCAGGGGGGGCATGCTATGAACAACGAGCAGTGAGCAAGTGAGGCAGGCCGGATCAGAGTGCACGTGTGCAGCATGCTCTGCAGGGAAAAGTGGTGGAAGAGAAGTGATGGAGCCTGGAGGCTCCCCCTGCACCCTTTTGTTCGTCTCCCCTTTTTCCCACCCTCACTTCTTTTCCAGTGGTGGAAGAGAGAAGTGATGGAGCCTGGAGGGTGGGTAAAGGGGGGAGACGAACAAAGATGCATATCCAGAGGGAAGGAAACACGTGAATTATTGAAAACATCCTTTTATTTTGCATAATTGGACAAGCGGCATGCTCAATACCCCGCCACTGCAACTCCTGTGCATACCTGCAGTTGAGCCTGCCCCTGAAACTCCTTCCAGGCACCTCCTGAGCCCACCAGCTTCGTGCTCTCCCCCGCCTGCCCCTCTCAACCCTCCCAGCAGCGCCTGCAGCAGGGTGTCTTGAGGCAGCGCCCTCACCAGGTCCGCCACCTGCCCTACCAATGCCTCCTCCACCTCCCTCTCCACCCTCTCCCGCTCACACCGCATCTGCTCTTCCTTCTCCCCCTGCTGCTGCTGGCCCTGCTGCTCTGTAGGCACATCTGCTGCTGCTGCTGCAGCTGGTGTGGCGATTGCTCCTGGAACTGGAACAGCAACAGCAGGTGCTGCTGGTGCTGCTGCTGCTGGCATGCGGCTTGTGCCTGTGGCTGCGGTGGGAATCTGCAGGCATTCCTGCATGAGGCGAGTGAAGGTCATATCTGCAGCACAACAGGGGCAAGGCAGAGAAAGAGTTGAGCGGCAGACACAAGGTGAGGGTCTTGGGTTTTCGTTTCATGAAGGTTAAGATAGATGCAGCATGTGCGGAGAAGAGCCGCACATGCATGATAACACAGCAAGAACGGTATAACATCTGAGGCGCCCTCAAATCATAAGGCGAAGTTTGAGGCATCTCAGAAGAAGTGACACAGCACGGTATGGCACAGCCATCGGAGCAACATACCAGGAGGGAGGACGTGATAAGGCACGCCTGGTGCAGGCTGCAAGGGTGGTCCAAACGCAGGAGTTCCAGTAGTTCCGAACGTGCCAGCAGTGGCAGCAGTACCAGCAGCGCCAGCAGCAGTGCCTCTGCACACAGTGGCGGTGCCAAACAAGGCATACTGCTCCACCAACGGTAGCAACGGCTGCTGCTGCTGCTGCTGCTGCTGCTGCTGTGGGGTTTCCTGTGGTTCCTGCTTCACTCTCTTCGCCCCGGGATCCTGCCCCTTGGTCCCTCTTCCTGCGCCTGCCTTGCTCCCACCTCCAGCCACCGAAGCAGCCCACTGGTCCAGCACTCTGCTCACACGGTCATCCCACCACAGTTGCTCCTCTTGTGAGAACACCCTCACCTCATCCTCCTCCTCTTGCTCCCCTTCGTTTCTGCATGCACCTGACGCGCCCTTGCCCTGAGGCCGCTTTCGCTTCCGCTGCTTGCTGGCTGTAACACCAGCACCGGTGCCACCAACAGCACCAGCGCCACCACCATCACCAGCACCAGCAGCAGCAGCGCCACCACCACCAACAGCCGCAGCAGCAGGGTTGTGCCGTGGCTTCTTGGAGGCACCACCTTTACCTCCTCGCCGTGCCACCCCTGCGCCTGTCCCCTGCACCCCTGCATCCCCTTCCACGCCAGGCTCCAGTTTCACCACCACCTGTGGCCGCACCAACGCACCAGCCTCCTGTCCTGACGCGGGGAATGGTGGTACTGGTGAAAATTGCGGTGCTGCCGGCACCGTCCCAGGTTCCTGCTTCACAACAACCCCGGCGAATGGGCCCTGAGCAACCACACAACTCTTCTGTGCTGCTGTTGATGCACCTACTGCTGGTACTGGCGCAACCATCTCCCCTTGCCCTGCTTTCTGCGCAAGGCCGACCTTCACAGAGATACCTGCTCCTGCCACATGCTTCATCCCAGTCACATCACCACACACCCCCTGCGACGCTGCCGCCCCATCCTCTTGCCCCTGCTGGACGCCTAGCCCCCCAACAGCACCAACTCCTCCACTACCCCTCCCATCCTTATCTCCACTACCCCTCCCATCCTTATCTCCACTACCCCTCCCATCCTTATCTCCACTACCCCTCCCATCCTTATCTGCACCACCCTTATCCGCCCCAATCTGTCCAAAACCGCTCACCCCACCCGCTGCTGCCTCTGCTGCACTCGCTGCTGCTGCTGCCGCTGCTGCAGCGCCAGTGCCAGTGCTGAGTCCAAGAACAGACACTGCTATAGGACCAGACGCCAATAGGGCGGAATCCATGCAACAAGCTGGTTCAGATTTCACAGAGGGCGCTTTGGCAGGACCACCTGGCTTGGAAGATCCATTGCCTGTACCCTCTGCTGCAGCCCTTCCCTTGACGGCCCCTTTATCGCATGATTTCCCCTTCTTCTTTCGCTTTCCCGCCACAGAACCACCAGCAGACGTTGCAGCAGCAGCAGCAGCGGCGGCGGCGGCAGCAGCAGCGCTGCCAGCGAGATTCACACTCCCACCAGCAGACATGCTTTGGCTGGCAGCAGCACTGGCAGAGGCGGTAGCAGCAGCAGCAATGGCACGGCGAGTGCGCATGGGAGGGAGAACGGCAGGCGGCAACGCACAGGGTGTGCCTGCAGCAGCTGACTTGCCTATAGGCTCTATGACCCGCTTCAGCATGGTTGAACTAGCGGGATCCGGGCAGATGATCTTATCTGGAGAGATCAGATCAAAAGGGGAAGGCACAGTGAGAGGGGAAGATGAAGGGAGGGGGTGAGGGAAGAGGGAAGGGGAACAGGGAGACACAGTGAGCAGAAACAGGGAGAGCGGGGATGGAGAAGGGAAGCAATCAAGTGGGGGTTTGCTAGACAGGTTCGCAGATAACATGGAAAGGGACTTAGTCGTCAGCCTAGCACTGGGAGAACTCTAGATTCTATCAGCTTGCTAAAGCAAACGACTTGTTTCTGATCTGCACCCTTCCAATCACTCAATCACTCACTCACTCACTGTTGTCCACGATGGACAGGAGACTCACCACCCCTCACTCTACTCTCTCACCTCCCCGCCACTCACTCTCGATCATCTGCAGCTCAGCCGTGGGCGGCAGCTGGAAGCCAAAGCGGCGAGTCCACATGCCCACCACGCTCTTGACTGACGGCATGTACAGCACTGGCACCTGGGAGTGAGGAAGATGGGGGATATCGGGAGCAAAAACGGGAGGAAAGAGAGGAAGGTAAAGAGGGAAAGCAGAGGAGGCACGCAAGGGAAGGAGGGCGTGAGCAGGGGACATGAGATGTAACTGCGGGCGATTATGAAGGTGGGGAGGTAGGTCAGGGGATAAGATGCATGAGTCAGTAGTGACTGTGAAGGGGCGACCTGAGTTACACAGCCACTAATGGCTCATGCATCTTATCCCCCACCTGACTTGACTCCCTCATCCGCTTGACCCCTCATGCCCGCCTCATGCCCACCTCATGCGCCCTCATCCAGCTCTCCCCCGTCCCACCTCGTTATTCCCCTCCCCTTCATCACTCACCCTTCCCTTAGTAGAAGGCGAAGTATATCCTCCACCACCTGTGCCCTTGATCCCTCATGCCCACTCGACCTCTCATGCCCACTCAGTCAACTCTCCCCCATCCCAGCTCGTTTCCCCTCCCCTTCCCTTCGTCACTCACCCTTAGAAGGCGAAGTATATCCTCCACCACCTGTGAGGAGGAGAGGCACGGAGCACGGAAGGAGTAAGGACAGAGCGGGAGGAAACGGGGGGGAAAAGGGAGGGAAAGAAATCGAATGAAAGCCACCCTCACCCCATAGATGCACGCACATGCGTCTCGTAGCCCACAAGACTTACCCTCCGCCACCTCCTCCCCCCCCCCCCTCCCCACTTCCCCCCACTTTCCCCCACAACTGCTGTGTACATCCTTAAACGGCGACCGCATGTGGCCCACACCACACCACACCACACCACACCACACCACACCACACCACACCACACCACACCACACCACACCACACCACTGATTGCAGGAGATGAAAGACTCTGAAAGCTCAACAACCAGATGGCTGCGCTCCTCTTCCACATCTACCGCTTTCCTCTAGCCTGCACAGCACACAACCCTTGAGAACCGCATCGGCACCACCACTCACTCGCATGAGTCGCCGGCAGTTGCCGTTGCGCCGGTAGTCTGCAGCACAGGGGGGTGGAGGAGGAGAGGAGGGCGAGAGAGGAGAGAGGGTGAGTTCGGTCCATGTACGCACATGCATGGATCGGGCTCGGGACGAGGTTTAGCATACAGCAGTGAAATGGATGCTCAGTAGCAGCAGAAGCAGCAGCAGCAGCAGCAGACTTACCGACACGAGTTGCCACAAATGGCATTTCAGCAAACTTTGCTCCAAACACCCTGATGATGACCACAAGCAAAGGAAAGGTGGGGTTGGAGAGAGAAGAGGAGGGGAGAAGCAAAGGTAAGATGCAGAGAGATGAGGCGAGTCAGAGTGATTCAAACAACCGAGCAACGGACAATGAAATTCGCAAGCCCCTTCAAAGGAGGAAACGCGTGGTTGGCATAAAGCTCTTGAACACGGATACCTATTACCCTCCCACGCCCCCCCGTATGTGCAGCAAGCACAAGCAGAAGAGGGCGGGGGATGCGGCGTTACCTGAACGTGGCTGCAGTGATGGGCACTGCTCCCTTACGAGTCGACTCAAGAAACAACAGCAAGCAGAAGAGGGTGGGGGTGTGGCTCATTTACCTGAACGTGGCTGCAGTGATGGGCACTGCTCCCTTGCGTAGAATCACCACCCGAAAATTACCTGCGGGCAGGCAGCAGGGGGAGGCATGGAAGCAAGCAAGCGTTGTGAGAGTGGAGAAGGAGAGAAGGCACGGCAGCCCTTTCGTTCGAGCAGAATTAGGTGGATAGCTAAAAGCTGGCGGGCAACTTCGTACTAGGTGGAAAAGGTTCCGAAGGAAGTGAGAATGGGATGAAGGCGGGGACAAGGAGATGAGGGAAGGATGAGGCAGCATATGGAGCTACTCAAACGAGGCGGAGTTGCTTAGAGTGGCACGTGGGTAGTGAGAGTAAGGGCGAGCGAAGGAGAGGGATGGGAAGGAGAGGCGAGGCGGATGGAGAAAAGGTGGCAAGGAAGGGGAAAGCTGGAGCGAGAGGGGGAGAAAGGCATAGAGGAGTGAAGGGCACTTACTGAAGTCGAAGCCCTCATCCCTGTGTGGGCAAGGGACAGGGAGGCTCAGGGATAAGAAAGAACACAGCAGGAACGTATGTGTGTTTGTGTGTGAGGCAGGGAAGGCTGCAGCAAGAGGATTGCATTCAAGGAAAGGACAAGAGTCAAGACATGATGAAAGGTGGGGTGGGGAAGATCATTTGAGGGCGCAAGAGGGGAGTTGAAGTGAGCAACACAAAGATGGGACCAGGGAGAGGAAACACAGAAGTGACAAACACTGCTCGCCTATACTTTGCCTGGGATCCCCAGGCCCAATCTCCCCCAGCGTGCCATTCACCCTCTCCCCAAGCCTCTCCTAAAGCCTCTTCCCAAGCCTTCCCCCGAGCCTCTCCCCCAGCCTCGCCTCTGGGAACGGGACCGCAGGCACGGCACTGACCCGTCAGACTCGAGCGACTTGGTGATGCTCTCTATGAGCTCCGACCCATCGTCCATGACCAGCGGGTCAAACGATGCCTGCAGGATCTGAGGGGACGCGCAGAGGGCAGATGGAGGGGTTCGGGGAGGGGAGAATGGGTGATGGTAGGTGTTGGCAGACGAGGAGGATTGGATGGGGTTGAGTACGGTGACGGAACAGTGGCAGGAGGGAAACAGGGGATGGGATACGGAAGACGAACGGAGAGAGGTTGTGAGAGGTGAAGAGAGGGAGGGAATGGGAGAGGGGGAGAGGGAGGGAGGGAGGGAGGGAAGGCGGAGGGAGGGCAGGGAAATGCGTACCTTGAGTGCTGCTGCTATGGACTGACGGGAGCCTGGCAATGGAGGGCGGGGAGGATGGAGAGAGAAATGGTGGAAGAGCGTAAGCTAGTGGCATAACGAGGGGATGCGAGTGAGACAAGGCGAGTGAGACAAGGCGAGTGAGACAAGGCGAGTGGGGCAAGGCGAGTGGGGCAAGGCGAGTGGGGCAAGGCGAGTGGAGAAAGGCGAGTGGGGCAATGAGCAACAATGTGGTGAGCACACTCATTGTAACAGCTGGCTTTCCCTGCCTTCCATCCCCACTTTCTCAGAACCACTCCCAACCCCTGAACTAAACCCCACCCCATGTCCCTCAACCCCCCCACCTTCCATCGACCCCACTCTTCCTCCCCACCCACCCGCACCTCTACCCGTCCTTTGTTCCGTGTAAGATTCACCTCGGTCGTTCTCATTGTATCGGGCGAGCTCAATGGAGAAGGGAGTGTCATTGGGGATCTCCACTCTCTTGCCCTCCATGCCCTTCAGCTCCGCCGCCACCTGCAAGGCACGGTACAGCACGGTAGGGCACGGTATGGCATGGTAGAGCATGGTACGGTACGGTACATCCTCATCTGTTCGGTACGTCCCGAAATTCGAATACGGTTGTGGCTCACCTTGGCGCAGGAGGGGGAGCAGTGCCATTCCACGTCACTGTCGAGCACTGACGCTTGCACCTTCACTCCCTGCACCTCCTCCGCACAGCTGACGATGCACGGCGTTTGGGAATAAGGGGACGGGGGAAGGGGTTGATGGGAACGGGGAATGGATGGATGGGTTGGCATGGCAGTGGTGGGAGGAGAAGAGGATGTGGGTAATGAAGATTGGGAATGATTAGAGGCATGACAGAAACAGTGACAGAGAAACGGAAAGGAAAGAAAAGAAGGAATAAGCGGAAAAGATCAGCAAATAGAGCAGTAAGTAGGGGACATTTGGAGAACATGGGTTGCCCGGAAAAAAAGGGATGCGAGTGAGGGAGATTTACCTCACATGCCATTCTTCGCAACAGCATGAACAGATGAGGATGCACCTGTGAGGTGGATTCACAAACATGAGCACAGAAACGTGCACATACGCACACACAAGCACACACAAGGATGCAAATTAGGGAGGAGGGAGGAAAGGGTGAGCACAGGGGACGGAGAGGAATAGTGAATCCTGAGCTGCGATGAACTGAAAGCAGAGAGGCTACTCACAGACAACGTTTCTCAGCGAAAAATACAGTGGGGAACAAACGAGAGAACCCAGGCAGTTGATTGAAACGTCAACGCCTGTACCTGGGGCCAAAGCTGCGAGTGTAGTCATGCACGCGGCAGTGCACACAGAAGCCCTCCTCGTCATGTATCTCCTGTGACAGGTGCACCGGCTGCTGCGCACTCGAACCGTCGCCCTGCTGCTGCTTCTGCTGAGTGGGGGAGGTGCACGCACGATCAGTCAGTCAGTCGGTCAGTCAGTCAGTCCAGGAGCAACCCGCGCCGCATACAAGTCAGAAGGCAGGAAGCGAGCGAATCCCCAGCAAAACGCTTTCAAGTTGATGCTACGGAACGAGATTTTGAGACGCACAGCAGTGCAGTTACACCAAACCAGATGTGATGAGAGCTGGGAGAACAGGACCTCATCCCATGGGTTGCTTACAGGTGCTGAGGCGTTAGCAGCTAGCCCTCCTGCTCCACTGCACCCAGCCGACTTCCCCTTGGTCCTGCTGTGGATCTCCTGAGCCTCTTCTAACGCTGCCTTGAAATCTTGGAGTTTTTTCTGAGCGCAGGAGAGGGGGAAGAATACACGGACCAAGGGAACGAGTGCGTGAGTGACCACGCGTGAGTGCAGCAGGTGTTGAGGGTACGCAGTTTCATGAAGTGACTTTTGTTTTGAAGTCTCCGCCCCTCGTCAGTCACATGAACCGCGTCCGTCCATACGCGCTTGGTGTACATCTGAAGCATCGCATCATTCTCTCAGGAGATCGCGTCACATCGCGTCAAATCGTGTCAGATCGTGTCAGATCGTGTCAGATCGTGTCAGATCGCGTCAAATTTCGTACCTTGGGGCATCGCGTCTGCTGGCTGAACTTGGCGGTGTTAGCGTTGGTCCACATGAAGATGGCGCTCGGACTAACCCACGCTGTCATCTCGCACTGCCACGCCGCAGAGCAAGTGGAGCGAAAGAGAAGAGAGGGAGTGGAAAAGACCGGACAGAGAGGGGGAAAGAGAGAAAAACGAACATTTTTCATCGCTCGATCAATTAGCCGTTTGTCCGTGCACTTTATACATTTGAGATGAAGTAATTAGCGTGTTTCGCGGAAAATTCAAGATCCTTGCGCTCTCTCCCTTTCGCCGCGACTAGTTCCGCGAATCGCCATCCGACACACAACACCGCGATCGCCACTCGTCTCCAACGGGCAATAGCGTTCACAGCGATTCGCGAAGCCTGTCGCGGCATCGTACCTCGCCTCCGAGAAGTCGCACGGGCACGTGGTCGTCGTCTCGTCGCCGCCGTCGCTCGGCCGCAGGCAGATCGTCGCGCGACACGATCTGCGACGGCCAGACGGCACCCATGCCGCGGTACTTCACCCACACGACCTCGCCCACGCCCAGCATTGCAGCTGCGTCGCGACGCGATGAATCTAGGTCTGGATTCCGGTATTAGAGATTCCGTTTCAGTCAGATCTCGATTCGTATCTTGGCTTCGTTGCGCTGATATAACAATCTGTGATCCTACTCCAAGCCGCCGTAACTCTCGTGGGAAAAGTGTCACTCTACTTCCAGTAACTTTCACGTCTACACTAGGATGCAGGAAGAGTGAAGAGGAAGGCTCATCGTAGACCGGGAAGTGCACAAGTCGGAGAGGTTTTCGGAGGTCTGCGCGTGAGAGTGGGGAAGTGTTTCCAAGGGTTTCAATGCATAATTCGTGTGAGCCATTGTAAACTGGAACCAGCGTGAGACCCATCTCGAATAATTGATAGTTTGAATGACGAAAGTGCATTCTCGAGGGCAATCGAAACAGGTAGTTACCTAGATTTTGAGACTGTCCTGCTGGAACGGGAGAGGGCGTGCCATTGAGAGTGCATCGACATAGTTCCTGAAGCCATAGAAACTGCCGCAGCAGCTCGGTTCCCCCCAGAGTGTGGATCACCCATCTGACACGAATTCGCAACAGTGCTTCTGCATAAGCGCCCTCGCAACACGATTAGAAGCGTTACTGCAAGATGAGAGAAATTTAGTGTTAGTGAAAGCCATCTTGTAGCTATTGCTGGAGAACTTTAGAACAAAGAATCTTTCGGAAAAGCACGAAATCGCATGTCACCGCATTGAGGTACGCTTTCTTGAACAACAACCTTGGGGTTGGTGCGAGCAAGCTTGTAAGGAATTTTCCCGAATTCCTTATCGGGGTTGACTGCTACGCGTACAGCCCGATTTTCGGACTCTGCACGTTCGGCCGATTTCAACGCTGCCGAGGCTCCTCGCGTCGCCTTCGGCATTTCCCATCGCCAAACCTGCACCCCAACCTCCCTCGTCCGAGGTTTCCTCCTAGCTAGGCTAGCTCCTACATTAGTGCGTTCCTTCATTGTATTCTCAGATCATTCAATCACAGTCTCGTTATTCGTTTACCTGCGCACTCTCTTTTACAACTCATAACACCTGGTATCAGAGCTAATTTCCTAGTTCACCCCGCTTTCCGAGGGTAGTTTGGTGGCACGGGTGTGGTTGGTTTAGTGACTACACGACGGTTGGCTGCAGGGATTGTTAATTCAATCCTGCCCGACTCCGATAGTTCGTGTTTTCACTTGCCTGGAGGCCACGGGTACCCGACTGCCCACCAGACGTAGCGCTAGGCACATGGATCAGGAGGCGGTTAACAGGATGATGGCGCAAGTGGCAGAAATGCAGGAGAGCATGAAGACATTAATGGCGGAAGTGACAACACTGCGAGAGGAAAACGCCGAGCTACGCCAGACGCGAGGTGAAGCGCGTCAGGAGTCGCCTGTGGACGAAGTCGAGGGCAACAGTCAAGCGATGAGCAATCCGCTGGATGCGCTCCCACGTGACTTCGAAGAAGAAGATAGGTAGCGAGCGGCAGCAGCGCCAGTTGCAGTTACGACGATCAAGATCAAGCCCGTCAACCCGCCCCCGTTTAATCCTATGGACAAGACGGTTACGGTAAAAGGGTGGCTGTTCGGGGTCGAGGTCTTTTTCACTGCAGCCGGAGTTAATGACGACGCCACGCTAATTAATTACGCAGTCTCGCTTCTTCGAGGTGCAGCGCTTGAGTGGTGGCGCCGGACCTTGGAAACAGGGACGTCGACAGGTGTGACACATGCGGCAGACGGGACCTCTACAGTGGTTAATCAAGTGGCAGAACCGATCTTCGGTGTGACCAAGATACGCACGTGGAAGGAGTGGGGCGCAGCCTTACGAGATCGCTTCGAGCACGTATCCGCCTCGGAGCAAGCTCGCATGAAGCTGCGTGCATGGTCGCAGATGGCTTCTGTCCAAGACTACACGACGTCATTTATGGGCTTCGCCGACCAAATTGATGACATGTCGGAAGCAGAGCGGTTGGATAAGTACGTCAGCGGCCTTAAATATGAGATTCAGTTTGAGGTTCGCAGAAGCCGCCCGACATCGTTCCTCGAAGCAGTACGGGTGGCGGAGTCAACTGATGCGTTGATGCAGTACGCGAGAGCAGCTTCCAGGGATGGGAGAAGCTTTCGTGGCCAGACCCATCGGGCCACGATCAACGCCGTCCATACACCCGACCGACCTCCTAAGGGTCCGTGTTTCCGGTGTGGGAAGGTGGGTCACTACAGGAAAGACTGCCAGGAGAAAATGCCGCTGACAGGGGACGACAGGAAGGAGCAGGGAAATGGGAAGAGTCAGTAATTAGCGGGCCCTTTACTTACTGTGCTCCGTCGCCCGAACACCATTATCCCCACCGAGTCGTGGTTCCGATTCATGCAATCGATCGCACTCGGCCAAATAACGGGGATACACATGTGGATCACCCTATGCTGGTCGCTGGTAAGGTGTTAAAAAACAATTTGAAAATGTTCGTCGATGGGGGGGCCAGCCATAGCCTCTTCAACTTGGCGAGCGCAAAAAAATGCAAGCTCAACTTGACAGGTGTCTGCCCGAAATTGACGCCCGCCTCGTGGATGGGACGCCTCTGGCGATAACGGAAGAAACACGGACGGTCAGGATCGACTGCGGCAACGATTTCGGCTTCAGCATGAAGTTTCTCGCGACAACATTGGACGGCTGCGACGTGCTGCTGGGACGCGATTGGCTGCGACGGCAAAACCCCGTCATCGACTGGACAACGGGATCGTGCAGCATCAACAAGCACGAGGGGCTAATTAAACTGCCTGCATGGACACCTGACTACATCCAAGCCCCGTGCGTCAAAGCTATCACTATAGCTCGCCACTTCAACAGGGGCGCGCAGCTGTTCGCTGTTTGCTTACGCGAGTTGGCGGTTGACAACGACGGAAAGGACATCGAGAAGCTGTGTGCAGCTGTACCACCGAATTTAGCGGAGCTGATTCGAAGGTACCCGGACATTTTCCCCGACGACCTGCCACCTGGACTGCCACCCGAGAGACCTGAGGACCACAAAATCCAGCTGGAACCGGACGCGCAGCCGACTGTTCGGACACAGTGGCGGTTGACCCAGCCGGAACTCGAGGAGCTGCGAAGTCAAATTGACGCACTGTTGGAGAAAGGGTTCATTCGGGCCAGCACATCTCCCTTCGCAGCACCGATCCTGTTCACTCCGAAGAAGGACGGCGGGCTTCGCATGCGTATCGACTATCGCGCGCTGAACCGGGTCACCATCAAGTCTCGCTACCCAATCCCACGCACCGACGACCTCCTCGACCAACTTCGCGGCGCTCGATATTTCTCGAAAATTGACTTACGTGGCGGTTACCACCAGATTCGAGTCTTCGCCGACGATTGTCACAAGACTGCGTTTCGCACATGCTACGGGAGTTACGAATTCACAGTGATGCCTTTCGGCCTCACGAACGCGCCTTCGACTTTTCAACTGACCATGAACAGGGTTTTTCGGGATCTTCTAGACCGATGTGTCATCGTCTACTTGGACGATATCCTCATTTTTAGCAAGACACGGGAGCAGAACCTCCGCGACCTGGATGCAGTGTTTAAGCGGCTGCAGGAGAACCGACTCATCACCAAGGGCTCTAAGTGCGAGTTTTTTAAGCAGGAGTTGGAGTTTTTTGGGCACGTCATCTCGCGCGACGGCATTAAAATCGACCCGGCGAAAATCAAGACCATACAGGAGTGGAAGTCCCCGACGAACGGCACGGAACTCCAGAGTTTTCTCGGATTCGTGAATTACGTCCGGCGGTTTATCCCGAATATGGCGGGGATAACCGGCCCGCTGACCGACCTGCTGCACAAGGACAGGAATTTTGTGTGGGGGGAGGAGGCAGAAGCGGCTTTCCAGGAACTCAAGAATTTTCTCGTTTCCCCTCCTGTGCTGCGCATCGCCGACCCATCGAAGCCGTTCGAAGTTGTAACCGACGCCTCAGATTTCGCCATCGGAGCTGTGCTTCTCCAAGACTTCGGGAATGGGTTGCAGCCGATAGCCTATGAATCACGCAAGCTGCAGGCAGCCGAACGCAACTACCCGATCCACGACAAGGAGATGCTCGCCATCATACACGCGTTTAGATTATGGCGATGCTAGCTGGTGGGCGCCGACGTCACTGTTCGCACGTACCACAAGTCCCTACAGTACCTGCGAGCCCAACCCAACCTCAACCCACGACAGATTCGGTGGCTGGATTACATGGAGAGCCACTTCACCTACCGCATCACGTACAAGAAAGGGGCGAATAACATCGCAGACGCCCTGACCCGACCGACAGTACAATCCGCTGCAGTACTCATCACCTATTCAAACCCGCTACTTACAGGACTATTCACCCACGGCTACACTACGGACCCATTCTTCACGACCAGGAATCATCGCCAGGCCACGACACAGAAGGGGGACTACTACCTAAAAGCCGGAACCGACAGGATTTGGGTTCCCGCTTACAGGCTGCTGCGTGAACTCCTTATCCAAGAAGTCCACGATTCGAATTTCTCCGGACACTTCGGGGTTGATAAGACCCAGAAATTACTGCACCGTCAGTATTACTGGCCTGACTCCTCTAACGACGTGCAGCGATATGTGTCCTCATGCAGGGTGTGCCAAGCTATGAAATCGACACGTCAACGACCAGCTGGGCTGCTGCAACCCCTCGAGCCACCCGAACGACCGTGGCAGCAGGTGACAATGGATTTTGTCGCGGGGATGCCAGCTGGGCTGTCCGGCAACGACGCAGTGCTCGTCGTCGTCGATCGCTTCACGAAAATGGCGCACTTCGCCCCATGCCAAACGACAATCACAGCCGAAGAAACTGCGCGCCTCTTCATCTCAACGGTCGTGCGACTCCACGGCATCCCTTCGGCGATCATCAGCGACCGAGACCCGAAGTTCACATCCAAGTTCTGGAAGGAGACGTGGGCGCAGTACGGCACGAAGCTACAGTTCTCATCGGCATATCACCCACAGACGGACGGTCAAACTGAGCGGACCAATCAGACCATGGAGCAGCTGATCAGGACAAACTGCCCCGACCCCACCCGCTGGGAAGATTCCATCGCAATGTTGGAGTTTGCTTTCAACAACGCGCCGTCCAGCACGACTAATCACTCCCCGTTTTTCCTGAATTACGGGATGGACCCGACAGTTCCTACGGCAACCACTCTCGACAACCCGGTCCCAAGGTCACAGACTTTTGTGACGGAACTCCAGGAAGCCCGAGAAAAAGCCGCAGACGCAATTCGCAAGGCGAATATCACTTCCCGCAAATACACCGATCTTCTACGCCGGGAACTCGTCTTGACTACTGGGCAACTAGTGCTACTCGACACGAAGAACCTGCACCTGCCCGGCCCGTCGAAACTACGGCCACGATTTTGTGGGCCCTTCAAGATTATCAAGATGGTGACACCTGTCACCGCGAAGCTGCTACTACCCGACGACTGGCGAATTCATGACGCCTTCCACGTCAGCCTGCTTCGGAAGTTCGTGCCAGCCACGATCGACATCGCGAGACAACAAGCTGCCCCAACTGCATGACCTGTCCCGGAGCCGACTCTCGAACCTTCGAAGATTTTGGCACATCGGGTTCGACTTGACGCAGCTGGTCGACACGTGGATTTCCTAATCCGTTGGACCGACCGCACCAGTGAAGATGACACGTGGGTGCATTCTGACTCGCTCGACGCCTCGCCACTTGTTGGTGATTACTTGGCGCGCAGGCGTGTTTCAGATATTGACCGCCTTTCTTAAGGGGGGGGGGTAGTGTAAGGAATTTTCCCGAATTCCTTATCGGGGTTGACTGCTACGCGTACAGCCCGATTTTCGGACTCTGCACGTTCGGCCGATTTCAACGCTGCCGAGGCTCCTCGCGTCGCCTTCGGCATTTCCCATCGCCAAACCTGCACCCCAACCTCGCTCGTCCGAGGTTTCCTCCTAGCTAGGCTAGCTCCTACATTAGTGCGTTCCTTCATTGTACCTATTCTCAGATCATTCAATCACAGTCTCGTTATTCGTTTACCTGCGCACTCTCTTTTACAACTCATAACAAAGCTGAAGTCCGTCACTCAAATCTCTCTTGCAGAAATCTTCATCCCATTCCCATCCCAAGGCAATAACATGAAAGCAGAGGTCAGCTCGGCTCGCGTTGCGTCGATGTGTTCGAATCGAAGCCGAAGCGTCGGAAATGTCGATGCTGCTGTCACATCGCAAGGCAGAGCGCATCGATGCCATGGCGAGTTTGGGTGTTGCAGCATCTGCGCGTTCCAGACGAGAGGATTCGCCTGGGCGATATCGATCGGTACAATCGGAGCCGTTTCATCCATTCCTCGCATTTCGGATCCGTGCGAGGCTTGAATCATGCGGCGTTATATGCGAAGGGCTTGTCTATCGTGGTCTCATGTTCCGCGCTGTGGGGATTAACCGTCAGGATAGTGAAGATAGAGCGAGAAGGAGAGATCGGGAGCGTCGTCGTGTGTGCCGTTGCCACCGCTTTTCAGCGTCACACCATGCTTACCTCCCATATCCGCGATTCCGCGCTTGACCTAGATGCACTTGACGCATTTGACGCACTTACCGGCTCAACCGCTTAGCCTCTCTTGACGAGATACAGCCTTGGTCCAAGCGACCTTCATTCACAGGATGATTGCTTCGACGGCGCTAGTTCTCCATGCGCGAAGCCTCGAGTGCGCATTGGAAACAGTCAACAACACGCAGCCCGCGCCTTGTTACCTTCGCGCCGTTTTCTCCGCGTCAATTCTTTCCGCGCGCCTCCCCCTCGTTTTCTCCTTCCGACAACGCGCGCGATGGGCGACGAGGGCTGCGACGACGCGAGCGCGTCGCTGCTGTTGCACGAGAGCGAGCCGGAGTGGGCGCAAGGCGGGCATGGCGAGCGACCTCGTCGTCACCATCGGCCAGTGCGCCTTCCACGTGCACCAATACCCGCTGTACGCGTTACTAGCCTTCCACGTGCACCAGTACCCACGGTACGCATTACTAGCTCTCCACGTGCACCAGTACCCACGGTACGCGTTACTAGCTCTCCACGTGCACCAGTACCCGCTACTAGCCCTGCTTCGTTCTGTACGCGTTACTAGCCGTTATCCGTTCCACTAGCACTCCTCTCCGTTCTCGGCACGCGTTCTCTTCTCCGTTATCCGTCCTTCACGGTTCAGTCGCTTCAAGCTCTCCCTCCTGTCTCCCCTGTTCCCCTCCTTTCTGTTCCTTCCCCCCGGCTCCCCCTCCCTTCCCTTCCCCCTCCCTTCCCCTCCCACTGCCTCCCCTTCCCCAACCCCAGCTTCTCCCTGTCAACGGTGGTCGCCAACGCGGCAGCAGCAGCGGGCGAGGGCACGGGCCCCATGCAGGCGGACCTCTCGTTCCTCCCTGGCGGCGCGCTCTCCTTCGTCCCCATCGCCTGCTACTGCTACGCCCGCCCCTGCCGCCTCTCGCCCCACTCCGTGCTGCTCGTGCGCTCCGCAGGTACTGATGCCCCTCCCGAGGCAGGAGGGGGAGCGTGTGGGAGTTTGGGTATGGGAAGTGCAGGAGTGGGCAGTGTAGGAGTGGGAATTGCAGGAGAGTGGTAGTGTGGGAGAGTGGGAATGTGTTAGTGTGAGGTGACATGAGCGGGGAATACAGGTGATGAACTTGGTTTTTTTTGGGGCAGCACTGAACCGTGTTGCATCCCATGTGTTCACCATTGCTGCTCTGCACCCATGCTCTCCTCAACCCCATCTTCTCAACCCCCTCCCTCCCGTTCTTATCATTCCCCCTCTTCTTATTCTCCCCCTTTCTCGTCCCCCCCCTTTCCAGCATGTTCTCACCTTCCTTCTTTACACCCCCCCTCTCCTCCTCCCTCCTTCTCCCGCTCGCCCCGGCAGCATCGCTGCTGCACATGAACGCATGTGGGCCCACCTGCTGCCACTGTTTCTGATGGGCCTCAAACCTCCCTTCCCCTCGCTCTCCCCCCTCCCCCCTCTCCCCCCGTCCCCTCCTCCCCCGCCAGTATCGCTGCTGGAGATGAACGCGTGTGGGCCCAGCCACTCGCTGCCGCTGCCGCAGCTGGCAATGCAGCGCCTGCAGCACCTCCTGCAGCACTAGCCGCCCTGCCTGCACGTGCTCTCATCGTATGCCACTCATTGGAGGGGGGTGGGATGGGATGGAATGGGATGGGATGGGATGGGACGGGATGGGGTGGGGTGGGGTGAGATGGGATGGGATGGGATGAGATGGGATGGGATGGGATGGGGTGGGATGGGGTGAGATATGGAATGGGGGATGTCCCATACTGTGCCTTGGCATGTGATGCGCATCTGTCCGTTTCACATGCGTATTCCTCTTCATGTCTGTTCTCATGTCGGCTGTTGACACGAACCTTCTCCTTTTGCATACGTGCCCGCACATTCCTCGCTCTCCTGCACACAATCCCCTTTACTCCCACTCCCACTCATGGCCACCCACTCACTGCCTACTCTCCTCTAACCCACCGTTCTGCTTCATTCCGCATTGACCTTCATTCCGCATTGACCTTCATTCCGCATTGACCTTCATTCCGCATTGACCTTCATTCCGCATTGACCTTCATTCCGCATTGACCTTCATTCCGCATTGACCTTCATTCCGCATTGACCTTCAGTCCGCATTGACCTTCAGTCCGCATTGACCTTCAGTCCGCATTGTCCTTCAGTCCGCATTGACCTTCAGTCCGCATTGACCTTCAGTCCGCATTGACCTTCATTCCGCATTGACCTTCAGTCCGCATTGACCTTCATTCCGCATTGACCTTCATTCCGCATTGACCTTCATTCCGCATTGACCTTCATTCCGCATTGACCTTCATTCCGCATTGACCTTCATTCCGCATTGACCTTCATTCCGCATTGACCTTCATTCCGCATTGACCTTCATTCCGCATTGACCTTCATTCCGCATTGACCTTCAGTCCGCATTGACCTTCAGTCCGCATTGACCTTCAGTCCGCATTGACCTTCAGTCCGCATTGACCTTCAGTCCGCATTGACCTTCAGTCCGCATTGACCTTCAGTCCGCATTGACCTTCAGTCCGCATTGACCTTCAGTCCGCATTGACCTTCAGTCCGCATTGACCTTCAGTCCGCATTGACCTTCAGTCCGCATTGACCTTCAGTCCGCATTGACCTTCATTCCGCATTGACCTTCATTCCGCATTGACCTTCATTCCGCATTGACCTTCATTCCGCATTGACCTTCATTCCGCATTGACCTTCATTCCGCATTGACCTTCATTCCGCATTGACCTTCATTCCGCATTGACCTTCATTCCGCATTGACCTTCATTCCGCATTGACCTTCATTCCGCATTGACCTTCATTCCGCATTGACCTTCATTCCGCATTGACCTTCAGTTAAGGGTGAAAACGAATAGCACATTATTCGTTTTTTACTCGAGTTTCGTCTAGGACTCAAATACAAATCGAGTCGAGTTCGTTTTCCCTACTCGCTAATACTCGTTTTTGCCTGCTCGCGAATACGAATATTCGACGTTCCTGCCTCCACCGAATACTCGAGTATTCGTATTTGAACCCGTGTACCGTACCTCCCTGTTTTTCTTCCACGTTTGCAGGCGCTCGAACGCATCGACCGTGTGGCGTGAGGAGAAATCTACGAAAGTTAACTGTGGCACGACGCGCGCTCTTTACATGCGGGCAGCGGGTGAAATCGGGACCTAAAACGGTTTGCTAGGCTAGATTCTAAGTAGTAACTAACTATCAGCTGTAAGTTAGGGTTGTCGAGGAGGTTGAGTTGAGAGAGTCGAGGAGGATGAGGTTGGGTTGGGTTGACTAGGGAGATCACTAGTTCGATTGGTTGGTTGTTTTTTTGTTTGGGTCCTCTGACGTGGCAGTTGAAGTGCACGCACGATTGTGCTCTTCCAGATGCGACAAGTAAACAGAATGCACGACAAGTAGGGAAAGACGATTTTTTTCACGACTCCTTCTGTTGCGCTCAGGTGGACGCCAGGTGGTTCGCTTATTTTTTTGCACGTCGCACATTACTTCGCCGAGCCGCCTCTGCATCGTATTGGGTGTTGAGGGGGGTCCAGATGCTGCGGGGAACAGGCACGCGTGACGTGAGCCACGACCGGACAATCTGCTCTGACACAGTAAACAAACGACTAGGAAACAAAACGCGCGACAAATAGAATTCGCGAAATTTCGGAGAGAAAAGGCGGGACTTATCGAATTTCGCGAAAGTCGAGCACGTGTGTGGGAAATAATGAGCGGGACAAGCGAATTTTGGAAAACCGTGAATGCGACACAGAAATTTTGAACTCGCAAAAATTTGGTGTGCGGCTCGCGGGAAACCGCCTAACAAATTCATTCGACACAGAATGGTGGAGGGAAAGGGAACATTTCCAGAGAGGGAACACACACATTCCAGAGAGTTCATTTCCAACTCCAGAGAGCTCCCACCTTCATAACTATGGCTACATCCTCAGACTTGGCTGCATTTTAGACCCAGACACTCTATCATTTCTCTACCTCGTTTACTCGATCTAAGACTTTGATTCAATAGACGCATTTTTCTCTCCAAATGGCGGACCCCGGAGCATCTAGCATTCCTACTCCATCAACTAATGATTCAACCGCCGTGCAAGTAGTAGATGTAGAAGCGTCTCAACCCAAACCCAAGCGGGCCAAAACGCCAACTTCTAAGATATGGCTCATGTTCACCAAGTTGGAATGTGGCACGAAGGCAAAGTGCAACTATTGCATCATCAACCCCTCAATTTACGCTTTGACGGGAAGCTCTACATCCTCGATGCGGATCCATGCGATGAAAAGTCATCCTAAGGAATTTCGACTCTTGGTGGGACAAGCGGAACGAACGGACGCGGATGATGGCTCATCCAACGACATTTCGCGCGCATTGTTGAAGATAAAGGCTTTTTCGGACAAGGAAAACCGGGAGAGGCTCGTACGCATCTTCGCCAAAGGCCTCATCCCGTTCTCATTCATCGAGGATCAAGACTTTCGGGCATACTTGCATTGGCTCAACCCAAGGGCAAGTATGCCGAGCCGTGTGACTCTTGCGAACGACATTCATGCGGCCTATAACGCATGTGTGGGTAAGATTAAGAATCTTCTTGCGAATCTCTCATGCAAGGTGTCATTCACCCTTGACATTTGGTCCTCACCCACGAATGCCTCGTACATTGCAATCACTTGCCATTGGATCGATGATGACTTCAACAACAAGTCCATTTTGTTGGATTTTAAGCATTTTGAAGGCCATCACACGGGCGAAGCCATCAAGGACACGTTTGTGAAGTGCGTGTACGAGGATTGGGAGTTGGGGGAGAAGGTTATGGCCATCACGGTGGACAATGCTTCGAACAACAAGCGCTTCATCGACTTGTTGGGGGTGGAGAAGGGGTTTCCCGCGGAGAGGCATATGAGATGCTTCAACCATGTGATTCATCTTGTGGTTGAAGTAATCATGAAACACCCTCCCATTGAAGAAGCCCTCAAGAAAATAAGGGCGTTTGCAACACATCTCAAAGGGTCTACTTTGAGGAAAGGGAAGTTTTGGATGCGGTGCAAAGAGAAAGGGCTTCACAACATATCATCCCTTGCCCATGACACCCCCACCCGTTGGGGTAGTGCTCACTTTTTGATGAAAAGATCAAGGTTGCTCCGACCCGCCATCAATGCATACTTGGTGGAAGATGTGGACGATGAGGTGGAACGGGAGTTTCGGATGAGGAGCGAAGAGGGTCTTGAGCGTCTTGAGAACCTTCTTGCTCCTTTTGCCGAGATTCAAAACATGCTAGAGGGCTCTAGTTACCCTACCTTGTCTTTGTGTGTACCATCTATCAATGCTTTAATGGATATTTTAGAGGGGAGGGTGGAGGAGAAGGGGGAGTTTTGGGAGGCGTGCAAGGAGGGTCTTGAGAAGCTCAAAGGTTACTATGACCGAACATCGGAGGAGTACACAATTGCCACGGTTTTGGACCCAAGGTTCAACCTTGAGTACTACGCCGGTGGCGAGAGCATGGGTAGCGATCATCAAAGAACCTCAAGTGTGCGAGAGTACATCACCAAGGCATATTTGGAGTACGAGAAGACACACTCCAAGGGAAAAGAAGTTGCCGAGATCAACGCCCCAACTCCAACCACAACTCCGCAAAGCACCTCAAGGGAACCTAAACGGTCATCTCTTTTCGGTGCCATTTTCCATTGCCGCAAGAGTGGAGAGACCATGGAGATAAGCTCTCAATTGGATGATTACCTTCGAAAGAAGAGATTAAGTGTCGGACCCGATGGGGTTCTTCCATCCTTCAAGGATTGGTGGAAGGTGTACGCAACGTTTTTTCCCATTGTCGCGCACATGGCGCGCGACTATCTTGCCATACCGGGAACTTCGGCGGATTCCGAGCGCTCTTTTTCAATTGCGCGTCATGTCATTACGGATTTTCGTCATAGTTTAGACCCTAGGACGGTCCGTGCATGCATTTGCTTGCGCTCGTGGATGACTTTGGATGAAAAGCTAGCATAAATGGAGGGAGTTTATAGTGTTGTTTGGTGGTTTAGTTCTATATGGTTAGGGTAGATTGGAGCTATGGGTAGAATGGTAGATTAGTCTAGGCTTGATCCACACATCCTACGAGCATTCGTTCTTGTCATTCATACCCGTGAACTACTTCCTCCGTTGTTTAGAGCCTTCATTAGTTCTTTGTTGTTCTATCAAAGTGTGGAGCATTAACTACTACGGTAGATTGTATCATCTTTGTTCTAGGAGTGCCTATGGCCTTGATTTGCGTGGAAAGATGGTATATTCTTCCTCTACACTATTGTAAAGTCTTGTTGAGTGTGGGAGGTTAGTCTAGATTCGATCCTCACATCTTCTGAGCACTGGTTGCGTAGTATGCTTGATTGTATTGATCTTCTCCTACCATTGTTTAGAGCGTTCCATTGTGTTGATGATCGGTTATTTGTTGTTTTGTTATGGCTCTTTCAGAGTAGTTAGTGACTGGTGTGGAATAATATTTCTGAGAAGCTCACTACCTTATGAAAAAACTTCCAGTGTCAAAGGTAGGGACGTCGATCCATCAGGCTCCTACAAAATAAATCACGGCAGCAGAGACTAATCTGTATTATAGGAAACCAATGGCAGACAGCTTAATGTTCACTAATCAGATTTCACTAAAACGAAACATCTTACCAAACCTACTGAATACGCTACCTACTGAGACATTTCGGGCTGCAAAAGGCTCAAGTTTTCTTTTAAAAATTGATTTGCCAGTGAGGTACAGATGGGGTACAATGTACAGTTGTTGTTAATGACTGATTAATGAATACACTAGGTGGTTCACAAGGCAATTGTAACAACAAGTACCGTACAAACTTCGTTACAACGACAATGTGAAGGAGTTTTAGAGACTTGGTGGACCTGCACAAACAAAGCTGGAATTTTTTAAAGTACAACATAGATCTCTGGGCCGACAAACCCCTACTCGTTTACATTCGTATTCGATTCGTATTCGTGCATATTCGACTCGTATTCGTATTCGAGATAGAGCCACAATTCGATCAAATACAAATCAGGCGAGCTATTCGACAAATCGAAGATTGCATGACTCGTATTTGTACTCGTATTCGTATTTACAGCCTTACCTTCAGTCCGCATTGACCTTCAGTCCGCATTGACCTTCAGTCCGCATTGACCTTCAGTCCGCATTGACCTTCAGTCCGCATTGACCTTCATTCCGCATTGACCTTCATTCCGCATTGACCTTCATTCCGCATTGACCCTCATTCCGCATTGACCTTCAGTCCCTGACCCTCATTCTGTGTGTACGCATGTCGAGGGATTGCATACTCAGCTCAGTGGAATGTTCCCTTCACTGGATAACACTAGTGCGAGGTATGAGTAACCTTTGAACTCCCTTGGAGCGACCATATGCTCACTGCACTTCTTATTTGTCCAATCGAATCCATCAGTAATGCCAATCAGGTGTAGTATAACATGTGGTGCCATGCGTTCTCTGATGTCTCTGCTCTTGCATCCCTTCTGCCACATGCACTGGCGTGGTGGCAGCAGTAGGAGGAGTATCAGAAAAAGCATCAGGGGGGGGCAGCAGGCGGGGCAGCAGAGCAGCAGGGTGATTTGATGAAACTGGCTTTGAGAGACTTCTGCCTTGTGCTCATGAGTCAGTGCTTTAGTGCCTGTGCCATGCACACACACCACCACTTGCCCTGCCACCACCACCACATCGCCATCTCTTTCTATCTCTCCTGTTCACATTGTTCCTCATTGCGCATCCAAGTTCACACTTCCTCGTTTTTCACCATCACCACACACACTGAATTCGTCCCCAATCTCTTTCCCTTTCCCCACTTCCTCCCCTTCCTCCCCTTTCGCCCCCTTCCTCCCCATCCTCTTTCTCCCCGCCACCAACTTGCACCTCTCTGCATGCAGGTGCGCAGAAGCAGGGCATGAGCACGCAGCAGCTGAGCAGCCTACTAGAGCCATACTACTGGCAGTGGGGGCACGACTGGCGGTAGCAGGGGCAGCGGCGGCAGCAGCAGGAGGAGAAGCAGAAGCGGCAGTGGGACACGGCGTAAGGGGATGGTCCCTGGGTCACTGATAAGCTCGACTGGCAAGAGGCTTTCAGGTTAGTGGTTGTTGTGACAACGAGGCCGTTCAAACTCCAATGTGTTGCTGACTAGTGTGATAATGCGTCCATTCTACGTTTTTTATTTAAAGAGTCCGGTCCAGTAGTCCCCATGCCCCACCACTCCTTCCCTCCATGCTCTTTTTAACTCCTAAACACACCTTCACTTCTCTGTATCGCTTTCCCCCATCCCCCTCCCGCTCTCCCCCCAACACACCAACAGGCAAGCCCTGCAGCACCTCGTTCGCCTCCTCCCCGACCCCGCCACCCTGCCTCTCTCCACCCACCTGCTCTTCCACCTGCTCTCACACGCCTGCCTCTGCGCCATGCCGCGCTCCTCCCTGCTCTTCCTCTTCCAAGCTGCCGAACACACCGCCTCACGAGGGATGTCGGGGTTGAAAAGCATCGTTTCCCCTCCCCATCCACCATATCCAAGTGAGTGCATGCTGCCACCACATCCTTTCTCCCACATCCCTTCCCCCACATCCCTTCTCCCACATCCCTTCTCCCACATCCTTTCTCCCACCTCCCTTCTCCCACCTCTCTTCTCCCACATCCCTTCTCCCACATCATGTCTCCCACATCCCTTCTCCCACTTGTGCCCACGCTAATAGAAAATGGGAAAAGCAAATCAGCAAACAAAAAATCAGGAGCTGGCAACTGCAAGAACAAACCATGTGCATAAAAAATGGAGCCAAAGGCTGAAACTTATCTGAGGTTAAGGAGCTAGAATGTGGAGTGCAGCGCAAGGTCTCGAGGGTCCATGGGTGTGCAGAGAGAGCTTGGAGAACCTGCCGTGAGGCGAAATAAAACAAGTCAGTGAATGGGGAGTTGAAGCAAAACTTGAAAAAAACAAGAAATCAGCTTGAAAGCAATGGAAAAGGCTGGAATTGACAACTTATCTTGCCATAGTTGTTGAGCCTTGAAGCACTTCAGAAGGTTTTGGTGCTCTCATGAATCTTTGATCATGATTCGTGGGAGCACCGTAGTTTGCTGAAGCCTCAAGGCTCAACAACCATGGCAAGATAAGTTGTCAATTCCACCATTTTCCATTGTTTTCAAGTTTTTTTTTTCATTTTTTTTTTCAGGTTGTGCTTCAACTCCACTTCACTGACTTGTTTTATTTCGCCTCATGGAAGGTTCGCCAAGCGCCCTCTGCACGCCCAAGGACCTTCAAAACCTTGCGCTGCACTCCACAATCCAGCTCTTTTAACCTCAGATAAGTTTCAGCCCTTGCCTCCATTTTTTATGCACATGGTTTGTTCTTGCAGTTGTCTTGCTTCACGTGCTCATGCGCTCTAAGATCAGGCTTCACGGTTCAGACGCTCACGACTCCCCCTCCGTCCCCTCCTTTCTCCTCCGTTCCCGTCTCTTCCCGTCCCTTCCCGTCCCTTCCCGTCTTTTCCCGTCCCTTCCCGTCCTTTCCCGTCCCTTCCCTCCTCCTCCTCCTCCCTCTCCCTTCCCTTCCCGCTCTCCCCACTTGAGCTTCTCCCTGTCAACGGTGATCGCAACGCGGCAGCAGCGTCGGACGAGGGCACGGGCCCCATGCGGACCTCTCGTTCCTCCCTAGCGGCGCGCTCTCCTTCGTCCCCATCCTCTGCCGCCTCTCGCCCCACTCCGTGCTGCCCGTGCGCTCCGCATGTACTGTCGCCCCTCTGAGGCAGGAGGGGGAGAGTGTGGGTACTGCAGGTACTGTCGCCCCCTGTAGGTGTGGGGATGGCTGGAGCAGGAAGGGCGAGAGGGCAGGAGGGGGAAAGGGCAAGTGGGCGGGAATGTGAAAGGGAGGGAATGGAGGGATTTGGAAGTGCGGGAGTGTGGGTGTGCAGTTGATAACCTCGCACTTGTTGGTCCAGTTCCAGCAACTCATGCTCCTCGCATCCCCTGCTCTTCTCACCTCCCCCTTCTCATCCCCTCTTCTTCTTACCTTTTCTCTTCCAAATATCCCCTCTTCTCACTTCCTCCCCTCTCTCCCTCCCCCTGGTAAGTGGGGTATTGGCGGGGGAGTGAGTGAGGGAATTGGAGGCGATGTGACGAGTACTCATGTGATGAACTCGTTTGTGTTGTTTTATCTGCGCTGACCTGCACCGGACTCTGCTGGGCTGTGCTTGCAAATCATGCTCGTCTCACTCGCCCTCTTCTATCTCGCCCTCTTCTTTCTCATCCCCCCTCCTCCTCTCCTCCCTCGCTTTCCCCTTGCCCCACCCTTGCCTCCCCCTTGCCTTCCCCGCAACCCCCCTTTCCCTCCCCCTGGCAGCGTCACTACTGGAGATGAACGCGTGTGGGCCCAGCCACTTGCTGCCGCTGCCGCAGCTGGCCTCCCAGCGGGAAGAGAAGATGGGGAGCAGGATGAAGAGCTGCTGACAAGGGAGGGGATGAAGCTCACGCCAGCTGGCCTCCCAGCGCCGGCAGCACCTCCTGCAGCTCTGCCCGCCCTGCCTGCACATGCTCCCATTCTCCCCTTCACACACTCCCGTTCACTTTCACCCAACCTGCACTTGCTGCCTCCCACCAACCTGGTCATTCCCCATCCGCCTCCCTCCTACTTCCCTCTCATACTCTGCATTCTTTCTCATTCACCCCTCCAACCCCTCCCCCCTTTTCTCCCTTCCCCCCATCAGTTGCAGCGCCCTGCCGCCCTCCAACGACACCAGATCTGGACGTTACGGTAAATGCCCGCAGCAAAGGTTCTCTGTTTGTGAAGTCTGTACCCATCTAGCCTATGGGGATATCCCCGTGGCTACTGATGAACTCAACTGGGTGTCTGAATATGCGAAATGCTGCCTTGAATCCGATTCAGCAATCCATTGTGTCCATGCCTCCATCCATTTCATGTCTGAAGAGCCCACCACTCCGTCTCTCCATGCCTTACCTATGTTCCCAAACACAGTTCCACTCTCTTCCTCTGCCTCTTTTATCGCTTTCTCAGAAAATCAGTGCGCCTACTACCTAGTCCTCAGCAGTTAGATTGACCCGATATACTGACAAATGAGACTAGAAGAAATGTTCAGAGATTTAATTACAATGGGTTTAACTTCCTCTTTTACTGCTGTCCACTTTTCTAATGCCACCTGTTCCTTGAAACTCATCTCCAAGGAGATTTCCGCGGAGCTGCACCCACGTGTCACCCCCGACCCAAACAAACCTCGGAAATCGCATTGACGAAGAGAGTTGTGTTTTAGCGGGAAAACGGAAGTGTGCCTTGGGATTGGGATGATGTTTCTGGTTCACGCAACATCGGTTTTGTCGGGTGCTCTGCGGTGCCAGTGGTTTGACGTACCACTTCTTACCACATTCACTCACTGAACCGCACTGTTAGTGTAGGCGGAGATTTTGCGGGGGACGACCACAAAATGTGGGAGGGCCTTCTCAGCGCACTGCAAACCCGCTGGAATTGTCAGAACCGTGTTCAACCAGATTCGACCCTCCGTTACACATCCGACCTACCTGCGTTTTCCCTTTCCACACACACCACATCTCTACATACCCAGGCTGACGAAGCGTTTCGCCAAACAGCAAAACATTTCGCGAACCACGTCTCCAGAAATCTCGACCATCTGACAATGTCCCAATCTAATCGCAACAGCCGACAGCAGAAGTTACCTGTTGAGCTCGCCAATTCGCCAAACCATGTCTCGAGCTTCTCCTTGTGGCAGATGATGGGTTTACAGCTGCTCCATCGCTTCTCTCTACCGCCGCTGCTGTCAGACCAAACCAGTTGGATTCTCGACTTCCCTCCCAACTCTTCTGCCAGCCGCCTCCTAAGCACTAGAGCGGCTCAATTTAGCAGCACGCTTCGGAATACGGATCGCGGCGGTTGAATGAGCGGAAGTTTTATAGGCCACGTCACTAGACCTTCAAAATTCGTGTGTATACTCGCGTTTTTTTCTGGCTGTTGAAACAGCATACGTGTCCCAGTTTGAGGACATTCTGCTTGGATAGTGTTTTCGTTGGCGGTCCAATCAAACGTTGGGGCTCATTTGGCGGTCCAATCAGAGGTCATCTTCATGTTGTCGGCGATTCCTTATGATCCACAATCGTCCACGTAGTCCACGGTGGCATGTTTGGGACCACGTTCGAAGCCAGCAAAGCGAGATTTTCAGCCGTTCACTGATTCCAAACCGCATCCCAACGGTCCGAAATTAGACATTCCACGCATCTTCAGTCTCTCTTCGTATTCCGGCTCGTCTTCTCGTAATTTTCAATTAGTTTCCGTAGCCTTCCTGGCACTTTTGCTAATCGATCTTGGCTTTCGATCGCGCTACCAGTTTCAACCCTTCACCATCTTCTCACGTCGACGCCGTTCAGCCTTGCCGGGACCGTATGTCGGATCGTGGAGCTTCATTACCTCGACCGTGGGAGTTTGTGCAACGTAGCGAAGCTACGTCGATCTGCGTTTTTTCCTCGACCTCGTCGCGACGCTAGCTACGACGTGGCTGAAGCGACATCGATATCTCCGACTTGTTACGGTGAAGGTTGAAAGTATCACCTTTCACCACCACTCACCACAGAGCCTCCTCCCTGGTAAAGGTTTGGTACAGGTTCGGTACAGGTGCGGTAAAGGTTCCCAAGGTGTTTGGTTGGTACTGGCTCTGTGGTGGGGCAGCACGTGTTTCTTTCACGTTTACAGTCTTCATTTCCTTTTGCTTTCTTCACTTCCATTTACTGACTTCATATTACTTATTATACTTGCAGGTGCTATTGGAGGCTGCTAGGCGTACTTCTGAAGCTTTCAGGGGAGCAACAGCTTTCGTGGCTCTCCATTCTTCAAGGCGTCCTCGGCCTTGTCGCGACGCCATCTACGACGTGGCTGAAGTGTCATCGATCGACCGGAGGAGCAGAGGAGCAGCTCCGCGAGTCGTCCTGGTGAAGGTTGAACGTATCACCTTGCACCACCACTCACCACAGAGCCTCCCCCCCGGTTAAGGTTTGGTAAAGGTTCGGTACAGGTTAGGTAAAGGTCCCCAGGAGGTTTTTCTTTTACGGTACAGGTTGGTATCGGCTCTGTGGTGGGGCAGCACATGTTTCTTTCACTTCTCAAAGTCGTTTTCTGCATGTTTTCTTCAATTCCGTACACTAACTACATGTTTTTGTCTACACTCGCAGGTTCTAATCGAGGCTGCGAGGCGTATTTCCGAATGTTTAAGAGGAGCAAAGGCCTTCGGGGTTCTCCATGCTTCATGAAGGCCAACAGAGGAGAAGGTTGAAGTATCACCCACCCTTCATACTTCACAGAGCCCCCCCCTGGTTAAGGTTAGGTACAGGTCAAGGTATGGTACAGGTCGAGGTTGGTAAGGTTCCCCTTGAAGGTTTTTCGGTTGGTATTTGGCTCTGTTGTTTCCACGCTTCTTTTCGTTTTACATGCTTTATTGCCGGACTTTTACTGATTTTTCTTTATTGCCATACCTGCAGGTTCTATCTGAGGGTCTGCTGCGATGACTTCAGAGGAGCAACACCGTTTGGCGGCCTGCCATGCTTTGTGGCGTACAACAGAGGAGCAGCTCCAGGGCAGGTGAAGGTTGAACGTATCAACCACCCACTCCACACTCCTCGGAGCCCCCCCCCTTGGTTCAGGTCAAGGTGATGGTAAAGGTCAAGGTGATGGTAAAGGTTGAGGTGGGTAAAAGTCCCCCTAAGGTCTTTTTTTTGGTATTGGCTCTGTAGGCAGTGCAGACTTGCACCACACTTGCACCACCGTCCGTTTCTGCTTGATTTGTTCACTGCTGTTTACTAACGTAGTTCCCTTGATCTCCTTGCAGGTTATGGCCCTTGTGCCAAGCTCCAAGGCGAGGTGAACGTACCTGCCAACAGCACCTGGCAGGTGCCTCCTCTCTCTTCACTACCAGTAAGTCTCGTTTGAAGTCACTTGTTGCATGTTGTTTCGTTTTCCTTCATTGACCATTCCTTTCTAACTCGGATTTTCTGACTTCAATTGGAAGGTTCAACAACGCGTTTCAGCAAGCCCAAGAATCAAGATCCATGGGAGCTGGTCTGCTGAGGCACCTCAAGGCTCACCAACCTTGGAAGATTAGTCACCAACCCCAGCTTATTTCCTTGCTTTATCGCTCCAATGCTCCTCCACTGCTTACTCCAAGCTTGCCGATTCCTTCTTTTCCGCTGAACTCTTGCTTTCTGTTGCTGTGTGATTCTGAAGTTACTTGATTTACTGATTTGGTTTTTTTTACTTCATGTGGCAGGTTGCTCAACCAAGGACCTTCAGCATGTCCAACATCCATGGGAGCACCATGGTCTGCTGAGGCGATTCGAGGCTTAAGAATGGCGAGATAAGTTGCATACCCCTTGTCTTCACCGCTTGCTTAGTTTGCTGATTTCTTCGCTTCATTCAAGTTGTTGCTTCAAGATGATGCCGGTCACTGACTTTGTTTATTTACCTCGTGGCAGGTTCTCTCCAAGGGCACTCTGCATTCCCATGGAGCTTCAAGTCCTTGCGCACTGGTCAACACCTCCAACTCTTTAACTTCAGATAAGTCTCTGCCCTTCACTTTGCACTGAGTCAATTCGCTGAATCTTTTTTATGTAGTTGTGTTCATCATTTTGCTTTGACGCTTGCTGCATCCTTGCTGTTTTTAAAGAGCCTGGACTAATATTTGTCTCTTGTACCATGCAGGTGGAAGGCAGTGCATGAGAGGGGTTGAAGCCTTGAGCATTGGCTGGGGACTCGATTCCGGGCCAAACCGGACTGGTTCTGTCCCCCTCCTCCCACACCACATGACAAAGCTGTCTGGCCAGCAGTGATGTCATGTGGTGTGGGCGGGGGTGGGCAGAGCCAGTCCCTAGTAGGGCACCCGCACGTCTTGGTCCTGGCAATGCTCAAGGCCTAACCTTCCTCTCTGCCTGTGCAGTGCTCTGCCAGTCCATGCCGGGGTGGGCATGGATGGCATGCTGCCATGGAGTAGCGGTGGACCTATGGTTGATAGGATTAGGTAGAATATCATTTGCTGATTGTACCTTAAAATATTACTTGAAGATTACATTGCGTTTTAGTGTAGCAGTACTACCCTATCTTGCAGAATATCTTGCAATCTGAAATGTTTATGGAGAAATATTGGAATATCATGTGTTTTTCTGGCCTAAGAATTTTACTACTGCAGATTTGCAATCTAGATTCAAATCATCACAAGTGAAAGCCATCATGTATTGCTGGACAACGTTGGAGAACATTCTACGGTAACAAAAAGCCTTTCGGAAAGGCACGAAACCGCATGTGACCGCATTGAAGAGCACTCTGTCGCTTCGCTTACCGTATTCCTGTCTGCTCTGGTCTGGGCTCAAGTGACTGGTGAACAATCGGGTCTCATCTGGACAACCTTGAAGTTGGTGCGAATTCGACTCCTCTCACATCGCTCGAGCAGAAATTCGTATCCCATTTCCATCCCAAGGCGAGAGCGAGAACGTGAAAGTAGAGGTCAGCTTGGCTCGCGTCGCGTCGATATTTTCGAAGCCGAAGCGTCGGAAATGTCGATGCTGCTGTCACATCGCACTATCGCAGAGCGCAGCGATGCCATGGCGAGTTCGGGTCGGGTGGTTACGACCAGCCATTGCCTGCTGCTCCGCGGGAGCAGCATCTGCTCGTTACAGACGAGAGAATCCGCCTGGGCGAGCTCAATCGGTACAATCGGAGCCGTTCATCCATTTTTCCCGTTGAGGAGCTCCGCCAGCCTTGATTCACGCGGCGTTGTTAACGAAGGACTTGTCGATCCTCGCTGTGCGATCCGCGCAGTGGGGATTAAGTGTCAGGATAGTGGTAATAGAGAGGGGGATGGATCAGGAGCGTAGAGCGTAGTCGTGTGATTCTCTGCCTGCCACCGCTTTCCAGCAACACGGCATGCTTGTCTCCGTGTTCAAGGTTCAGCTCTTCTTTTCACACTTGACGCTCCTTACGCTCTTTACGTGCGTCACGCACTGTATTGCTCAGCAGACCTGACAGCCGTAATCTCTCTTGGCGCATTGAGTCTGAGCGTCCGTTTTATACCGTAATCCCTCTTGGCGTCCAACGGTCGTCCTCCGAACGACCTTGGTTCGAAGGGTGGTTGTTTCAGCGGCCTTAGTTCTCCAATCTAAATCTCCGCCGCGCGTTGCGAGCGATGATCGGCACACAGCACACAGCAGGAGAGCAAGAGAGAGCAGCAGACAGCAGTCGCTCCCGCACTCTCCCCCGTGCCTCGTCGCTGTACCTTCGCGCCGTTCCGCGCCGTTCACTCCGCCACGTTCGCGACAATTCTTTCCGCGCGCCTCCCCATCGTTTGCTCCGACGATGTCTGCGATGGGCGACGAGGCGTGCGACGACGCGGGGGCGTCGCTGCTGTCGCACGAGAGCGAGCCGGAGTGCGCGCAAGTGGCGGGCATGGCGAGCGACCTCGTCGTCACCATCGGCCAGCGCGCCTTCCACGTGCACCAGTACCCGCTGTACGCGTTAATAGGCGTGCTCCGTTTCACGTGCACCAGTACCCGCTGTACGCGTTAATAGGCGTGCTCCGTTTCACGTGCACCAGTACCCGCTGTACGCGTTATTAGGCGTGCTCTGTTTCACGTGCACCAGTACCCGCTGTACGCGTTACTAGCTTTCCTTTCCGTTCTCGGCACGCGTTCTCGCCTTTCTCCGTTCTGTGCGCCTTTGCATCCGTCCTTCACGGTTCAGTGGCTTCAAGCTCTCCCTCCTCTCTCCCCCGTTCCCCTCCTTTCTGTTCCTTCCCGCCAGCACCCCGTCCCTTCCCTTCCCCCTCCCTTCCCTTCCCACTGCCTCCCCTTCCCCAACCCCAGCTTCTCCCCGTCAACGGTGATCGCCAGCGCGGCAGCAGCAGCGGGCGAGGGCACGGGCCCCATGCAAGCGGACCTCTCGTTCCTCCCTGGCGGCGCGCTCTCCTTCGTCCCCATCACCTGCTACTTCTACGCCCGCCCCTGCCGCCTCTCGCCCCACTCCGTGCTGCTCGTGCGCTCCGCAGGTACTGACGTTCTCTCGATTTTGGGAGTGGGGGAGTGCGGGAGTGAGGAATTGGGGGAGTAGGGGAATGGGGGAGTGTGGTAGTGGTGCAGCAGTGCAGGAGTGTGGGACTGTGGGACAGGTTGTGGCATGGTGCTTGAGTTGGGCCGCAGGAGTGCCGGTGATGGCCTCGTTTGTGCTGTTCTATCTGTGCTCAACTGTGCTGCATCCCAACCCTTGCAACTCGTGCTTCTCACCCGCCCCCCTCTTCTCAACCCCTCCTTCTCACCCCCCCTTCTAACTCCCCCTCTTCTCATGCACCCCCCAATCTCATCTCACCTCCCCCCTTCTCCTCCTTTCCCCCCACTCCTCCTCGCCCTGGCAGCATCACTGCTGGAGGTGAGCGCGTGCGGGCCCAGCCACGCACTGCTGCTGCCTCATTTCATCCCCCTTCTTCTCACACCTCAATCCCCCCCGCCCCTCTCCTTCTCTCACCGCTATTCCCCTCGTCCTGGCAGCGTCACTGCTGGAGATGAACGCGTATGGGCCCAGCCACGCACTGCCGCTGCCGCAGCTGGCATCGCAGCGCCTGCAACACTTCCTGCAGCACTGGCCGCCCTGCCTGCACGTGCTCTCATCGTATGTCGCTGATGGAAGGGGGGAGGGATGGGAGAGGAAGGGAGCGGAGGGGTGGGGAGGGGAGGAGAGGGGAGGGGCGGGGAGGGGAGGGCAGGGGATAGGGTATGATATTGAATGGGTATGTGTATAACATGTCCAGGTTCGTTCTCATGTGATGCACATCCATCCATTGCACATGCATACTCCTCCCCATGTTCTTTCTCATGCGGGTTGCTGACACACCCTCTCCTCGCTGTGCATGCAAATGCCCGGACGTTCCTTGCTCTCTCTCTCCCACACACTCCCTTTCACTCTCACCCCCACTCGGTGCCACCCACTGAGCCTGCTCATCCCCCATCTGTCTCCCTCACATCCCTCAGTCGTCTCCTAACCCACTGTGGTATGTCATTCCATATTAACCTTTCGTCCCCAACCCTCTGCTTCTCACTCCTCCCCGTCTCCCTTCCTAACAACCTCCCCCTTTCCTTCCTCACCCCCATCAGCTGCAGCGCTCTGCCACCTTCCAACGAAGCCAGGGCAGCAAGGGCTGCGGCTGCTGACGCTGCTGCCTCTCTGCTCATCGCTCGCAGCAAAGGTGCCCGTGTTGTGTCTACGCATGTAGAGAAATCATATGCTCAGTTCATTGATAGCGTGCTGCCTTCATTGATGGGATAGCGTCATTACAAGGTTTGATTTCAGTAGCCCTAAGGTTTTGTCTAGAGATCATATGCTCAGTACGCTTTTCATTCATCCAATCGGTTCGATAATGGCACTCATGCGTCTTCTAATGTGTCTGTTCTTGCATCCCCTCCCCCACATACACTAACGTGCAGGAGCTGCAGCTGCAGCAGGCGAAGCATCAAAGAAGGCAGCAGGCGGGGCAGCAGGCGGGGCAGCAGGCGGGGCAGCAGAGCAGCAGGGCGATCTGATGAAGCTGGCTCTGAGGGACTTGTGCCTCGTGCTCATGAGTCAGTGCCTCACTGCCACCACCTTCCCTGCCACCACCTTCCCACCTACCACCATCCACACCACCTCTCTCTGTCTCTCTCTTCTTCACACTATTCCCATGCGCATCAGAATTCCCACTTCCTCGTTTTCCACCGTCACCACACACACCGAATTCCACCCTGCATTGCTATGTGCAAGCAGGCGCGCAGAAGCAGGGCATGGGCACGCAGCAGCTGAGCAGTCTACTAGAGCCCTACTACTGACAGTGGGCGCACGACTGGCGGCAGCAGGGGCAGCGGCGGCAGCAGCAGGAGGAGAAGCAGAAGCGGCAGTGGGACACGGCGTATGGGGACGTCCCCTTGGTCACTGATAAGCTGGACTGGCAAGAGGCTTTCAGGTCGGTGTGTCCCTTCCCCATCCACCATACCGATTGAGTGCATGCTGCCACCACTTCCCTTCTCCCACATCACGTCTCCCACATCCTTTCTCCCACCTCTCTTCTCCCACATTCCTTCTCCCGCCTCTCGTCTCCCACATCCCGTTTGACACCAAATTGAAGCCATTCCGTGTGCTCTTGACACCATTCCTCTCTTGTGTTCATGTGTTCTCACCAAACACGCACCTATCTGCATGGAAGCCCATTCGCACCCACCCACCCATTTTCACATACTCCCACCCAGTCTCGCCCACCCATTCCCACCCACCCCTCGATCCCACACCAGGAGGCGGAAGCAGAGAGAGCCAAGCGGCGGGCAGCAGAGCAGCAGGTGGAGGTGGAGAGGGCAGCAGGGCGGCAGGCGCAGGAGGCGATGCTGAGCAAGGTGCGCGAGCTGGTGGACGAGGTGCGGGGGCTGAAGACCCACAACTCGGACCTGCGGCAGAACCTCGCCATCCTGCAGGCCTCCATGACTGTCAAGAAAAAAACACTCTTTCTGAAGAAGTAGCCGCGGCAGCAGGCCTGTTGCGCGGGCGGTTGGATAGTAGATGCTGGTAGCTGGGAGCTCGTGGACAAGGTGAGGGGGCTGCACATGTTCGGACCTGCGCCGGAACCGTGCAGGCCTCCATGACTGTCAAGAAGGACTCTTTTTCAAGTAGTCATGAGAAGTAACAGCAAGCTTGTGAGATTGGTGAATTGGTGAATTGGTACTACCTCTGCTGTCCTGTGAACATATGGATTGTGATAGTGAATATATGGACCATATTTACCGGGTACTGCACCTTTAGGGTCATGACAAGCTCTTTGTACACTTCTCACTGTATGATTACTAAAGAGAATACAGGTGTGCTGGTTGGTATGGAAGTGTAAAATGAAACATGTCTCAGAATAATCAGACCTTGTTCACAAAAGGAGTCCAAACAATTTGCATCACATGTAAGAATTTGAAACATCAGAACACCATGAGCTTCGCATATTTCAAATACTTGGTTTGACAAGGTGGTCTTAGATGAATGGGAAAGAGAGACAGTGATGAAGGAGAAGGGAAATAGAGAATGAAAGGGAGAAGGAAAGTAAAGATACCAAGAAATTATAAATGCAACACAAATAAAAAACCCCATCCCGTACATGTGCGGATCCTTCCGCGTTTTAGGGTTGGAAGCGCTCGTTCCGAGCGTTTTTCTTCCGCCGGGTCACGTGGCTGCGCTTTTCTGGGCCTATTACCAAGCCAGCAAGGGCGAGGGAGGGTTGCAAGCATCATCGGTCATCGGTGCTCGCGAATGAAGAGCGCCCGCTACACTTCCTGCACATGCGCAGATCCTTCCGCGTTTTGGGGGTGGAAGCGCTCGTTCCGAGTGATTTTCTTCCGCCGGGTCACGTGGCTGCGCTTGTCTGGGCCTAAAACCCTAAAGCCAGCAAGGGCGTGGGAGGGTTACGAGCGTCATCGGTCATCGGTGCTCGCGAATGAAGAGCGCCCGCTGCACTTCCTGCACATGTGCGGATCCTTCCGCGTTTTGGGGCTGGAAGCGCTCGTTTTGAGCGTTTTTCTTCCGCCTGGTCACGTGGCTGCGCTTCTATGGTCCTATTACGAAGCCAGGAAGGGCGTGGGAGGATTGGGAGCATCATCGGTCATCGGCCCTCGCGAATGAAGAGCGCCCGCTGCACTTCCTGCACATGTGCGGATCCTTCAGCGTTTTGGGGCTGGAAGCGCTCGTCACGAGCGTTTTTCTTCCCCCAGGTCACGTGGCTGCGCTTGTCTGGGCCTATTACCAAGCCTGCTAGGGCGTGGGAGATTTGCGAGCATCACCGGTCATCGACGCTCGCAAATGAAGAGCGCCCGCTGCATTTCCTTCACATGCGCGGATCCTTCCCCGTTTTGGGGCTGGAAGCGCTCGTTCCGAGTGTTCTTCTTCCGCCGGGTCAAGTAGCTGCGCTTTTCTGGGCCTATTACCAATCCAGCAAGGGCGTGTGAGGGTTACGAGCATCATTGGTCATCGGAGCTCGCGAATGAAGAGCGCCCGCTGCACACCTGCACATGTGCGGATCCTTCCGCGTTTTATTGTTGGAAGCGCTCGTTTCGAGCGTTTTTCTTCCACTGGGTCACGTGGCTGCGCTTGTCTGGGCCTATTACCAAGCCAGCAAGGGCGTGGGAGGGTTGGGAGCATCATCGGTCATTGGCGCTCGCGAATGAAGAGCGCTGGCTGCACTTCTTGCACATGTGCGGATTCTTCTTTGGGGGTGGAAGCGCTCGTTCCGAGCGTTTTTCTTCCGTCAAATCACGTGGCTGGCTTGTCTGGGCCTATTACCAAGCCAGCAAGGTCATGGGAAGTTTGCGAGCATCATCGGTAATCGGCGCTCGCGAATGAAGAGCGCCCGCTTCATTTCCTGCACATGTTCGGATCCTTCCGCGTTTTGGGGCTGGAAGCGCTCGTTCCGAGCGTTTTTCTTCCCCCAGGTCACGTGGCTGCGCTTCTCTGGGCCTATTACCAAGCCTGCTAGGGCGTGGGAGGGTTGCGAGCATCATTGGTCATCGGCGCTCGCGAATGAAGAGCGCTCGCTGCATTTCCTGCATATGTTCGGATCCTTTCGCGTTTTGGTGCTGGAAGCACTCGTTCCGAGCGTTTTTCGTCTGCCAGGTCACATGGCTGTGCTTATCTGGGCCTATTACCAAGCCAGCTAGGGCGTGGGAGGGTTGCGAGCATCATCGGTCATCGGCGCTCGCGAATGAAGAGCGCTCGCTGCATTTCCTGCACATGTGCGGATCCTTCCGCGTTTTGGGGCTAGAAGCGCTCATTCCGAGCGTTTTTCTCCCTCCGGGTCACGTGGCGGCGTTTGTCTGGGCCTATTACCAAGCAAGCAAGGGCGTGGGGGGGTTGGGAGCATCATCGGTCATCGGCGTTCGCGAACGAAGAGCGTCTGCTGCATTTCCTGCACATGTGCGGATCCTTCCGCGTTTTGGGGGTGGAAGCGCTCGTTCCGCACGTTTTTCTTCCGCCACGTGGCTGCGTTTGTCCGGGCCTATTACCAAGCCAGCAAGGGCGTGGGAGGGTTGCGAGCATCATCGGTCATCGGTGCTCGCGAAAGAAGAGCGCCCGCTGCACTTCCTGCACATGTGCGGATCCTTCCACGTTTTGGGGGTGGAAGCGCTCGTTCCGAACGTTCTTCTTCCGCCGGGTCACGTAGCTGCACTTGTCTAAGCCTATTACGAAGCCAGCAAGGGCGTGAGAGGGTTGCAAGAATCATCAGTCATCGGCGCTCGCGAATGTAGAGTGCCCGCTGCACTTCCTACACATGTGCGGATCCTCTCGCGTTTTGGGGGTGAAAGCGCTCGTTCCGAGCGCTTTGCTTCCGCCGCGTGACGTGGCTGTGCTTCTCTGGGCCTATTGCCAAGCCATCAAAAGCGTGGAAGGGTTGCGAGCATCATCGGTCATCTTCGCCCGCGAATGAAGAGCGCTCGTTGCACTTCCTGCACATGTGCGGATGCTTCCGCGTTTTTGGGCTGAAAGCGCTCGTTCCGAGCGTTATTCTTCCACCGGGTTATATGGCTGCGCTTGTCTGGGCCTATTTCCAAGCCAGCAAGGTCATGGGAGGGTTACGAGCATCATCGATCATTGGCGCTCGCGAATGAAAAGCGCCCGCTGCAATTTCGCCACATGTGCGGATCCTTCCGCGTTTTGGGGGTGGAAGCGCTCGTTCCGAGCGTTTTTCTTGCGCCGGGTCACGTGGCTGCGCTCCTCTGGGCCTATTACCAAGCCAGCAAGGGCGTGGGAGGGTTGGGAGCATCATCGGTCATCGGCGCTCGCGAAAAAAGAGCGCCCGCTGCACTTCCTGCACATGTGCGGATTCATCCGCGTTTTGGGGGTCGAAGCGCTCGTTCCGAGCGTTCTTCTTCTGCCGGGTCACGTGGCTGCGCTTCTCTGGGAAGATTACCAAGCCAGCAAGGGCGTGAGAGTGTTGCAAGAATCATCGGTCATCGGCGCTCGCGAATGTAGAGCGCCCGCTGCACTTCCTGCACATGTGCGAATCCTTCCGCGTTTTGGGGCTGGAAGCGCTCGTTTTGAGCGTTTTTCTTCCGCGTGGTCACGTGGCTGCGCTTGTATGGTCCTATTACCAAGCCAGCAAGGGCGTGGGAGGATTGGGAGCATCATCGGTCATCGGCCCTCGCGAATGAAGAGCGCCCGCTGCACTTCCTGCACATGTGCGGATCCTTCCACGTTTTGGGGGTGGAAGCCCTCGTTCCGAGCATTTTGCTTCCGCCAGGTCATGCGGCTGTGCTTCTCTGCGCCTATTACCAAGCCAGCAAGAGCGTGAGAGGGTTGCGAGGATCATCGTTCATCGCCGCTTGCGAATGAAGAGCGCCCGCTGCACTTTCTGCACATGTCGGATCCTTCCGCGTTTGGGGCTGGAAGCGCTCGTTCCGAGCGTTTTTCTTTCGCCGGGTAATGTGGATGTGCTTCTCTGAGCCTATTACCAAGCCAGCAAGGGCGTGGGAGGGTTGCGAGTATGATCGATCATCTTCGCTCGCGAATGAAGAGCGCCCGTTGCACTTCTTGCACATGTGCGGATCCTTCCGCGTTTTGGGGCTGGAAGCGCTCGTTCCAAGCGTTTTTCTTCCGCCTGTCTGGGCCTATTACCAAGCCAGCAAGGTCATGGGAGGGTTACGAGCATCATCGATCATCGGCGCTCGCGAATGAAAAGCGCGCGCTGCACTTTCTCCACATGTGCGGATCCTTCCACGTTTTGGGGGTGGAAGCGCTCGTTCCGAGCGTTTTTCTTTCGCCGGGTCACGTGGCTGCGCTTGTCTGGGCCTATTACCAAGTCAGCAAGGGCGCGGTAGGGTTGCGAGCATCATCGGTCATCGGCACTCGCGAATGAAGAGCGCCCGCTGCACTTCCTGCACATGTGCGGATCCTTCCGCGTTTTGGGGCTGGAAGCGCCCGTTTTGAGCGTTTTTCTTCCACCTGGTCACGTGGTTGCGCTTGAATGGTCCTATTACCAAGCCAGCAAGGGCGTGGGAGGATTGGGAGCATCATTGGTCATCGGCGCTCGCGAATGAAGAGCGCCCGCTGCACTTCCTGCACATGTGCGGATCCTTCGGCGTTTTGGGGGCGGAAGCGCTCGTTCCGAGCGTTTTGCTTCCGCCATGTCACGCGGCTGCGCTTCTTTACGCCTATTACTAAGCCAGCAAGTGGGTGAGAGGGTTGCGAGCATCATCGGTCATCGGCGCTCGCTAAATGAAGAGCGCTCGCTGCACTTTCTGCACATGTGCGGATCCTTCCGCGTTCTGGGGCTGGAAGCGCTCGTTCCGAGCGTTTTTCTTTTGCCGGGTCACGTGGCTGCGCTTGCCTGGGCCTATTACCAAGCCAGCAAGGGCGTGGGAGGGTTGCGAGCATCATCGGTCATCGGCGCTCGCGAATGAAGAGCGCCAGCTGCACTTCCTGCACATGTGCAGATCCTTCCGCGTTTTGGGGCTGGAAGCGCTCGTTTTGAGCGTTTTTCTTCCGCCTA